ATACAGTATATACATTATAGTAATGGCTGGGGTCTCACTGACTCCCTATACAGTATATACACATTATAGTAATGGCTGGGGTCACATGACTCCCTATGCAGTATATACATTATAGTAATGGCTGAGTCTCACTGACTCCCATGCAGTATATACACATTATAGTAATGGCTGAGGTCACAGTGACTCCATATACAGTATATACTTTAAAGTAATGGGCTGGGGTCACAGTGACTCCCTATACAGTATATACACATTATAGTTATGGCTTGGGTCACAGTGACTCCCCTACAGTATATACATTATAGTAATGGCTGGGGTCATAGTGACTCCCTATACAGTATGTACATTATAGTAATGGGCTGGGGTCACAGTGACTCCCTATACAGTCTATACACATTATAATGGCTGGGGTCACACTGACTCCTATACAGTATATACACATTATAGTAATGGCTGGGGTCACGGTGACTCCCTATACAGTATATACATTATGTACATTATAGTAATGGCTGGGGTCACAGTGACTCCCTATACAGTATATATGCATTATCGTAATGGGCTGGGGTCACAATGACTCCCTATACAGTATATACATTATAGTAATGGCTGGAGTCACACTGACTCCCTATACGGTATATACACATTATAGTTATGGCTGGGTTCACAGTGACTCCCTCTACAGTATATACATTATAGTAATGGCTGGGGCCATAGTGACTCCCTATACAGTATGTACATTATAGTAATGGCTGGGGTCACAGTGACTCCCTATACAGTATATATGCATTATCGTAATGGGCTGGGGTCACAATGACTCCCTATACAGTATATACATTATAGTAATGGCTGGAGTCACACTGACTCCCTATACGGTATATACACATTATAGTAATGGCTGAGGTCACAGTGACTCCATATACAGTATATACTTTAAAGTAATGGGCTGGGGTCACAGTGACTCCCTATACAGTATATACACATTATAGTTATGGCTGGGTTCACAGTGACTCCCTATACAGTATATATGCATTATCGTAATGGGCTGGGGTCACAGTGACTCCATATACAGTATATACTTTATAGTAATGGGCTGGGGTCACAGTGACTCCCTATACAGTATATACACATTATAGTTATGGCTGGGTTCACAGTGACTCCCTCTACAGTATATACATTATAGTAATGGCTGGGGCCATAGTGACTCCCTATACAGTATGTACATTATAGTAATGGCTGGGGTCACAGTGACTCCCTATACAGTATATATACATTATAGTAATGGGCTGGGGTCACAATGACTCCCTATACAGTATATACATTATAGTAATGGCTGGAGTCACACTGACTCCCTATACGGTATATACACATTATAGTAATGGCTGAGGTCACAGTGACTCCATATACAGTATATACTTTATAGTAATGGGCTGGGGTCACAGTGACTCCCTATACAGTATATACACATTATAGTTATGGCTGGGGTCACAGTGACTCCCTCTACAGTATATACATTATAGTAATGGCTGGGGTCACAGTGACTCCCTATACAGTATATACATTATAGTAATGGCTGGTGTCACGGTGACTCCCTAAACAGTATATACATTATAGTAATGGCTGGGGTCACGGTGACTCCCTATACAGTATATACATTATAGTAATGGCTGGGGTCACGGTGACTCCCTATACAGTATATACATTATAGTAATGGCTGGTGTCACGGTGACTCCCTATACAGTATATACATTATAGTAATGGCTGGGGTCACAGTGACTCCCTATACAGTATATACACATTATTGTAATGGGCTGGGGTGATACTGACTTCCTATACAGTATATACACATTATAGTAATGGGCTGGGGTCGTGTTGACTCCCTATACAGTATATACACATTATAGTAATGGCTGGGGTCACAGTGACTCCCTATACAGTATATACACATTATAGTAATGGCTGGGGTCACACTGACTCCCTATACGGTATATACACACTATAGTAATGGCTGGGGTCACAGTGACTACCTATACAGTATATACACATTATTGTAATGGGCTGGGGTCACAGTGACTCGCTATACGGTATATACACACTATAGTAATGGCTGGGGTCACAGTGACTCCTATACAGTATATACACATTATAGTAATGGCTGGGGTCACACTGACTCCCTATACAGTATATCCATTATAATAATGGCTGAGGTCACAGTGACTCCATATACAGTATATACACATTATAGTAATGGCTGGGGTCACAGTGACTCCCTATACAGTATATACATTATAGTAATGGCTGGGGTCACAGTGACTCCCTATACAGTATATATGCATTATCGTAATTGGCTGGGGTCACAATGACTCCCTATACAGTATATACATTATAGTAATGGCTGGAGTCACACTGACTCCCTATACGGTATATACACATTATAGTAATGGCTGAGGTCACAGTGACTCCATATACAGTATATACATTATAGTAATGGCTGGGGTCACAGTGACTCCCTATACAGTATATACACATTATAGTAATGACTTGAGTCACAGTGACTCCCTATACAGTATATACACATTATAGTAATGGGCTGGGGTCGTGTTGACTCCCTATACAGTATATACACATTATAGTAATGGCTGGGGTCACAGTGACTCCCTATACAGTATATACATTATAGTAATGGCTGGGGTCTCACTGACTCCCTATACAGTATATACACATTATAGTAATGGCTGGGGTCACAGTGACTCCCTATGCAGTATATACACATTATAGTAATGGGCTGGGGTCACAATGAAATTCCAGATTCTATCTTTATGAAATATTTAGTATTTTTCTCTAAAAGGAGATAGTGTATATTTTTTTCTGACCATTGGAAGAATCAGCTAGTTAAAGTACTAACAGAATAAATTGAAATGCAGATAGTGTTAGAAGAAGGACCATTCACCATCACATTTTAGAATTTCAATCAAATTGCTAGCTAAATTTGAAATGGGATACACTACACCCCCAAAATACTACATGATTGTGCAGATGATGTGTATCACCAAGTCACTCAGGCAAAATGATGCAGGTGAGTTAAGTACCATAGTTCGGAGCATTGTTATTTTTATTGCATTGTTTCACCATAATTTTTCCATTAGTCAAATTTGACACCATTTTTTATGCAGATTGATATTATCATAAAGTCATACTGTACCCTTTAGACACTCCATTTCTAGTAGTGTTGACTTTTACTTTAACCAAACAACTTTTTCAAAAAGAACTCTTTGATTTCAAAGTCACCCATCATGATGTCCTTTCACCTACACAGACGGTATTCTTTTCCTTATTTTGCCCTCTTGAAAAACACAGATCCATGGCTTATCCATCCTCCTCCTCCAGCCACACATTCGGAAGCATAAAAAAAAAATTTGATAAAAAATATGTAAAACTGAAAAAAATAAAAGAAAATTAGAACTTAAAAAGGAGGAAAATCATCTGAAAAAAACACCACGCAGATGTTTTCACGGTCACAGCAGACCGTCTGTAATGTGTTCGTTTAAAATATCGTAAATGTGTTGTTTTCCTCATCATTCTTTTTCACGCTTTAATATTTGTGTTGGTTAAAGTGCAGTAAATATTTTCTTATATTTCGTATGAGGTTCTGTTTTAGATTTTTCTTCTTTACTTCTAAAAGTGTTTAAAATTAGTTTTCTGCTTTTGTGAACACAATGCAGTGACAACACTCGACCACTAGGAGTGTTTGAAAGGCTGCAGTATACCACATGGACTTCACAGGTAACTTCTATTTGGACATTCCTTGTAGACTTTTTCTCATCAGTTAAAGATATGGCTGTGTTGTGGAATTGCAATATCAGAGCCCCTTTCTAAACTCTAAGGATTCTTTATTGCTTTATACACCAGAAGTCAGATAGCAAACTATTTTCCAGATAGCCGTATAGCAAACTATTAGTGGGCACGCCATTAACACATTTATTTTTCATACTGTGTGTTCTCTACAACAGTGTTCTGCAACCTTCTAGCACCCGCAGCTCGGCAAAAAGAGGAGAAATATTTTGCGGACCGGCGTCAGCCAGAAATAAAAACCAATGGTATGTGTGAGGGATGCAGTGTGTGAGGGGTGCTGTGTGTGTGTGAAGGGTGCAGTTTGTGTGTGTGTTTAGTAGGCAGTGTGTGTGTGTATGGGAGGGCAGTGTGTGAGTATGAGGGGCAGTGTGCGTGTGTGAGTATGGGGGGGCAGTGTATGTGTATAGGGGGCAGTGTGTGTGTATAGGGGAGAATGATTGTGGGTCTGGGGGTTGGAGGGTAGATTAACGCCTTAAGGACCAAACTTCTGGAATAAAAGGGAATCATGACATGTCACACATGTCATGTGTCCTTAAGGGGTTAATAAATGTATATATTTTTTTTAATTAAAAAAAAAAATAGTAATTTTGATACCCCCTCTCCCTGCTTACCTTTGCCTGGGAGGGGGTACTGTACAAGGCAATCCCTGGGGGTCCTGTGGAGAAGCCCTGGTGGTCCAGTTGGTAAGAGTGAACTCTAGCAGCCTCAGGAGCTACTAGAGTTCACTCTTGCGAGATTCGGAGCGCTGCCGTGGTAACCGCAGCAAAGCTCCGAGCTCGCAAGAGGAGAACCCAGTGGAGCTGCAGATTAGAGCTCCCCCGGGTCCTCTCTCCCTTCCCTGTCTGCTGCCAGCGTTGCAGTGCTAGCGGGCCGGTGAGGGAGATCTCTAATCTCCGCTCCGGTCCTGCAGAGCCGGTAGGGGATAGGGAGACACGGTCATAAGATCATAGCACCGGGGAAATATTTTGCTGCAATTTATTGCCCGTCCGTGAAAAATTTCACCCAACGGTATAGTCGGGTGAAAGCTTTCGCAGACCGGCGCCAGTCAGTGGACCATTGGTTGAAGACCACTGCTCTACAATAGTTATTAAAAACACAAGCATCTTTGAAAGTGTCAGCGAAATGTGATTGAAATACAATATTTCACGATCATAGACAATATTGTAGCTGTTTATTTGTAAACAATAAGTACTTAAATTCCAAAAAATCTGTGCAGTCTTTAACAAAGCATCTTTTCTATAATGTATCTCTTTAAATTGTTGTATTAGGTCAGATTAATTGGTGTCAGTCAGAAAAAGGCTACAACAGGCCCTCCTTAGTACAGAATAAAGGTCATTTTGTTAACGTCCACTGTCAATAAATTAAATATGCCTACAAAGCTACATTTGGGATTTCACACATATTGGAAAGATTGGAAAGATCCTGGGTTATAAATTAAAAGCCAGATAGACTACCAAGTAATTTATGTAAAAATAGCCCTACGGCACCCCTGAAATACTGCAAAAAACAGCCGATTAAAAAATAATATGAGTTAACGGAATTAGTAAAAAATACTGCTTCTCCCATTCTCCCAGTGATTTGTGCTTTTTGAAACGTTTAGCGGATTAATTATTAGTATTTTATTGTTCCATGTTTAGTTGGGTTATTAGAATATACTCAGTTTGAACACATGCCTTTGTGTGATGCTATTAGTATGTTAGATGTGAAGCTTTATTGTTGAAACATGGCCGCTCGGCCAGGGTGGCCGCTGTTCGAAACATACTGCTGTCGGTTCGGAGAACGAGTTCCAACTCCTGGAAATCTTGAAGTCTTGCAACATCTTTGTCCTTGAAAATAAAATAATAACAAAAAAAACACACGATTAGACTATTGATTATTAAAAATAAATTAACGAATTTCTGTAATACATAGAATACTGGACTTAATATCTCCTAAACCAGTGATGGCTAATCTTTGCAACAATTAACTAATTGTTCCGTGAAGCTCGCTACCATGATCACTTCTTCCTTTTAGGGAAGAATTGTTAAAAGGGAATAACGCCTTGTCACAACATTAATTTATGATACATTTTGGCATTGTAATGGTCAGAAAACACCAAAGTAACAAATGACACTGTGGGGCTTACTTTTAACAAACTCTAGAGTATTGAAATCAGAATTGCACATTTCCCAAAAATGTGATGATTTGGAAAAATTCTGCTACAGGTTTCTATATGTGTATGTCTCTCTCATATAACATTATATATATATATATATATATTTTTTATTTATAATTTCTGAAAATTATGTAATATAAAAGACGCATAACTAGGGAAAATAATGTAATCTCTGTATTTAGCCGTTTTAAGCGTGGTATTAAAAGGTACCCTATTCAGAAAAGTGACAGATCTCACTTAAGATGTAGACATATAATCTTTTAAAGGTAAAGTAATCCCATTCTGTTAGTATATTTCTTTGACTTTTTTTTTGTTTCTGTACAATAGAGATTTTCTGTAGATATTTCTGCAGTGGGTGTGGTTTGCACAGCATATTTATCAGGAGAAACTATATTTTTCTTGTGTGTTGCTAAACAAGCCCAGACATGATCCAACCTCTCAAAGCCAAACAGAAACGTCATTGTTCTTTACAGGTCCCTGAATATTTTGACCATAAGGATCAATATTCAGAATATATGCTACTCTGGAAACGTGTACCCCTATGTTAAGCACCATGCACAACTACATACCTTCAAAAACTACATACACGTCCATACTGTCCTATTGTGTTGGACAGTCTGTATTTTGCGACACTTTGTTGTCCCGCTTTTGCAAAAGCCAGAGACGAGTTCCCCAAAAATGCATGTCATTATAGCAGCTCTGTCACCTCTAATCGGTTTCAATATTGTTCCCTGTGTCTGGATCTCAATTTTAATTTTTTACTCAGTGCTCAAGTTTTTATAAAATAAATAAGGAAAAGTAGGGACTATTTTTCCTCGCGTTTCGCAGTCAAGTAGATAAAACATGACAGGCAGAGCTTAGGCAAGGTTCAGGCTTCGGTTTGAATCTACCCATAAGCCATCAGTAAAATCAATCCCACAGAAGGGTGAAACAGCAGACCGCATGGGGCACAGGAGAACAAAATGGCTTCTCCCAGATATTGAGATCCGGTGCAAGAAAGAAAAGACAATATAAATACAGGCAAGTGGCCAGGGAGAGTATAATCTTTAACATACTAGGGGCTTAAGAAAAGGTTAAAAAAAAATAAAAGGAGAAGAGAAGAAAAAATAACGAGGACGCCTTTTCGCCATCAGCAGAGCTTTGTGCTCCACCTCCCAATATTTGGAGGTATGAAACTACGACCTTAAAAAAATTCAAAGGGACACACTAAGCACCAGCAACCTTATAAATCATTGCACTAGTTATTTTGCAAAGAGGCTATGGGCACTTTCGCATGATTTTTTTGGGTCAAACCATTTAAGAGTGGTTACATGAACACTAGGGTTTTCTATAGCAACCATACCGTGTATCCTTATTAGCCACAACGATAATGTAGCAATTCCACTTAAAACTTACCTTAATCACAAAGTGATATATTCTCTGAATCAGTGTGTACACACGCCATATCGGGATATGTTTCATTACCTTTCGAATTATAGTGTTGGGTAGTTTTCTAATTTTCTCCACTTGCTCAGGGCTAACGCCAAGTTCGTAGCAGCACACACGAACCAGTTCACGGTACGTAAGCTCTTCCCTATCCATTTCAACTTCAATGAAGTCATTGTCAACGAGAGTGCTGTTCTGAATTCGCACTTTTAGAACCAACTCTGAAAAGTTAATAGAAGCAAACTTTATTAAAAAATAAATAAATAAAAGGTTCTGTTACATGTGAAGTTTTCATATACACAGAAAAATGCCGACATGTATTGCATTAAAACTTCACTTGAATTCCAAAGCAATCAAAATATATTTACCTAAGATAAAGTAGGGTGTGCTTATAAATACCTCTGAAAATATTTTAACAAGTCAGAATAGAAACATGACAATATTTGTTGACTCTAAAAGCTGATGTTGCATGCGCATATTAGAAAGAGACGGCGTATATGCTTAGGTATTAGTAATGCACATTCATATGTGTTTTTGTTTTATTCATTGTGTATCAAACATATTTTCTTTTCTTTTATGTCTTTAAAGATTGCGAACACAAATCAGTAAAAAAAAAAAAAGCACTCAAAAAAACAGAATATTAATTTCCAGCTGCCTTGCCCTGAACTTTCACATCACCTGTAGTGATAGTGAAAGGGAACGTCTTACACAATACACAAGAAATGATCATTACATCAAGTAAAGGTGAATAGATATTCTTCTTCCAGATGTCACCTGCAAACATGTTATAATACATGGCTGAGCTTTGGGAAAAAAATAGAGATTATGATAGGTCCTATTTAAAATAAATGTGTCTAACTCAAGAATAAAATAATGAATTTTTTAAGAAGCTTGCCTCTTCATGTTCAGAAAGCCCCTGTGTTTTGTTTGCAGGTTGCCATGGTCACAAACAGAGAATGTTACCTGAATTCTTAAGGGGATTCTATAGTGCCTTCTGGGCCACCCCCTCCCTCTCAGAGGAACATAAAGGGTCAAAAAAATACCCTTGTATTTACTCACACAGCATTGACTTAATGCTTTCCTATGGGCATTTCAATGACACTGGGTATCCTCATGCAGTGCGTAAGGACGTCCAGCGTGAGTTAGGTGACCTAGAGTCCGGTAAACTCCCAGGTGCACCTTTAGTGGCTGTCAGGTAGACAGTCACTATTAGCAGTTTTAGTGCTGCAAAATAAACATTGTAGTTTCTCAAGAACTGCAATGTATTAGATTGAAGGACTAAGGGGGACAGGAACATTGCACACAGACCATTTCAATGAGCTGAAGTGTTCTGGGTGCTTATAGTGTCCATTTAACCTCTTTGTGACCAGACAGTTTTTCAATTTTCTTACCGTTAAGGACCAGGGCTCTTTTTACATTTCTGCTGTGTTTGTGTTAAGCTGTAATTTTCCTCTTACTTATTTACTGTACCCGCACATGTTATATACCGTTTTGTTCACCATTAAATGGTCTTTCCAAAGATACCATTATTTCCATCATATCGTATAATTTACTATAATTATTTTTTTTATAAAATATGATGAAAAATGTAATAAAATACAATTTTTTTGAACTTTTGAACCAAAATCTGTTGCGCATCTACAACCGCCAAAAAACACCCATGCTACATCGTTTCTAAATTTTGTCCTGAGTTTAGAAATGCCCAATGTCAGCATATTCTTAGCTTTTATTTTTGCAAGTTATAGGGCAATAAGTACAAGTAGCAATTTGCTATTTGAAAACCATTGTTTTTCAAACTTAACGCAAGTAACACTGATATCTGTCAGGAATCCCCGAATAACCCTAATAATTTACCCCCCATCAAACCAAATAGTTTTGAAAAGAAAACACCCTAGGGTATTTCTAATGGTGGTATTTTAACACTTTCCATGCACTAATTCTACCACCAGTCTTTGTCAAACTTTTGGGTAGTCATTTTTTTGAGTTATTTTTCACACACATTCTAATTTAGGCGTGGATTCTCAGCTCCTGTTAGGTGTTACTGCCAAAGAACACCCCAATATGTGTTCAGCAACATCTCCTGAGTACAGTGATACCACCTATGCATAGGTTTGTTGGGCAGTTTGGGTGATGCAATGCTAAACTTCTGACGTGTTTTTCAAATCTGACATATCTTCTTTGCCTATCTTCTTTTTGGGGGCTTTTTTAGATATCCCAATTTATTTTCTTGCCATGAGCATGCATATATTTGAAAAGTTGACACGGTGTTGTATATGGAGTGTTTTGATGCCTTTGATGCAATCGTTTTAGTCAAAAAATTGGAGAAAATGTGTGGTGGTAATTTTTCAATTTTCATTTTTACACACACATTGCTTTTTGACTGTGATTTAGGGGAGCATGTTGTTGGTTATTGCAAGAAAACACTCCAAGCTGTTTTCTGCAAGGCCTGCTGAGTACACCCATGCCCACCATACATAGGATAAACGTAACAAAAAAAAAAAAAATTGAACAGCAAATGTTAAAAAAATAACTAAAAATGGACCAGCATGTCGTATCGTTTAAAGCAGTCCCCAATGCAGAGTCCAGGCTGTCCAGGGCAATAAGGACAGTGATATTCAGTATCTTTTCTCTGCCCCCTCTTAAAACAGACTCTGCTTTGGGGATTCTGCTTTCCGCAGTAGGGGGGATTTTAAAAATAGCCCCAACTCTGCTCTCTCCCATCACCGCCTGGGGAGCAGGTGCATCACGGTACAAATCCCTGAAATGATCTTGAGCTGAAACTGTAAAAAAGTCAGTTGCATTCCGGGGTTTGCCTTTCTGCACAACAAAAAAGCGCTGTGGATTCCAATCTGCATTAAGTAGATTGCAACCTTTTTGTACCAGGCACTTGTCTTTCGTATAATTGGGTAGGGCTGCAGCAGCTGATCTGCTAGATCAACCCCACCCATATGCCGGTTATAGGCCTTGATGCACACTGGCTTCCTTGTTCTCTCAGCTCTGCCACGTACAGAGACCTCCACAGTCCTCTCAGTGTGGATGGTGGTAAGAAGGTACACATCCCTCTTGTCTCTGTACTTAACTGCCAACAGCTCCTCTTGGAGCAGAGTTGAGGTCTCCCCCTTCGTAGCCGGGTGCGTGCAAGTTGTCCTGGGAAACCTGCGCGGTTCTTTTTCATTGTACCGCAAGCTACTGTATCAAAACAATACAGTAGCTTTAACAAAGGCACACTTGTATAAACATTGTCAGTATACAAGTGGCACCCTTTGTTCATCAGGGGGAATATCAAGTCCCAGACAATCTTGCCACTGGTTCCCATATGTTCTTGGCAACCTGGAGGGTCAAGGTGGCTATCTTTTCCCTCGTACACCCAGAATGCCTGAGTATATCCAGTCTCGCAATCACAGAGCTTATACACCTTTACACCATACCTGGAGCGCTTGGAAGGAATATCCTGCTTGAATCCCAGCCTTGCCTTATACTTCATCAGGGATTCATCCACGCATATATTCCTTCCAGGTGTATAAGCCTCTGCAAACCTGGCAGCGAAGTGAGTAAACAGGGGGCGGATTTTATACAGCCTGTCAAACTGGGAATGCTCCCTAGGAGGGCACAGGCTGTTGTCGCTGAAATGAATGAAATGCAGAATCATTCCATACCTTTTCCTCGAAATACACTGGGAGTAAGTGGGGGTAGAGCAGATGGGGCTACTGCTCCAGTAGGAGCGGATGGAGGGCTTCTTTATGATGCCCATCAGCATAGTCAAGGCCCAGAATTTTTTTTAAATTCTGGCATGTCGACGGGGGCCCATTGCTGCTTTGCCAAAAAAGACTCAGGCTTAGAAGGACGGAACTGATTGGCATATAAATTAGTTTGGGCGACAATGTTCCCCAATACATTGCCCAGAAACACCTCCATAAAATGCTGATGGCTAAATCCTGCAACATCCACATTGATGCCAGGATTTGCAGTGAAGGGTGGGATATCTGGCCTCTGGCGATGAGGCACTACCAACTCCTCAGCAGTACTGCCAGCTGGAGCAGCACGTCTCCTTCTGGCAGGGGGACTAGCAGGCACAGATACAACATAACTAGATACATCACTAGTAGCAGACACTGTATCTAGTGATGTATCTGAGCACCTGGCAAAGTCAAAATCAGGGTCGGAGTCAGACGTAGACGCGTCAGACTAACGCAAGGATGGCATACGCCTCCTCAGTGCTATACGACCTCTGTGACATGATCACAATTACTTTACTTAGTGATCTGTCACACAAAATTTTTTTTAAAAAATACAATTAACCCTTAAAAAAATGCAGACAGCAAAAAAGTGCTGCTGTGCAAGAGCCAGTGATTATAGTGATCACTGGCAAGATAGGGGTTAATGGCTCGGAAAAGAGCTCTTGGGTCTCACAATTTTACAAATCCCTACCTAAAAATACCTAAATCTCTCTACCTAAAACACATATCTCTCTCCCTCTCTCAGTAAAACAAACACAAGTGAAGAGAGGGAGGGAGATCCAAACTGATCAGAGTCAATATTTACTAATACTGACCTGATCAGACAAATGGGGATCATAGTTAAAATAAAATTGTTATAGGGGCAAGCTCAGATTGGATGTGCCCAGCCTGCCTCTATGATGAGGCAGGCTATGGACACCCCCGGAAGCCCCATGATGTAATTTTAATTATTTTCTTTGATTTTCTTAATTCTTCACTGAGTGCCTAGTCCCTCGAGGCACTCAGCACAGGCAGAGCATCAGAAGCCGGCAGTAAGGAGAAGTATTGCATGATGCCTCGATATAGAGGCATTGCTGCAATACCATCAGAGCGGCTGGAAGCGATCATGATCGCTTCCAGCGCTCAAATAAGCCGCGGACATATCAGGTAAGTTAAGGACCAGTTTTTGTCGGATGTACCTGATACGTCCGCGGTCAGGAAGAGGTTAATTTGGTTATCTTATACCTACTACATGTAAAAAAAATATGGTGGTTTAATTGTCATTACATTGCAAGACTCCTAACCTCCCCCAGCATCTGTGGACTTGCTGGAGGACACATTGATGTTGCCAGGTAAATCCTTAAAAGAGACACTCCACAGCCCAAATACAAACATTTTTTTTAAATCAATGTTTAGTATATTTAATTATGCATTAGATTATATCTAAAAAAATAAATAAAATAAAATAAAAAGACATGAATATTGTTCAACAAATAGAACAATACATTAAAATGAACTAAACATGCTCTCTCTCAGTGTTTTGGCTGGTTAAGCTCGTGAGTAGCTTACTGTTAAGGATGACTGTTTCGTGATAACTTGGTTTGGAAGGTTGGCATTATGCTGCTATTATCCTGTTTAAGTACCAGACCATGAATAAAAAAAGTAGTTTTCATTTTCGCTTGGATAGTTCTATCCAATGTGTTAGCATATGTTTGCCAGATAAGAAATATTTTTTTCGTTAAAGTACTTTTATTTGGTGAGGTTTCTACCCAGTCCATATAAAATAAAGATAGCTTAGTGTGCAGTAACGATAATGAGGGAGGGCATGGATCGATCCAATTGTGCAGTATACTATTACGTACTGCAGCTAAGATCCATGTGGGTTACTTTTGTGGCATGGTTTGAGGTTTCCATTGTCACTCCATGTTTTGAAAAAGAAGCCTTGGTATTATTACAGATTTTAGTAAGGTGACACTCCCCGATATAGTCAAAGGGAGGTTTTACCATCCAGTGAGAAGGTATTCCAATTCAGTCATGATTGGTATCATGTTGATTCTATACATAGTGGACAGTTGTTTTGGCATTAGTGCCTACGAGTATTTGAAGTTCGAAGTTTTCCATTTTTGAGTTGTCGGTGTCTGTAAAAATATCGGTGATCCCAGGCCCGGTCTCAGTGCTGTCATAGGAGTCCAATAACGAGGTTTTACTAACTAAGCAGAAAAGACTGATAATCACCCTGCCGTGGCTCTTGCTTTCTCCTAGCAGACACTTCCAGACCAAGCAATCTGAAATCTGACCACCAGGTCGCCTATCTGTGCTGGTTGAGTGCTCCAATGCAGCCTGCCAGCTCAGGATGGCTGCATGGAACTATTCATTGGCTCGGAACTCGGCCAAACATTTAACCTTTTAGAGCATGGTATCAGGGCATGGTTCTAACAGCTAGGGCACTCAGGGACGAGCTATTGGTGGTAACTTTATTTGTGGGGTTTCCTGGTGTCTAAACCAGGGCCTGACAAATTTGCTTGGAATCTAGGTGCCAGCTAAAAAAAGTTAGGAGACTTTTTAAATTTTTTATTAAACAAAGCTTAATTTTCAACAACAAAAATACAATTCCTAAAGAGACACTGTTACGGTTGCCCCAGGCTAGCTGAGGGTTGGACCGTAGAAGGATGCTCCTAGCGCTCACCAAGGAACATCAGCACCAGACCAGACACCATAACCACCACAGACCCCATGAACCGCCGCGGCTTGGTTGGGGTCTTGCCGTCTCCTACCCACCCCGGACCTACGACAAGGCTCCAGGTTCCAGTGAGTGAACCTCTCTTTCCCCAATGGGTGAAGCAGGAACAGGAACAAGATCTTACAAGAGCTCAGTGAAGCTAAGGGAGTATGAAGAGCATAGCAATCCCTGTAGTGATTATAGCTGTCCCCTCCAAACACAAGTCAAGGCTGCGAGTTGAAGGTCAAGTAGAACTGGTTTAATGAGCAACTTGCATTTCTTATTTACACATTTCCAGGCCACAGGCACACCCCCTGGACCTGATGGAACATAGGAACAAAAGGAGCATAAACCAATCAAAACAAAACCCTCCACTCTATCCTGGAGCTAATTGGCTTAAGTGGCTGTGGTAACTTAATAATTTCCAGGTACAGGAAATATCTCTAAGTCAAAAACTGTAACAAAAACCACATAAAAATACATAACTCATATAATACAATGTTTAAGCTATATGTCCAACATATCCCCAGATAGCTTGGACCTGAGCGCTCAATATGTCCGAAACGTGCTCAGATCTCACGAATACAGTTGGATCGCCATGGGGTTAAAGTTGTCTCAATGGCTGTTCGGCAGAATTCAACCCAGCATTAGTTCCACAGTTTTTAATCATAGGGTCAGTCTAGTTCGTGAGTGTGAAACTAACGAACGACGCGGCGTTCGTATGTATATAGACGAACGGATGGAAAGTTTGGATGTCCCAGCAGTGTTCGTGGGAAATGGTAGCCGAAAACAGTTCCACGCGGACAACGACAAACACCACTGGGCATTCGGCAGTTAAAGGTGGCCGCCGCCACATGTTCGTTCATACGAACGACGACCACCCAGCCGTTCGTCAATTAAGCTGCGGTTAACCGCAAACCGCATCTTCTGGGAGGCTGATGAGCGGCACACTCCACATACCGGGTGGTCGGTCGTAGGGCAATTTGTTCGGTACTTGCACGTACAAGCCCTTTCACCATCTGGGGACAAGGTTTTAGTGCATGGGCCATAATCCTGGGGCAAGAGGCTGGCAATCAGGCCCCTCCAAACGCTTGTGGTGAAATGCTGTTCGTCACAGACACTATAGTCACCAGAACCACTATAACTAAATGTAGTGGTTCTGGTGTCTATATTCTGTCCCTGCAGGTTTTTCAATGTAAAGAGAAAATTTTCAGAGAAAAGGCCTAGTAACGCCTCTAGTGACAGTCACTCAGATGGCCACTATAGCGGATTCTTTTTACAGTGCTGCATGGACACGCTGAACGCTCCCCATAGGCATGCATTAATCTAATGCATCTCTATGAGGAGATGCTGATTGGCGCAGCATGGTGTTTTGCCATGCATGCGCAATAGCCTCCCAATGCTTTCCTAAAGGAAAGCATTAGATTAGCTAAATTGATCAAAATTGATAATCTCAGCTATGGAGACGGGGCCAGCCGCGGTAAGATCAGCGCAGCATGGGACAAAAGTGAGTAAAACACCTTTTCTGTGAGATTGGAGGTGGGATCGTAACCTAGTTAGTTTAACACTATAGTGTCAGGAATACATGTTTGTATTTACACATAAAGAATACTAAAACCAAACGTTATGGGCATTTAACTTAAAAATCTGATGTGACACACCAGATGTTTTACGCAATGTACAGTTTTTTGCACTTGGCTTTTTGTAGTCATGATGCCGGGCCGGAGTGATGTCATATTCCGGCTCCCGGCATCAGAGCAGGCTGGGCAAGGTCGCAGAGCAAGAAGAGCAGTAGGAATACAGCTCCCTCGCCGTCCACCTCGGGGGGCCCTATGGTGGCCAGCTCTTGGGCCACCCTCTGACAGGTGAAACACAGAGGGCCAGGTCGCACACCCTGTGACCCCTGTATTTCCACCACTGCACAAGCAGACATCGGTGCAAGCAGTGTTGAACGGGCTGACAAACACCCAAGTGCAAGGACAAAATTCCTAGTTGCCTAACTATGGCAGCAGCCATATTAATCTTTTTTTTAAGTAGCTATACAGAATAAGGCTATATATTAATGACAGTGCATAAAAATAACATGTGAACAGTTTTATCAAAATTATAAGCTGCAATATATTTAGATAGCAAAAACAAAGTTTAGATTAAAAAAAAAAATTTAAAAATTAAACGCTAGAAAAACTAGAAAAGAGAACTAAATACGGTGACAGAACAGTCAGTGTCCATAGCCCTGGGAACCTTCCTAAAGGAAGCATAGCAGATAGTTTCTCCCTCTGATGGACACTAGAAGGAGTTCAGATATCGATTTCGCAACTCAAAGGGAAACACAAACAAACACATACACGCGCGCGCTGAGAAGCTTGGTCTTCAGAAGACCAGGACCCAAAATCCATTGAAATTTAGAAACCCATTTTCAATGGTCCAGAGGGGACATAGCTCTCCAAAAGGAATTGCAGATCTAGAGCTAAACAAAGATGGTGAAGGAGAGAATTCTTGGATGGCGTTTGGGAGTGGGTGAAGGAGTGACTGGATCTTCTCTCTAACACTGGTATCTACTCTATGGGATTGTGCTGGCCCTCGGTTCAGTTATGCATCCCGTGTCTGTAGTGAATTGAGTGCAGTTCCTTTCTCTTTCTTTGCCTCATTTCAAGGAGGTCAGAATTTATTTTAATATCACTGATGTCAAAATTTCACAGCTCCACCATGGATTGGTTTGATGGTAAATTGTAAACGACTTGAGAACAGTTTGACACTTACCTACCCCCGGCTGGGCATTAATTGTACCCCAGTTTGATGTGGTGAAGCAGAAGTTTACTGCTCCCCATTTTCATACTAACTCATACTGTACTGTAACATTATTCATTGGTTGAGGGTGTGAGCTGGCATTTCACCACGGGGCTCTGCCAGGGAACCAGCCAGCTGGAGTGGTTATTGAGGGATATTAAGTTATATATGTGCATTACAAATACACAAGAAGCGGTGTCCCTCATGGAGAATGTGCATTTTTGCCATTTTAAAGGCTGGAATATCAACAGTGTTTGGAAGCTTCTATTATTGTCATGCAGTCTCTTTATGTGGGGACACTCGTTCACAGGCGATTTTTGTTTTTTTGACTCTCACTTATTTGTGTATTGTAAACTCAATAATAATAATAAAAATAAAAACATTTTTCTTTTAAAGGGACACTGTAGGCACCCAGACCACTTCTGCCCATTGGAGTCGTCTGGGTGCCAACTCCCACTACCCTTAACCCTGCAAGTGTAATTATTGCAGTTTTTATAAACTGCAATAATTACCTTGCAGGGTTAAGTCCTCCCCTAGTGGCTGTCTATTAGATAGCCACTAGAGGGCACTTCATAAAAGAGCCCCTAGATAAATGTCCACTTTACTAATATCACTGATATCATAACAAATAATGAATTAAAAATAGATCATGGCTAAGATATAGATTTACAGAATTAAATTTCAGTTTAAAAATAAATGAACAAATTTTTTTTATATCAAACGGCTAAAACAGCAGAAATAGTGACATCCTTATTCTATTCCTAGCTTAATCCTAAAATTAGCAACATGTTTAAAACTGAACTATATTGTATGTATAGGTCCTCTGTGATCCTTCCGAAGAAGCTCCATGGTAATGCAACACATATAAAAAAAAGTTATCTTACCATCGGATGTATTTTGCTCTGATATTTCGTGATTTGAAGTCATGGGGCCTTGAAAACTACGATCCCTGAATGTTCCCGCAAGGTGAATGCAGGGGAATTGACACTCAATTGGACCAAAGGTTAAAATGATTCATCTATTTCGTAATAAACCAGATCCGTGTTATTTGTTAACCTTTTATTGGCATATGGCGGCTTTTCTCTTGACCTGTAATGAGCGCTCTAACGTTAGGAATACAAAGTTGTATTTTTAAAGTTAGAGGTACTCCTGTTGAATTAGAGTTATGCCTCTCGCCTTGAGACATTAATAAAATTGTTTAATTTACTCAATACGTGGTGGTCTTGCTGTGGCCAACACTCCGCCCCCGGATGAGATTATCAGTGATGATCTCAGCTAATCCAATGCTTCCCCAAAGGGAAACACTGCGAGGGGCGTGGCCTGAGCTCCGAGCGAGATGGACGCATAGAGAGTGAGCTCCGACCCGCCGGCACCTACCACAGCCTATTAATCAGCAACTCTCCGCACACATGGGACGCCACCGTCGCACTGATGCCCCCCAGACCCCGAGGGGCTCCCAGATAGGGCACACTCACGGCCCGATGGACGGTTTCCTCCACAGCCAAGCCGACATGAGCGGGGAGGCCAGCGGATCCAATATGGCGCCGGCAGAACAGTCCCCCAGAGAACCTCGTGGCGCTACACTAGAGGGGATCGGGGAGGAGATCAGATCAATGGCTGCTGCCATGGCCACAAAAGCAGACCTCCTGGTACATACCACCTCCATACAGGACGCCCTACGAGCCGAGATTGCAGGAATCAGGTCAGAAGTAACTGCTCATACAGGCCGCATACAAAGCCTGGAACACTCCCAGGAAACCCAGGCCACTAGGCTGCAGGCGACCGATACAGCCCTTGCACGCCAGGGGGAAATGCTCCTACACATGAGGAGAACAATAGAGGATCTGGACAATAGGGGGAGAAGATGCAACATTAGGGTCCGTGGGGTCCCTGAATCAGACGGGGAAACTATTGAAAACATCCTCAATGACATCTTTCGCATGATCCTGGGAGCGGATGCCCCACACACATTCAGCTATGAGCGGGCACACAGAGCACTACGCCCCAGGCCGTCGGACGACAACCCGAGGGATATAATATGCTGCCTCAGCTCCTTCCGTGACAAAGACGCCATCATGAAGGCGGCCAGATCCAGGCCTACCTGGAATTTTAGGGACACAATGGTATCCCTATTTAATGATCTCTCCCCCATCACATTAGAGGCCAGAAGGGCACTGAAGCCCATAACAGCAGCCCTTCAAGAGAGGAATATCCAATACAGATGGGGCTACCCCTTTGCCTTGTTGGCCCGCCACCAGAATGGATGGTCCTCCATACGCTGGCCCGAGGAGATTCCGAGATTTCTGGAAGAAATGGATCTACCGCATATCTCGGTCCCTGATTGGATCCTGGGCCCCCTAGGGGGGAGACCACAGCCGCAAAGAGCACCCAGGAGGCGAGGAGGAGGACCGCCACAGGGACCAGCGCAACGAAGGCGCAACAACCAGGAGGCACCAGAATAAGCGGTCATGTCGCCGCCCCCGCCGGGCACGTCTCCCTGATCCTCGCCCCCACCTGGGAGACCTGCACTTGCCATAGATTTCACGGAACATGCTACCCTGCTGGACGATCCGGGGACCTACACAGCTGGATAACGAAGATGTAACGTACATGTATATTTTTCTCTTTTTTCTTTTTTTTCTTTTTTCCTGCCGAGACTGAGCTCGAACACAGCTTGCCATACCATCACACGGGAATAAGGTTTGGGGTGGGGAAACTGGGGGGCACTCGTTATACGAAACAAGTGGAGCTGCCGTACCAAACGGATGAGGGCGGCATAACACAAGCTCTAGATGACATGACGAGCTAAGTACTTTGGGGGATGAACACACACCACTACACGAAGCTCCATCACACGAGGAACGGAATCCCCAGCATCAGCTGGCAACTCAGGAGAAGCCCACCACGGTTTTACGGTACAGGACACTACCCCTGCACATAAGCTAATGGTTAAGCTCGACCCCACTGATCTGCATGTTTTGCACCTAGAATTAATGGTTATAGTATCTGCACAACACACAGGGAATAAGACGCATCAATAGCCTTATACATGACACCTCCCTGGATCTTGCAGGCCTTTCATTAGTTAAGCCATGCTCCACCACGTGATATTTTCCCTCCGTTAAGTACCAGCAGATAAGAGGGTGGGGCACATTATACTCTGGATAGTCATTTGATGGGCTGCCATACCCAGGAGTAGGGGGCACTCGCCACAACACACCCGCAGAAACAGATAGGAGGATTTAGCATATTTAGAAGTGGAGGGGGATAGTACTGGGACATAGAAGACACCCGGGCCATATCTCGCAGACACAGTATTGAATATATTCCCCAATTGCCACACAAAGGGTAAACAGAGAGGGGGGAGGGAAGACAGATGGGGGGAAAGTAGGAAAAGGAAGGGGGAAGGGGAATGAGACATAATAATAACCTCATATTATGTATGCATGCCTAATGTTCGTGATGATGTCACTTATACGTTACTTGTTTTTCATTGACTAACGTCCAGGATGCAGGAGGCGCATCCAGGTCCGGGGAATCGGGGAGGGCGGGAGACGGGACGGTGGAGGGGGCAAGCCGATTGGACTCTGGGTATTGTCCTCATATGTTACAATGTTGAAATGTATGTATACTACTGTTTATATGTTTGGCTTTCCATGTACCGATACCGGCACCAGGCTGGAGGGCCGGCGGGGGGGAGCTGGTTAGTATTGATCGGTTACAACACTCTCACTTTCGGCCCAAGAAGGATTGGGGCGGGGCTGCTAACCCCTAACAAAAACCGTGCACAGTTTTAGACGTCGGGGCTTCCCACAGGCCCACACATCGGTCTGGTTACCGGGGTGGGCCCGGGCACCTCCCGCCGTCGCACGGCTACACCCTCCTTTCCACAAAGGAGGACCGAGGTGGACACTTTCCTTTCCCCTTCTCGGGGCCACCTCTACTTGGGGGTCTTTATAACTCCCCACTTTTTTAACCCACACACTTTCCTCACTCTACAACCTACTTTGACGGACCTGTGACAACCCCCCCCCCGACTCAAGGGTGTGCTCCGCGTGTGAGTACACTTATCGCCCCTACTACCCTAGTCGCTCTGAGCCTACCACATAAGGACATATCGACCCGCAACCTGAAGTGCCTGACGTCCTGACATAGCACCGGTCGCGGGGTGGGAGCCCTGCGCACTCGTTGATCCCACGCTAATCGACCCACCGCACCTGCGGCTACACTGTGGACTGATCACTGGGTGACTTTGAGGGAACGTGGACAGGCCTCCAGCTAGCTGTAATATAAGACCTGGTGCTGGGATCTCCGCGTGCCCCCTCCTGGCTGGCGGATTGACGATGGCGTACCTCGGTGCTCCGCTAGCTGCTATGGCTCTCAACTGCCGAGGCCTGAACGTGCCGGAACGACGCACCCATCTGCTTCGTGAACTACGGAAAAAACGAATCTCCATAGCGATGCTCCAGGAAACTCACTTCCTCGAGGGGTCCGCGCCTAAACTCCGTAATCGGCAATACCCCAACACCTTCTTCAGCAATCATCCCACAACCCGTAAAGCAGGAGTCGCTATCACCCTTGCAGCAGAACTGGACTTCAAAGAACTAGATAAGGTAACTGACAAGCTAGGGAGATACCTCTTCCTAAAAGGCACGATAGCGGACAGAATGTACACCCTGGCTTCCATTTATGTGCCCAACAAAAACCAGGCACGTTTCCTTCGGAGAACAATGAACAAACTGAGCGGATTCTCGGAGGGCACACTCATTGTGGGGGGCGATCTCAATACCCCGTTGGACCCTCAGATGGACACATCCACGGGACACTGTTATATACCTATGTCTAGCATCCACTCGATACGTAAGTCGATGGGTGACTTGGGACTGGTGGACTGTTGGAGAGTACTCAACCCGGATGTCAAAGATTACACCCACTACTCCGCACTTCACAACCGCTACTCGCGGATTGACTACGTACTAATCCAACAGGAAGGCCTGTCGCGACTGAAGAAGGCCACAATCGACCCCGCTACATGGTCGGATCACGGTCCGGTTACAGTGGAACTGGAATCGCCACTGTTCAAACCGGCAACATGGACCTGGCGTCTGAACGAATCCTTGCTACAGGACCCCGAGGTGGAAAACGAAATTGCACGAGCTCTTGACCTTTACTTCGAAGAAAATGATGTGTCAGACACCTCTCCAATTGTACTCTGGGAAGCTCATAAGAGTACCATCCGCGGTATACTTATAAAAATAGCCTCTCGACGACGGAAGGCAACCATGCAGGAAATGGCGGACCTATATGGGACTATCTCAAAGCTGGAACTCCAACACAAACAAAACCAACTTGCCAGTGTCCGACAAGACCTGACAGATGCCCGACGCAGACTGAAAGATCTTCTCACGAAACGATACTACCGCTCACTACAACACTCCAAGAACTTTTTCTATATCCATGCTAACAAAGGAGGCAAATACCTAGCCCGCGTCCTGAAAGGCGATACCCCCCGCACACGGATACATAAAATACGTCTACAAACAGGGACAGTGTCCCAATTCCCTGAGGACATCGCCAATGAATTCCAACGATATTACCACGCCTTGTATAATCTACATGGCCCTGGAAATATGACGATGGGAAACCACGCCAGCACACCTATCCAAGAATACCTACAAGACAACGTAGGTAGCCGGGTATCACGGGAAGCAGCGAATACGCTGGACGAACCGATTAGCATTGAGGAAATGGCCGCAGCCTTGAAGAGCGCTAAGGCGGGCAAGGCACCGGGACCTGATGGATTCTCCATAGGTTATTACAAACGCTTTTCCTCAACTCTCCTACCTCAACTAACTACTGCGGTCAACACCATCACCGAGGGGAAAAGATTCGGAGCGGAATCACTAGCCGCCACTATCACGGTCCTGCTCAAACCAGGGAAAGACCCGGAACAGTGTAGCAGTTACCGACCAATATCCTTACTAAACGTGGATACGAAACTGCTCACGAAGGTACTAGCAACTAGGCTACAACGTATATTGCCAAGCCTGATCCATGAAGACCAGACGGGGTTTATACCGGGGAGGGAGGCGCGAGACAGTACACTGCGCCTCTTCTCCATACAACACAGAGCACGGGAGACGCGGGACAAGATCTTACTCCTTTCCACGGACGCCGAAAAGGCCTTTGACCGTGTTAACTGGTCATACATGATGGACACACTGAGGGCCATGGGCCTAGGACAGAACATGTTGACGTGGATCTCTGCCCTGTATGATAAACCACACGCATCTATTCGGGTGAACGGGGCCCTTACCTCCGGCTTCGAGATTCAAAATGGAACTAGACAGGGATGCCCCTTGTCGCCACTACTATTTGCAATGACTATGGAACCACTACTACACGCGATCCGCCATAACCCAGACATCTCGGGATACAATTGGAGGGGAACGGAGCATAAGGTGGCCGCATACGCGGACGATCTTCTCTTCTTTATCTCTAACCCACGAGTCACGATGCCCTGCTTACTGCTAGAATTCGAAAAATTCGGGAAAATCGCAGGATTTAAACTTAATCTTTCAAAATGTGAAGTACTTAATCTAACCTTTCCACCGGAAGAATACCTGGAATTGGGAACAGTCTTTCCATTCCGCTGGTACGCGGAGAAAATGAAATATCTTGGAGTGTGGATCACCACAAACCCGCAGGAACTTTATCGACATAACTTTGCCAACATCCTGCGACAGGTAACCTCAGATCTTGACAGATGGGCATATCCGCACATCACCTGGCACGGACGAATCGCAGTAATCAAGATGAACGTGCTCCCGAGAATCCTCTACCTATTTCAGACAATACCAGTGGCACCACCGACAACCTTCTTCTCCACCCTGAAATCGGCGGTAATTAGATATGTCTGGAGAGGGGAGAAGTCTCGACTACGCCATAACGTACTTTGCCTACCTAGACTGGGAGGTGGCCTGGCGCTCCCGGACTTCAAAAGATACCACCAAGCCACCACACTTCAACGAATCCTGGAGTGGCACGCGGCTGATTCCCCAAAACAATGGGTCGTCCTGGATGGGGGAGAATCACGGGCCACACTTAAAGCGGCGGTATGGCAAGGGGGAACGAGATGTCGCGATGGCGAAGGAGCAGGGAACCCGACGACGCAGACGCTAAAGACTTGGGCAACGATACGGAAAACCAGCCATGTGTCCCCGACCCCCAGCCCCCTGCTCCCCATAGTCCCCAACCCAAATCTGGCGGGAGGCATTTCGGCCAAGGCCTGGATATTTCTGGAGGAGGGGGACTACATCCCGATTCGAACGGTCCTTCAAGAAGGGGCACTTCGACCCCTAAACACATTAATGGCCGACAGACCTAATACGCCCATGGCGTCCCTCCGCTACCTGCAACTAACACACTACTATAGATCCATTCCACGCAGGGAACACCTACATAGAGACCTCACATGGTTTGAGGGTCTTTGCCAACGAGGAGCCACACTCGACAAAGCAATCTCACTGCTATACCAACACCTGCTGTTGGGAGCTACCCCAACTAACAACACCTTCAGGAGACAATGGGAAGAACAAATGGGCGGACCGATATCGCAACCACAGTGGGACGCAGCACTTTTATGGCAACACAAGAGTTCCTCCAGCTCACACTATCAGGAAGTAAACTATAAACTGATATCCATGTGGTATAGAACACCAGTTGCCCTACACAGGATCTTCCCAACGGCGTCCCCAACATGCTGGAGATGTCAGGAGGAGAGAGGCACGATCATACACCTTTGGTGGGATTGTAAGATCATTATCCCATATTGGGAACGAATCCGGTCTGAAATCAAGGAGGTACTAGGGGAGGACACGGAATGGTCCAAGGAACTAGTTCTCCTGCACATCACCTCGCGATCCATATCAGGTTACAAGAAGTCCATCCTACGTCACCTACTGAATGCAGCTAAAGCCCTTATCCCTGTATATTGGAAACGAACTGAGGTCCCCACGGTTGCAGAATGGCGAAACAGAGTCGGAGACATACAGTTGGCGGAAGCACTACAGGCATCCCTGACGGGTCGGGGGACCAGGCACGCGGAGATGTGGCAACCATGGTTCATCTACCAGGCTGGAGGGCACTAAAGGTCTCGTGAGGGGGGAGGGAGTGACGGTGGACGGGGAGACAGATCACGCGCCTACCCCGCCAAAGCCATGGGGGTTGGGACCACTCCATCACTGGAAATATAATCCCTGGGCAGATGAAACCAACATTGGCCCGCCGACCCAACCCTCCCACACACATTCCGAAACGCTGAAAATACGTGACCCAACCGAGACCTCCCTTCTCGCACGCGACTATAACCACTGGGCACCCACGGGGCGCGACATGGGGACAAGGAGGGGGAGGGGAACCTGATAGGACCGCTACTTTCTTTTCTCCCTTTTCGACTCTCTTTCCCATGCTGACCCCTCTTACATGTCTAATACACAATGCACACGCCTGGGGGACAGGGGGAGGAGGGGGAAGCCAAGAGTCAAGAAAACCAAAAAAAAATAAAAAAAAAAGGAATACATAATACTGGCACTATTATCGGTACATCGAATTGCGGGACATGGGAACACACCCATAGAATAACCAAGCCTAACCTTAAGACCAAAGCACCTACGCTCCTTTCATGCCAGGAGCTAGTTAACTATGTCCAGCCTATTATTAGGCACTCCTGCTACAAGGTATACTGTGTCTTATGAAGGCACCCGACTTAGAGCCACGCTTTATGTTAAAAGACCGCTTACTAGCAATAAGGATGTTACATACTATACATATGTACGTACGCCAAAACAGTGACGGTTGTCACTCTACATACTTTACCTTTCTGTTATCCTATGTACGCCTACTGTTAGTTACGTAACTTATCGCTGTAATTAAATCCTGTCAGGAGACTTGGTTACGTGGGCACAAAATAAATGTGACTCAAAACATGGAAATATCGCTACAATACCCTTGTCTTCTAAGTAGGCCTGCGAGCCGAATTCTTTCTGTAACCCTCTCTTTTCTTCAATAAACAGATTTTCAAAAAAAAAAAGGGAAACACTGCGGGCCTACTGTGCATGCGTGGTGACCTCCACGCTGCACCAATCAGCTTCCCCTCCTAGAGCAGAGCAGTAAGGCAGGAAAGTTGGTCCGCAAAGATAAAACTAAATAAAGTTAACAAATTAAGTTTCAAAATTTTGCCAACCAAAGCAGATATGAATGGATGTGTTTCAACCTAAGTGTTTTTCCTAAAAGCATACACTACGTGAGGCTTTTCTTAGAACTTCTACGTTAAACAGATGGTTATGTGGTTTGGATAATGCATTAAATAAGAAACTTGTAAATTACCTTTCAGATGAGACGGGAAGGCTCCAGTAAAAAAAAATGGCTGAAATACTTGCATAGGTCCAGTGTGGACGCTGCCGTGCTGCAAATTAGATGGGACAGAGGAAAACATGCTCCTGCCTTGGGATATTGAAGGCTGACAGGAGGATCCATTGGGTACGGGAGAGTGCGTACATTCTTGTGGAATCTGGACATCACCATTAAAGAATAATGCTGGCAAAGTGTCTTCTTTCTTTGATGAGGTAGAAATGTGTATATTTTCCATTCCGTTGGTGACCAAAGGGAAGCTAGCTGTGGACTGGGGAGCGCAGCAGGAGCCGCCATTTTCAGAATGGGACGTGGTAGAATATGCTTCCTTGGAAGACGACTCTCTGTTATAACTGTACGGAAAAGGTGGATTTGCTAAATAATTTGGAACAAATGGCAATCCCGATTCAGGTTTTACATCTTCAGTTTCAAGGTCTTCCACTGAAATATTAAACAATCAGACAGGTTATTTAAATGCGTTACCTGGACAAAGTATAAACAGACAGCCTGGAAGACAATCAGAACTGGCAAGGCACTTCTTTTGTTGCGATATTAAATAGAATATGATCACAGAACATTTTCATAAGCTACAAGAGTCCCTACTGGTCCATTCAAAACCTTATCATTTAATCATTGGACGAGGCCCTTCACAACTGATTTCAGGTTAGCACGCACCTCTATGTATCGCTTTCACTGTTACACAACCATCAGTTTTACAAACTCATCACCGTAGACCAGTCTTCTATTGCACACATCCCATTACTATACACAAACCTTCACTTTCACACACCATAACTATACACCTTCACTCTCAAACACTTATCATTATATCCAGCATTCACTTTTGCACATGCCTTATAATAAAACAATCATTTTCACACCCTCACTATTCACCAATCTTCATTTTTATAAACCACCCTTACTATGCAGCTACTTACATACATCCATAGGTTTACAAACCATTCACTAAAATATACTTCTACACAACCCTCACTATATGATAAATCTCCAATACCTCTTCTTTCATTTTTTTTCTGTCCAAATGTCCCTCATTTCAAGGAGTGTTAGACAGAAGATCCAGGCGCTCCAATGTCTTTAGACACATTTTATAACAACCTGTGGAACACTGCACCATTTTGACCCCCCAAGGGGTCTTTGTCAAGTGCTGCGACGTTTCGACCCCCACATGTTCTAATGAAGGTGCCTGAAGACATTGGAGTGACTGGACCTTCTCTCTAACACTGGTATCTACTCTATGGGATTGTGCTGGCCCTCGGTTCAGTTACGCATCCAGTGTCTGTAGTGAATTGAGTGCAGTTTCTTTCTCTTTCTTTGCCTCATTTCAAGGAGGTCCGAATTTATTTTATGCATGAGTAAATCCCACAGATCTGCAGCAATCAAATTTACAAGTCTGCACATTTAAACTATAGTGAATGCACTCAGAAAAGAGTTTGCAGACATTTTCTTTATTGCAATGTACAAACTGCCCCCCTTTGCCATTTAAAAAATATTCTAAAAAAAATATTACTCATCTCACTTCCAGCGCTGAGACTCTTCCAATCTAGCCTCCGGTGATGTCAGCAAGCAAGCTAATGTCACCTGGGATCTCGTCCAATCCAAGGCTTCTCATAGAAAAGCTATGGATTGGAGAATTCATGCACATTACACTAGAGGCTTGCTTAATCCATTACAAAACAGTAATGGTTTTTACATTAAAGGGTTAAAAGTACAGGATCACTGTACCCACTGAGATGAAGTGGTCTGGAAGAATTTAGTGGTCATTTCTATGACCATTCTGTTACATAAATGGCTATTAGAAAATTATAGGAGTTATCTAACGTATCCTGCAATAATCCCCTTCAGCATTCTTCCAGATCCACCCCATAAACAAGAGAGAGTTGCCAGCTTCATGACTAGGGGTCATGTATAAATGAATGATTTTTTTGAGCACAAAACTCACAGATCTCTGCATGAATTGTTCTTCTCAAAGTGAGCACTCATCATAAATTAGTTTGACAGTCGGAGGCTCATATTTTCCTGCAACCTCAATCCTTATGAATTGTGCAACAGAATGGAGCATTTAGAAAGAGCTGAGCATGCCTAAAGACAGACTCTTTCCAGTTACTCCAAACATGTGTTCCTAACACTATAGTCTTTAACTACCTATATTTTAGTGCCCAGTCCCCACCGTGTGAGGGTTTGAAAGGTGAGATTTACTTTACGTGAGATCATCGATGTAGAAGGTCTGAGACAATCCAATGTTTCCCCATAGGCAGAGCTGCGCCAATCAAAACGGTCTCTATGAGATCATCTGATTGAAAAAGCCGCTATATGGGTGGAAGCGCCTCTAGTGGCTGTCAGGGAGACTGCCAATAGAAGCATGTTAACCCTGCAAGGTAAACATTGCCGTGCCTGCAGTATATTTGTGGTCATATCACTGAATGAAGGCATGGTCTGCCTCAATTTTTTATACAGATTGAAGCAAGGTTTGTCCAAATTTCCCCCAGATCTACATGGAGACATGCTGGCTGTGAAGATGTAGGTAAATTGAAAGATAATTGCAAGTGACAAAAGCCCTATTATGCAAAGACCTTTTGTGTTATGTCCAAACATAGTGATTTTTTATTAATTCTGATGTACTATGGCTGTGCACTGGGTAAAATGATAGAAAATTTAAAGTAATTTTTCCAGACGAAATTCATGTCTTACCTCTTTGATGATGGATTTAGCCATCAGTATCACACTTTACTTTTTTATTCACTCTAGTATTCGATGTCTCTAGGAAACTTATAATCTGTACATTAAGTTTCTTTAATAAATATTCACAAAAAGTCATTCACATGTCAGATCACCCATCCAAACAGAACTCATACAGTAACATCTAAAAGTCAAGGTAGCGTTGGATGTTCTATTTTTCCATAAGAGGAAAGTTGTTCCCTTTCAATTTCAATTTTATGGTTATATCAATATAAAGTGTTCATCAGTTAATAATTCCCCCCTTGTTTAGGGGTTTAATTTTTAGATTTTAACTATTTTGATTGTCACTCGTGCTATAATGCCTTTGGATACATCTATTTGCTGGGACAATGTAATAAGCCATTGAGCTTATTTAGAACACGATCTATTAATTAAAGCTATTAATATAATAATATTTATGTTACTTATTGCCGTTGTATATATGTTTACCAAATCATTAGAATACTAACCTCCTTCATACAGTGAACTTTCTATCAATGATAGGGATGTGCATGGGCAAAAAATTTAATTTGGGACTTCGGCAATCCCCTAAGCCTAGCCCTACCACTAACCTAAGCCTAACCCTACCCCTAATCTAACCCCAACCCTAACTCTAACCCTAAACCTACCCTAACCTAGCTCCAACCCTACTCCTAGCCTAACCCCAACCTCTTGTAGGGGGAGGGTTAGTGGTGGGGTTAGGGTTAGATTCCTGTCATCATTACCTCAATTTCCCCTCCCTCTCCTGTTTTGCCCCTTTGCAGAAATCCAAAGCACTTGGGTTCTGCACTTCCGAAGTTCAGCACTTCGGACATTAGGAAGCATCCGAATTGCCAAAATTCGTCCGAATTCAAATTCGGACCAAAATTAATTGCATATCTAATCAATGATCACTGGCCACGTTATACCTTTTCACACCGCATACAGTCTCGTATTTACATGTACATACTACAAGAATATTTTTTATATACAGTCCTATTTGTAGTAGAAACATAGAATGTGACAGCAGATAAGAACCATTTGGCCCATCTAGTCTGCCCAATTTTCTAAATACTTTCATTAGTCCCTAGTCTTATCTTATAGTTAGGATAGCCTTATGCCTATCCCACGCATGCTTAAACTCCTTTACTGTGTTAACCTCTACCACTTCAGCTGGAAGGCTATTCCATGCATCCACTACCCTCTCAGTAAAGTAATACTTCCTGATATTATTTTTAAACCTTTGCCCCTCTAATTTAAGACTATGTCCTCTTGTTGTGGTAGTTTTTCTTCTTTTAGTATCGAGCGGGTCACTTGCATTATCATGAAAGGGTTAATTTAATTACTTTCCTCAACTGCCGCCTCTATACTCATTTCATTTTGACGATTTGTAATGATCACGCCCACCCATATCTCCCGAACGGCTGAACCGAATGGGCTGATTCTTTAATATGTTGGTCCCCCAGAGTCCAGCTATCAAGTATTTAGGGTACATCCAGACTTTGGGGAAAATGTGTTCCGTTTTAATTGTGTTAATGGATTATCTGAGGGGAGGAGATGTACAGTATGTATATTGTCAGGATTGGTTGTATTGTTAATTAGGGGGGAGTCTCCCTTGCATGGGCAGAATCCCATAAAAAGAGAGTGTCTATCAATAAATCTTCAGTTCATCTTTGCACCCTTCTTCTGACTACGACTGATGTTTGGGAATTCGTGTGTTTTACTGAGGGAATTATCCAGTGACACTATTGGAACTACACTAGGATTTGTCTACCATAACTACCGAACGGAGGGCTATATTCACTGGGCTCTAGTGGTTCGGGAGGAAACTACCGATTGAGGTTTAAATGTACTTGGTTTCCGTACACTTATTAAAAGGTATGTTTTAACGATTATTACTTTCTGGGTTGCTCCTTCCTTTATAGGAATTTTTTTATGTCCTTTTATCCGTATTCTTTTCTTTCTTTTTGTGTGTCATGTCTTACCTCCCAATAATTTCTTTATTTCGTTCTTTGATGTCAGTTGCTCTGGTCTCTCCCCTTTGGTTGTGAGAATGGTATTGTCCGCTCCCGATTCTAGCAGATAAGACACAACCTGAATTTGATTTCTTTTACAAGCCCAGTGAAGGGAAGTCCTAGGGAAATAGAAATATACACATTTTATATCAGGATAGGGGACTGTTTAGCTCAGAGCACTCATCCTATTACTGTTATTATAAGTAGGACGGCTAATAGTTACATAGCTGAAAAGGAAAGAGACATGTGTCCACCAAGTTCAGTCTCTCTCACATCTGTTTTTGCTGTTGTTTTTGCTGTTGATCCAAAAGAAGGCAAAAAAAGCCAGTCTGAAGCGCTAACAATTCTGCCACTAACTAGAAAAAAAAATCCTTCTTGACCTTAGAATGGCAGTCAGATATCTCCCTGGATCAAGACGCTATTACCCCACTAATTAAAAATTATATCCCTGAATGTTTTGCAAGTATTTATCCAATTGCTGTAGAGACTCTGATAAAACCACCTCTTCGTTATACGTTAGCTCACGTCAACAAGAGCCGAGCTGCAGCAGGGAGACCAGTACTTTATACTGGGAGAGATCTGGTTTTGTCAGAACACTTGAAAAGGTTTTGACACAAACTGGGGAGAGACTCCTTGTACCATAACTGCCACAATGCGCTCTTGTAGCTATAGTGCATAGAGTGTCTCTTTAAAGTGCCTTGGTACACACTCTAATTTTAATAAAATCAACAACGGATTAACGGATTGTAGTCTGACCTTATTTAATATGCCTCTCTAACAGCTTGCAAGCTACCTGTCCCTTGCTATTTTACTACACTATCAAGGCTACCCTTGATGCCAGAATACATGCATCTCCAACTGTCACACCCATGCTAGGGTATGATTAACAATGGATACCATAATCTTATTTAAAGAGATCAGACAACAGCTGACAAGCCAACTCTTACTTGTATGCTAGTTACATCAGGGTTTCTTAGTAGTTGCGTAGTTCATGTTACTTTATCCTGAGACGTGGCACCCAAAAACTAATTGCACCATAACCACTTCAGAACACCTGTAGTGGTTATTGAGATGATAGGTTCCACTATACCTTGGCTAACTATGCCTGTCTAAAACTCATTTGAATAACAGTAATTAGTATTTATCATAAAGTAGTTACATATATATTATTTTAGTATAGTGCTTGACATGTTCCTGTAAAATAGTTGGTCAAAACAAATGTTGGAGAGTAACATTGAGCAGTGTTGAAAATGTAATCTATATATTGTGCTAGACAAATAGTTGGCAAATACATACATGAACAGTCAATACTAAATAATTTGTCCTTCACTTTTGATGAGGAAGTTAAAAAAAATACATTAAAAAACATGACACCATGGCATCTGCACTAAAATGCCAGGCCTAAAAGGACACTTGAGACATGTATTTTGGAATGACATTATTATCGCCATTTATATAGCGCCAGTAGATTCTGTAGCGCTTTACAATATTATAAGATGGGGATTTAACTATAAATAGCACAATTACAAGAAAACCTACAGGAACGATAGGTTGAAGAGGGCCCTGCTCAAACGAGCTTACAGACTACAGGACGTGCACATCACATGAGGGTTGAAGGGGGGGGGGGGGGGGGGTTAAAGATACATGTGATGTTACATATATGATCAATGCATATGATTTGCAAACACCTATATTTTAGTATATAAATATACTCAACACACACATAAGAAAAAGGAGAAAGAAACACACACATCTAGGGATAATGAATGGTTACATGAAAAAAAATTGTTGCTTGTACATGCAACTAATTTCTCATGCAACCAATCATTATCCCTAGATGTGTGTGTTTCTTTCTGATTTAATAAAACATAATATTAACTTACCATCCGTTGATCTCATTCTGATTGTTGACATCTGCCCCACTTTTGATAATACTCTGCACTTCTTCCAAGTCCCCCAAAGCAGAAGCCTCCCTCAATCTTTCTTCCATGTATAAGATTTCTAACTAGGTCATATATCTACCAACACACTTAAGGACTCATAAAGCTGCAGTATAAATATAAAATATATATATATAAAAATATGTATATTATTTCTGTTATTTTAAGAGTATGTAAAAAAAAATATATATATATATATTTTTTTTTTTCACCTGTAATAGACAAGGTGGTGAGTTATATATTCTATAAACACATATATTGCTTAAATTATAAATGTGCAAACAATGTACACAGTGACTGAATAAAAATATGTACATTAACTATGCATCTGATTAATTACTGAAAGCAAAATATAGATCTGCTGGTGGATGTGGCTTCTCTTCCTGTAAATAAAAGATTAGTTTTAGATTGTGATAGGAAAGATCTACTTAAAAAAAATACAAATTATTCAATGCTCAAAAATATATAGCTGTATGTCCTTAAATCCAGAGATTGGGGATAATATGCACCTAATACCACTCTATGTGCTCTGCATGTCCCCAAACACTTTTGCTGGGGGACAGTAATGAGTGTAGCACCGGGTGTTGAATATTCTGTTCCGGGGAAGAATCATTCCCATACAGTGTCTCCCCCTTGCTGTGTAGCCTGCTAGTGATGTCTTTTTGGGATTCTCATTTTAATCATACTCTGCTGTTCAGTAAAATATAAAATTAATTAAAAAAAGGAATTAAAAAAAAAAGCAAGGTTTATTCACCATTTTAAATTTTATATTCACAAAGGTGCAAGTTGTTATTCAGGGTAATTGAACTAATCAGTGATTTATTTCAGTTATTTAGAGTACATTTCAAATGTATTTAAGGCCAAAATAGAAAATAAACAACGGGTATGGGGGGGTAACAGAGATACTTTATATTTGAAATTCACTTTAAAATCCTAATAATTATCACTTAAGTAAATACATATACGATTAAAATAAAACTAGGTTATTCCCTGAAATTCTAAACTGTAGCAAATTAAAATATGGTTGCCAAGATTTAGGCGAAAGTAGCCAAGAGGTGACTCTAGCTAGAGTAGTAGAAGAATTTGGGGGGTGGGGGGGAACATCTGCCAGCTATGTTTTTAGAGTGGCTATTTTGACCTTCAATTTAAACTTCATTTTGGGGTTAATTCATTAAACTCTAAATTGTACCAAATTTAAATAAATGTCAATATGTTGCCTCAGATAGCCAAGAAGATTTTATCCAAATTATGTAACTGTTATTTCTGTTCAGAACATTTTAGCATTTACTGAGTATCCTCCCTATGAAGATCGTTCACTAGACTCTGAATTTTACAAAATTAAAATCCAACTGGCAAGAAATTTCCTATGCAGTTACAATTACACCTTGGCTTTTTTAACCTGAATGTTTTCACTTGGCTATTAAATTACTGGGGATTAGAACAGGGCCTGACAAAAAGTGGCAGTGTTAGCCTCATAAGCAAGCACTTAATAGAGATGCTTTTCCTTTTTCAGGGCTCCCCATAAGCAGAAAAACAGACAACAATCCCAGGCACTGTGACACAGAGTCAAATTTAGTCTGTCCCTCCAATATGGGACTGTTAGAGGTGTTATCAGGCCTTCCGACTTTCCCAAATCGAATGGAACAGTCGCGAGTTTGAATTGTCCCCATAAAGCGTAGAGTCAGCGCATCATTAGATATGCTTGCACTAGACCAAGAGTACTAGGGTCACGCACAGGGAGCTGTAAAATACGCTCTATACATGATCACGCCTAGGTGGGGCGATTGCCAGTCTGCCCACCCCCTATCTAGATTTATTTGACTCCCTGTGTTTAGAGATATGGCGAGTTATGTCTTCATTATGACCAAGCATCTCACTGTTTAGTGTCAGTGAATAAAATTTAGTTGCTTTTTAAATTTTTTATTTTTTTTTACTAAAGACCTGATTTGTTGAGGAATGACCAAATTCGGTGAAAATGGCTGAATTCCAACAAGAATGGAGATCCTCATATTTACTACCGCCAGTTCTTATTGGAATATGCACTGATTAGGCATATCCATTTTGTGTCTGGTTTCAAATCAGTGCTTTTCGCACCCAATCCCTTTATAACGTAATAGGACCCAGAATATTTACCAAGCACCAATTTTTAAAACCAAACCGTGACAGAATGCATCCGGCAAGATGCTTGTTTCCAAGTTTAAAGGACCACTATAGGCACCCAGACCACTTTAGCTTAATGCATGCGCATTCAGCTAATGACGTTGAAAGGAGGAGAGTCCCCAGCCCCGAGGGAGCCTGGCGCTGGAGAAAGGTAAGGATTTAACCCCTTCCTCCCCCTAGAGCCCGGCGGGAGGGGGCCATGAGGGGGCGAGGAGGGGGACCTATTAACACTACAGTGCCAGGAAAACGAGTTTGTTTTCCTGGCACTGTAGTGGTCCTTTAAGTACGATATGCCACCAGACTTTAATCGCCCAAAGAATGCAGGACCGATGTTCAGCGGCTCTACGTTCTGCATGGAGACGCTGAATGCTCCTCGCTGAGATGCGTTGACTGAATGTAAGGAGATGGTGACTGGCTCAGCAGGGGCGATTAAGCGTGCATGCGCAATAGCCTCCCTAAGCTGCTCTACGGGGTGAATTGGTTTGGCTAAGGTGGCCTGGCGGATCAATCGCCGCGAGACGGGCAAGGAAATCTACTTTTATTTGTTCTAGGGGGACCGAATAAAACAAATAGGTCCGGTGGGCTAACACTTTAATCCGAGGAATTGTGCTCCACCGAGGTTTCTTTTTTTTTTAAAGGGACACTCCAGGCCCCAAAACACACTTTATGCATTTCATGCTCTTCAGCCTCAATAATTGGCTGTACTTTGTCTATGCCTGAGTTTACATTGATCAGAGAAAATGGCCTTCTCTGACAGTCACGTGACTAGCACTAGATGGGCGTGGCTACGCTTGCTCCACGGTGGGCGCGGCCTCGCGTTCTGTGGGCGGGCTTCGAGGCTGTCTCGGGGGGGCGTGGCCAGTCACTCCCACTCGCCCGCCCGCCCGCCCAGCCCGCCGCGCGTTGCATTGTGGGGGCAGCGAGGGCCTCGGCCGCCATTTTGTTAGCACCGGAACGTTGTGTGAGGCGGACGCAGCGCGCGCGGAGCTCACCATGCTGTCGGCGGCCCAGCTGCTCGATGAACTGATGGGGAGGGACAGGAACCTGGCCCCCGACGAGAAGCGGTGCAACGTGAAGTGGGATGACGATTCGGTGAGAGTCGGCCTCATAGACCGCCACAGCTCGGCCACACAGGGGGGAGACAGGCCGCGGGGGGAGACAGGCCGCGGGGGGGGGAGGGTTACTGTGGGAACACAGCCTCTGTGACTGCAAGGGAAGGGTTAATATGGGTACACAGCCTCACTGACTGCAAGGGAAGGGTTAATATGGGTACACAGCCTCACTGACTGCATGGGAAGGGTTAATATGGGAACACAGCCTCTGTGACTGCAAGGGAAGGGTTAATATGGGTACACAGCCTCACTGACTGCAAGGGAAGGGTTAATATGGGAACACAGCCTCTGTGACTGCAAGGGAAGGGTTAATATGGGAACACAGCCTCACTGACTGCATGGGAAGGGTTAATATGGGAACACAGCCTCTGTGACTGCAAGGGAAGGGTTAATATGGGAACACAGCCTCTGTGACTGCATGGGAAGGGTTAATATGGGTACACAGCCTCACTGACTGCAAGGGAAGGGTTAATATGGGTACACAGCCTCACTGACTGCATGGGAAGGGTTAATATGGGAACACAGCCTCTGACTGCAAGGGAAGGGTTAATATGGGTACACAGCCTCACTGACTGCAAGGGAAGGGTTAATATGGGAACACAGCCTCTGTGACTGCAAGGGAAGGGTTAATATGGGAACACAGCCTCACTGACTGCATGGGAAGGGTTAATATGGGAACACAGCCTCTGTGACTGCAAGGGAAGGGTTAATATGGGTACACAGCCTCACTGACTGCAAGGGAAGGGTTAATATGGGTACACAGCCTCACTGACTGCAAGGGAAGGGTTAATGTGGGAACACAGCCTCACTGACTGCATGGGAAGGGTTAATGTGGGAACACAGCCTCACTGACTGCAAGGGAAGGGTTAATGTGGGAACACAGCCTCACTGACTGCATGGGAAGGGTTACTGTGGGAACACAGCCTCACTGACTGCATGGGAAGGGTTACTGTGGGAACACAGCCTCACTGACTGCATGGGAAGGGTTACTGTGGGAACACAGCCTCACTGACTGCATGGGAAGGGTTAATATGGGAACACAGCCTCTGTGACTGCAAGGGAAGGGTTAATATGGGTACACAGCCTCACTGACTGCAAGGGAAGGGTTAATATGGGTACACAGCCTCACTGACTGCATGGGAAGGGTTAATATGGGAACACAGCCTCTGTGACTGCAAGGGAAGGGTTAATATGGGTACACAGCCTCACTGACTGCAAGGGAAGGGTTAATATGGGAACACAGCCTCTGTGACTGCAAGGGAAGGGTTAATATGGGAACACAGCCTCACTGACTGCATGGGAAGGGTTAATATGGGAACACAGCCTCTGTGACTGCAAGGGAAGGGTTAATATGGGAACACAGCCTCACTGACTGCAAGGGAAGGGTTAATATGGGTACACAGCCTCACTGACTGCAAGGGAAGGGTTAATGTGGGAACACAGCCTCACTGACTGCATGGGAAGGGTTAATGTGGGAACACAGCCTCACTGACTGCAAGGGAAGGGTTAATGTGGGAACACAGCCTCACTGACTGCATGGGAAGGGTTACTGTGGGAACACAGCCTCACTGACTGCATGGGAAGGGTTACTGTGGGAACACAGCCTCACTGACTGCATGGGAAGGGTTACTGTGGGAACACAGCCTCACTGACTGCATGGGAAGGGTTACTGTGGGAACACAGCCTCACTGACTGCATGGGAAGGGTTACTGTGGGAACACAGCCTCACTGACTGCATGGGAAGGGTTACTGTGGGAACACAGCCTCACTGACTGCATGGGAAGGGTTAATGTGGGAACACAGCCTCTGTGACTGCAAGGGAAGGGTTAATGTGGGAACACAGCCTCTGTGACTGCAAGGGAAGGGTTAATATGGGAACACAGCCTCACTGACTGCATGGGAAGGGTTAATATGGGAACACAGCCTCTGTGACTGCATGGGAAGGGTTAATATGGGAACACAGCCTCACTGACTGCATGGGAAGGGTTAATATGGGAACACAGCCTCACTGACTGCAAGGGAAGGGTTAATATGGGAACACAGCCTCACTGACTGCATGGGAAGGGTTAATATGGGAACACAGCCTCTGTGACTGCATGGGAAGGGTTAATATGGGAACACAGCCTCTGTGACTGCATGGGAAGGGTTAATGTGGGAACACAGCCTCTGACTGTATGGGAAGGGTTAATATGGGAACACAGCCTCTCTGACTGTATGGGAAGGGTTAATATGGGAACACAGCCTCTCTGACTGCATGGGAAGGGTTAATATGGGAACACAGCCTCACTGACTGCATGGGAAGGGTTAATATGGGAACACAGCCTCTGTGACTGCATGGGAAGGGTTAATATGGGAACACAGCCTCACTGACTGCAAGGGAAGGGTTAATATGGGAACACAGCCTCACTGACTGCAAGGGAAGGGTTAATATGGGAACACAGCCTCACTGACTGCAAGGGAAGGGTTACTGTGGGAACACAGCCTCACTGACTGCAAGGGAAGGGTTAATGTGGGAACACAGCCTCACTGACTGCATGGGAAGGGTTACTGTGGGAACACAGCCTCACTGACTGCAAGGGAAGGGTTAATATGGGAACACAGCCTCTGACTGCAAGGGAAGGGTTAATATGGGTACACAGCCTCACTGACTGCAAGGGAAGGGTTAATATGGGTACACAGCCTCACTGACTGGGAACACAGCCTCACTGACTGCAAGGGAAGGGTTAATGTGGGAACACAGCCTCACTGACTGCATGGGAAGGGAAGGGAATGTGGGGGACTGCATGGGAAACTGTGGGAACACAGCCTCACTGACTGCATGGGAAGGGTTACTGTGGGAACACAGCCTCACTGACTGCATGGGAAGGGTTACTGTGGGAACACAGCCTCACTGACTGCATGGGAAGGGTTACTGTGGGAACACAGCCTCACTGACTGCATGGGAAGGGTTACTGTGGGAACACAGCCTCACTGACTGCATGGGAAGGGTTACTGTGGGAACACAGCCTCTGTGACTGCAAGGGAAGGGTTAATGTGGGAACACAGCCTCTGTGACTGCAAGGGAAGGGTTAATATGGGAACACAGCCTCACTGACTGCATGGGAAGGGTTAATATGGGAACACAGCCTCTGTGACTGCATGGGAAGGGTTAATATGGGAACACAGCCTCACTGACTGCATGGGAAGGGTTAATATGGGAACACAGCCTCACTGACTGCAAGGGAAGGGTTAATATGGGAACACAGCCTCACTGACTGCATGGGAAGGGTTAATATGGGAACACAGCCTCTGTGACTGCATGGGAAGGGTTAATATGGGAACACAGCCTCTGTGACTGCATGGGAAGGGTTAATGTGGGAACACAGCCTCTGACTGTATGGGAAGGGTTAATATGGGAACACAGCCTCTCTGACTGTATGGGAAGGGTTAATATGGGAACACAGCCTCTCTGACTGCATGGGAAGGGTTAATATGGGAACACAGCCTCACTGACTGCATGGGAAGGGTTAATATGGGAACACAGCCTCTCTGACTGCATGGGAAGGGTTAATATGGGAACACAGCCTCACTGACTGCAAGGGAAGGGTTAATATGGGAACACAGCCTCACTGACTGCAAGGGAAGGGTTAATATGGGAACACAGCCTCACTGACTGCAAGGGAAGGGTTACTGTGGGAACACAGCCTCACTGACTGCAAGGGAAGGGTTAATGTGGGAACACAGCCTCACTGACTGCATGGGAAGGGTTACTGTGGGAACACAGCCTCACTGACTGCATGGGAAGGGTTAATGTGGGAACACAGCCTCACTGACTGCATGGGAAGGGTTACTGTGGGAACACAGCCTCACTGACTGCATGGGAAGGGTTACTGTGGGAACACAGCCTCACTGACTGCATGGGAAGGGTTACTGTGGGAACACAGCCTCACTGACTGCATGGGAAGGGTTACTGTGGGAACACAGCCTCTGTGACTGCAAGGGAAGGGTTAATGTGGGAACACAGCCTCTGTGACTGCAAGGGAAGGGTTAATATGGGAACACAGCCTCACTGACTGCATGGGAAGGGTTAATATGGGAACACAGCCTCCTGCACTGACTGCATGGGAAGGGTTAATATGGGAACACAGCCTCACTGACTGCAAGGGAAGGGTTAATATGGGAACACAGCCTCACTGACTGCATGGGAAGGGTTAATATGGGAACACAGCCTCTGTGACTGCATGGGAAGGGTTAATATGGGAACACAGCCTCTGTGACTGCATGGGAAGGGTTAATGTGGGAACACAGCCTCTGTGACTGCATGGGAAGGGTTAATATGGGAACACAGCCTCTCTGACTGGGAACACAGCTGACTGCTACACAGACTGACTATGGGAAGGGTTAATATGGGAACACAGCCTCTCTGACTGCTGCCTCACTGACTGGGAAGGGTTAATATGGGAACACAGCCTCTCTGACTGCATGGGAAGGGTTAATATGGGAACACAGCCTCACTGACTGCATGGGAAGGGTTAATATGGGAACACAGCCTCACTGACTGCAAGGGAAGGGTTAATATGGGAACACAGCCTCACTGACTGCAAGGGAAGGGTTAATATGGGAACACAGTCTCACTGACTGCAAGGGAAGGGTTAATATGGGAACACAGCCTCACTGACTGCAAGGGAAGGGTTAATATGGGAACACAGCCTCTGTGACTGCAAGGGAAGGGTTAATGTGGGAACACAGCCTCACTGACTGCATGGGAAGGGTTACTGTGGGAACACAGCCTCACTGACTGCATGGGAAGGGTTACTGTGGGAACACAGCCTCTGTGACTGCATGGGAAGGGTTACTGTGGGAACACAGCTTCTGTGACTGCATGGGAAGGGTTAATGTGGGAACACAGCCTCTGTGAATGCATGGGAGAAGGGTTAATATGGGAACACAGCCTCACTGACTGCATGGGTAGGGTTAATATGGGAACACAGCCTGTGTGACTGCATGGGAATGGTTAATATGGGAACACAGCCTCTGTGACTGCATGGGAATGGTTAATATGGGAACACAGCCTCTGTGACTGCATGGGAAGGGTTAATATGGGAACACAGCCTCTGTGACTGCAAGGGAAGGGTTAATATGGGAACACAGCCTCTGTGACTGCAAGGGAAGGGTTAATATGGGAACACAGCCTCTGTGACTGCAAGGGAAGGGTTAATATGGGAACACAGCCTCTCTGACTGCAAGGGAAGGGTTAATGTGGGAACACAGCCTCTCTGACTGCATGGGAAGGGTTAATGTGGGAACACAGCCCTTCTGACTGCAAGGGAAGGGTTAATATAGAAACATAGCCTCTCTGACTGCAAGGGAAGGGTTAATGTGGGAACACAGCCTCTCTGACTGCATGGGAAGGGTTAATGTGGGAACACAGTCCCTCTGACTGCAAGGGAAGGGTTAATATAGAAACATAGCCTCTCTGACTGCAAGGGAAGGGTTAATGTACAACAATAGCTTTTTTGACTGCAAGGGAAGGGTTAATGTACAATAGCCACTCTGCATGGAAAGGGTTAATGTACAATGACTGCTCCCTAACTGCAAGGAAAGGGTTAAAGGGACACTTTAGTCACTTGGACTACTAAAGCTTAAAGGATCACTATAGTGTCAGGAAAATTAAGCGGTTTTCCTGACACTATAGTGCCCTGAGGGTGCCCCTCCCCTCAGGCTCCCCCTCCCGTGGCGCTGAAGGGGTTAAAACCCCTTCAGCAGCTTATCTTTGTCCAGCGCCAACGTCTGCTCCCAAAGTGTCCAACTAAAGCATTATTCAATGTTTCCTATGGACACTCTGCGTGATGGAGGCATATAATGCCTCCAGCGTCGCAGGTGCGCCTCTAGTGGCTGTCCGGAAAACAGTCTCTAGAGGCTGGCTTGACCCTGCAATGTAAACATAGCAGTTTCTCTGAAACTGCTATGTTTGCATCTGCAGGGTTAAAACACGAGGGACCTGTCACCCAGACCACTTCATTGATCTGAAGTGGTCTAGGTGACTATAGTGTCCCTTTTTAATGTAGTTCTGGTTTCCCGGCACACTTTTTTTTTTAAATTCAAAGGTTTACTATAGGGTCAGGAACACAAACATGTATTCCTGACCCTATAGTGTTAACACCACCATCTAGCCTCTCTGGGCCCCTCATGCCTCCATAAATATAGTAAACATCTTACTGTATTCAAGCCTGAAGCTGTAAATCTACATGCCGTTAGACTCAGAAAAACAAGCAGTCTGCTGACATGTGGAAGCCTGATCCAATCACAGTGCTTCCCCATAGGATTGGCTGAGACTGACAAAGAGGCAGATCAGGGGCAGAGCCAGCATAAGTCAAACACAGCCTTGGCCAATCAGCATATCCTCATAGAGATGAATTGAATCAATGAATCTCTATGAGGAAAGTTCAGTGTCTGCATGCAGAGGGAGGAGATACTGAATCACAGGATGCTGTGCTCTGCTGACAGCAGATCTGAGTGGATGGAGGCATATTATGCCTCCATCAACTCCGAAGTCCCTCTGGTTCCCACTATGTGACTGCAACTGGAGGTGTTCCTAGCTTTCAATGTAAACACTGTATTTTCTCAGAAAATAGTGTTTACACGAGTGGCTGCAGGGAGCTATAGTTCTCATCTGAACAACCTCATTAAGCTGAAGTTGTTCAGGTGACTATAGTGTCTCTATAAACACTGCTTTTTCAGAGAAAAGTCAGTATTTTATATTATTACCCAAGAACACATCCAGTGGCCCTCGCTCACTAGGGGTTCTTCCAGAGTAAGTGCGGCACAACAGCAGGGGGAATGGTTAAAGGGATCCTATAGTGCTTGGAAAACAAACTTGGTTTCCTGACACTATAGGGTTAATGGGTCCCCCCTTCAGCCACTTACCTGAATCCAGCGCTGATGTCCCTTGGTGCTGGCTCAGGCTCTGCCAGCAGGGGAGACCTAATGTGCGCATTAGACTTTCCCATTATTCAGTGCTTTCCTATTGGTGAAATCTGATGCTGGATGTCCATGAGGACATCCAGTGTCCGATAACGGTCCAAAAGTCCGTTTAGATTCCGGAAGCAACCCCAGTGGCTGTCGTGTAGACTGCCACTGGGGGCAGACTTAGAGCTGCAATGTAAACATTGCAGTTTTCTGGAACTGCAATGTTTTACATTGCAGCACTAAGTGCAAAAGGGTCACAGCACCCAGATTACTTCAATTAATTGAAGTGGTCTGGGTGCCTACAGTGTCCCTTTAATGTACACGGCCAGGTACCCTAATCTGCAGGGAAATGGTTAATGTACAAAGCCAACGTCACCTAACAGATAGGAAAGGGTTAATACAAAGCCAGCTTCTCAATGTTTGTAAACCAGAAAGTTTTGCTGGTGGGCAAAAAGTTGATGTGAAAGGCCACAACCGTTTGATGACAGGAAATTTGTTAAGCTGGAATTGCAAGACAGCTTTTTGGAGATAAACACTGAACCGCCTCACTGGTGTGGAAAGGGGTTAATTTCTACAGCCCGGAGCTGTTTAACCCCTTAAGGACACAACTTCTGGAATAAAAGGGAATCATGACGGAATATTTCCGTCATGTGTCCTTAAGGGGTTAATGTGGAAGATCAGGACCCCTCACAAAGAGGCTGAATGGGGTTCGCTGGGAGAGGTGCTTTACAGTGGGGAAAATTTGAATTTTCACAAATTCTAAGTGAATTTTACACCTGAAATACATTTTACATGTTAGATATGTATTGATTTGGATATATTGTCCTAAAATTTCGGTATTTAAATTCCTAAACATTTAGACTTTTATAAATAATCCTAGAAATGTCAGACTGGGACCCCTCGCTGATTGCTATTAAAATGAAGGCTCAATTCAAGAGCTTAATAGTACAAGAGGCAAATGTGCATTTTTACAGTCGGGTAACTAATATTCAAGCTGTGTGGCATGGCTTGGCATAGAAGGTATGTGTATAAGCTTTGATCAGCAGTCAGTGTTAATGAGCTGTTGCTGTCAGTATTGACCTTGAGTTTGTTAGAAATTGACTTTTATAGTTATGTTGTAGGTCCTTTCCAAATAGTTATTACTTTTAGGTTTTAAGTTGATCTGAAACCCTGTCTTCGTTTTAGTGAAATCGTTTGTTTTTCACTCCATGGCAACAAGAAGCCAAGTACAGTTGAGTAGTTTTCCATGAAAGGTCTTGTGACCTTCAGTAATTACATAGGGATTGAGACAAATTGTGTGGTCCATCCTGTGAATCAATGAGTCACTCTGCTTTTCTGTTTGAAAAGGAAATTGCACATCCAATCATCTAGCGATAGTATGTAGATCAACCGGAAAAGTTTGGATCATCATAAACAAAGTATGGGGTTTTTTTTGGTTTTTTTTTTATGTCAAAGCAGCTTCTTGATCCAAGGAGCAGTCTTCTCAGCTTTTTTTTTTCTCACTTAATATATAGTGATGTTACTATTTATAAAGCTTTGTAAGTCCATTCAAAGTTGGATTTTCACTTTCTTTAGGATAATCAGCAGTAACACGGAGGTGTAAAAGGCTGGCTTTAATGGAGTATTTATTCCAGCCTATGGAACTTTAACATGTTTATAATCTACAGTAGCTTGCTTACTGTAAAAAAAAAAAACACTAAATCATATCAAATCTACATGATTTCATTAAAATGGACTCATGCCAGTATCCGTAGCCCTGTGGAAGGATATATTGTGCTACAGTGCTGGTGGAGAGCCATGTTCTGTGTGCACTTTTGTGGATTGCATGTCTGTAAACGCTGGTATATGGTATTCAGGGCTATTTACTGAAAAGTGAATTTGTAATTTACAGTCAGAGTAGCCAGATTTAAGGCAATGTTTCAGAGAAGTGGCAATATTTACATTGCTGTAAGACAGCCTCCAGCTGCTGTCTCCCAGACAGCCACTAGGGGTGCTTCCTGGCCTCTCACTGAGTTTGAGTCCATGAAATGACACGGAGTGTCCTCACGCTTTGCATGAGAATATCCAGTGTCTTCTAAAACATCGAGTCAATGCTTTCCTATGGTGATGGGCTAATGCACAGCGGCACTCCCTCCCCCGTTAGCTGAAAATGGAGGCGCCTGACCATGTGTCTTTTGCTGGAATCAGAGATAAGTTTAAATGTTTTTGATGTTGCCGGGTATGAAAAGAGTGGTGATAATGGTCAATTTTAGAATATTACCAGGACTGACTTCTAGTTATAAGAGCCCTCTATTCTTGAGTATAAATTATATTGGTAACAAAATAATCCCTCTGAATGGCTCTTTGCAAATGCAAAGGATAAGTTCTGTTGGGAGAAAAATGTAACAAGCAAACTTTTTGATCATATGGTTTTGTTATAGAATATATTAGGAAATTGAAACAAATATTTCAATTCGAAGATTGCAGTTGAGATTTCACGAATGCTAATCCAATGTCTTCTTTCCCCAGGTCTGTAAATACTATCTATGTGAATTTTGTCCTGCGGAATTATTTACCAACACACGCTCAGATCTCGGTAAGTGAAGCTGTTATTTGTATGTAATTTGAGGTATGCCATTCCAGCACGTATTTCAATTAAAGGACCACTATAGGCACCCAGACCACTTCAGCTTAATGAAGTGGTCTGGGTGCCTGGTCCAGCTAGGGTTAACCTTTTTTTTTTTTTTTTTTATAAACATAGCAGTTTCAGAGAAACTGCTATGTTTATAAATAGGTTAATACGGCCTCTAGTGGCTGTCTCTTGACAGCCGCTAGAGGCGTTTGCGTGCTTCACACTGAAAATCACAGTGAGAAGACGCAAGCGTCCATAGGCATTATGAATGCTTTCCTATGAGACGTGCGCATTCAGCCGAGGAGGAGAGTAAGTTTAACCCCTTCCTCCCACTAAAGCCCGGCGGGAGGGCGTCCCTGAGGGTGGGGGCACCCTCAAGGCACTATAGTGCCAGGAAAACCTACTCATTTTCCTGGCACTATAGTGGTCCTTTAAGTGTAATTGTGGATATACTTATAGGAACATTGTAGTGTCGGTGCAGTCCTGAAACAGGAAGCATCTCTAGTGGCCGCTTGCGTAACAGCCACTGGAGGTGTAACTATCTGGCAGTGAAAACACTGCCTTTTCTCTGAAAAGGCAGTGTTTACAGTGCTATGACTGCAAGGACATGGAGAACCATTACATTGTGATAGTGGTTCTGGTGACAATAGTGTCCTTTACAAGGAATTTGTAGTTATATGCTGCGACATTTATTTATCATAGCTTCATGAGTTTGTTAAACAGCCGGGGATTATTGGCTCAGTGCCCCTACTCCATGCTTTAAAGGTTACTCACCGGAGGGGGGGGGGGGTGCGCTGTCAATAGCTGTTTGGTGCCAGCCTGCTGTGTGCTCGCATCAGGCTCCAATTTTACGCAGAATTGACATTAGCCAGCCGTAGCTTTATTCTGGACTGGCTAATGAACGTGCCAGAAGTGGAGTTACACCTCCACCAGCTATGTGGTTAATCTCTAGCATTTCTAAGTGAAGTGCAGGACATACAGACTCCAGGCACCATGACCACTTCAATGGTCATGGTGCTTGGAGTAACCCTGTAAGTGAACATTTTCTGTAGGGCATGTAGAGATCTTAATTCATAAATTGCAATCTCAGTTTTAACCTATGAGATTCACATGCTATCTATATGTGAGTGTAACATGTAAATTTTACATACATCTCTTTTTCAGGTCCGTGTGAAAAAATCCATGATGAGAACCTACGCAAACAGTAAGTTTTGATTGGAGCATTTCTTATGTGTTCTTAAAGGTTTGGGGATTTGTTTTGGCTCTCATATTCTGCATATGAATTTGGCTACTGTAGAACATGTCTAGGAGTTAGGAACAAACTGATTTGTTTTGCAATGACACTGAAAGGTGCACCTAACAATCCAATTGCTTCCTTGATTCTTTTTCTGGGGTCTTTGCATAATTTACAGAGACTGCTGGCTGTAACTGCTTTGCTCTCATTGCGGTTGCCAAGGGGTGCAGGGAAAGGTGAGTTGTACTTGCCTCAACCTGTCCCTTGCAGCCACCACCATCTTCCAGCCAGTCCTCTTTAGTTCATGGGGCTTCAACTGCCAGTAGCAGTTGTCCGCTTTGTACTCTTGTGCATATGCAAGAGTACAACTTTGAGATCTGAGGGATCCTCCATTGACAGCATTATTTCCTCAAAGCCATTTTTCTTGTTTAGAATTTTGCCTTTGTGGGTCAACAGGAAAGAGTGTTCAAGGTTTAACTTGATGGATTTGAGGTGTTTTGTTTTTGTGTAATTTTTTTAATTTTTTTATTAAAGGGACACTCCAGGCACCCAGACCACTTCTGCCTATTGGAGTGGTCTGGGTGCCAACTCCCACTACCCTTAACCCTGCAAGTGTAATTATTGCAGTTTTTTTATAAACTGCAATAATTACCTTGCAGAGTTAACTCCTCCTCTACTAGACAGCCACTAGAGGACACTTCCGTGTCTTTAGCACAGGTTTTCTGTGCTAGAGCGTCGCTGGACGTCCTCGCGCTGTGTGAGGACCCCCCCGCGTCGCTCAATTCCCCATAGGAAAGCATTGAAAAGCAATGCGGCACTGGAGTGTTCCTTTAAGCATTTTTACTGATTTAATTACTAAAGTGTTTGTGTTAGAGTGTTATGGTTCGTGTTTGAATTTAAGTACTTTTTTTTTCTTTTTTTTTTTTTTTTTAAAGATATGAAAAGAGCTCTCGTCACATGAAAGTTGGGTATGAAAGAGACTTCTTACGATATCTGCAAAGTTTACTTGCTGAGGTTGAGAGAAGAATTCGAAGGGGTCATGCCCGACTTGCTTTATCGCAGAGTCAGCAAGCTACTGGTGTAAGTAATGATATTGAAGTTGTGGTGGTGTATGATTTTTGTTTTTGTAGTAAATAAATATACCTCCCCTAAAATATTGCTTTGCATGAGCTGACATAAATCTTAAATGGACCATCCATCCTCAAGAAACACTGCAGGTTAAGCTTCAGGGATGTCCCTGAAATCTTTCATTTGTAAACACTATCTTTTTTGGGAAAAGAAAGTGATTACATTGAGCTGTAAGGGTACTTCTAATAGTTGTTACTTACAGTCTGTAAAAGTCCTTCCTGTTGCTATCCTGCAAATTTGCTGGACCTCTGTTTACCATCTTCACCATCCACGTGAAGATGCTGAGATGTGTTGAGCTAATGCTTTGACAAGGTGACTGGCCCAGTGATTATTGCATATATGTACTATACACCTAATTCTTCATTATGGTGAAGCATTGGATTTGCTGAGAGACACTGATAATCTCAGCCAGTGGCAGTGCACGGTAGTAGTGAGACCAAGAAAGGGGAGTTAAAAAAAGTTTTTTTATTCGGGGGGATCATCTTAACCCTGATTTTTAAAATACAGGATTCTTTCTAACGTTAAAGTGGATTTGAAAGTGACACATCCTCATCTCAGTAAATGCGTTTACCGTGCTTACTGAGGTGAATGGGTGGGGGTGACTGCAGAGTGCATGGCAATTACACTGATCAGGGGAGCTTGGGTTCTTTGTGCGTTGAGAAATGTTAAAATATAGGCAGTTTTTTTTTCATAAAACTGCCAGAAATTCCTCCTTTTTAAAATTGTTTCACTCTTTCACCTGTAATAAAAGCCTCCCAGATGTTATCTTACTGCTTTCCTGTAAGCAAATAGGCCTATCTGTAAAGCAGAATCCAGAACTTAGAAATAAATCACAACATACTCTGCTAGCCTCATGTCTAAATATTGTGAGCCTGCTTGTCACCACTTAACCAGTGAAATGTGCCCCACCGACTCATGTATAAGTTTATATTTTTGGAAAATAAAGTGGGGAGGCTCTGATTTGCAGACTTGTAGTAAAGAGTAAAGAGACCAAACTAGTGGCTCCTAACCCCAAAGTTGGGATCCACCTTTGTCCCAAAGCTATTTTATTATGTTTTTTTGTTTTTGGAACATGTTTCATGTTTACCAGACTATCCATAAGCTGCCCACAACTATACTATAGTAGCCGAGCATTCCGCTGGGCAATGAACTCCAGACACATGTTAAGTCTAGTGAAATTAAACAACTGTTAAATGAGTCATATTTGGATAAACTTTCTGTTTTCGATAACATTTTGAAAGATTTATATTTGTTGAATGTGCTCCAATGATGTTTTGAAAAGGCATTCTAGTTAGAGGAGAGGGGTGCCAGTAAGTGACATTTAAATGCTGCACCAGACTCTTCCACAACTGTTTGTTAGACCATCTTGTTTCACATTTAGAAATTAACCTGCTCAGTGCTGGACATACTGGAACCTTTACCAACCTAATGCTGTTCATTATTTTGAATCTTGCAGTGCATTCACTCCATCTGGGGTTTTTAAACTCAAGTACCAAATAAATATAGTGCATTGTTCTCAGTCTAACATGGTTTTAATGCTTTTCCATAGTCTGTTGGACCAGCTGGGAAGAATGAGGAAAAAGTTCAAGTTTTGACTGACAAAATTGATGTTTTGCTGCAACATGTAAGTAAACAAAATTCACAGCGTATGCATAAAAGCAAATATGGAGACCACCAAATTCTTCTCTTCTTTTTGGAAATCTGTAACTTCCCCCTATCCTGCACTTGATGTTAGCTCATATATAACTTGCTTGGATCAAATCTTTTGCTATTTAACACTTCAATATTAGTCTTTTTGTGCTGCAGAATAAGTGATTAAATCTGTTTCCATTTTATTTTTAGATCAAGGCAGATCTAGCCCATGGTGTCACTTTGCCCCATTGTCTTAATGAAATTGGCTGCAATTTAATGACTGGCATTATAACTATACTGTTTGAAATTCTGGCTTTTACTTTTATAACGCACCAGTTTTAATCAAACTACACATTAAAGGAACACTTCAAGCATGGTGGGGCTTTCCTTTCCATCTATTGTAAGCTGTGAAGCCACTCTGGAACAGTTTAACTTCTTACCTGTCGTTTCCTGCCTCTATTATTTCTGAGAGGCAGAAGCTCCTAGCTCTCTTGTGTTACACTCTGCACTGCTAGGCTTGGTTCAGACAGAGGCTTGTCGCTCTCCCAAGTAATGGAGGTGGGGTGCAGCGCTCAGTAGAACCCAGATAGGAATTTAAACCGTTCTAATACGGTTTTTCACCGAAAGAAGTGTATCAGATAAGTAGTTTGTTGTACAATGACTGTCTGCCCGAACTCTACTAACATTTTTTTTCCTTAAGAAATCTAAATTATTTATAGCGTTTGATACAGTTTGTACATCTAGATGTCTTGCAACATAATGTGGTTATCCTCCTCCATCCTTCTGTCTTAAGGGCTCTCTAGGTTCTTATGATCTACAGAACCATAGAACATGTTTGTTTATGAACAACATTTGCTCTCCTTTCTATTAGATTGAAGAACTGGGTACTGAAGGAAAGGTTGAGGAGGCTCAAGGGATGATGAAGTTGGTTGAACAGTTAAAAGAAGAAAGGGAGCTTCTCAAGTCTACAACATCGGTGAGTTGCATGGGATCTTTTCTGCAGCCATACTCATTCTGTATAACTTATCTGTGGGAGAGTTGTCTAAAATATACCTTTGTTAGGTTTATTATACTTTTGTTTTCCTGGTGACTTGGTACAGGGAATAAGTACAGTGACTACACGGTTTTGCTGACCATGCACAGGTTTTCTCGCTCTCCTTTTTCCCTTTTTATTACAATTTGTGCATCTTGTTCTTCCCCTCCAGACAATTGAAAGCTTTGCAGCTCAGGAGAAGCAGATGGAGGTCTGTGAAGTTTGTGGTGCCTTTTTAATTGTTGGAGATGCCCAGTCGCGGGTAGATGACCATCTCATGGGAAAGCAACACATGGGCTATGCCAAGATTAAAAATACAGTTGAGGAGTTAAAGGTATGACGAGCAATATGAAGATGCCACAAGCTGTAAAGCACACTGTATGCATTGTATAAAGGTTGTAAGGAATGTGTTTTATGGACATATTTGTAAGCTATAAAACAAGACTGTGATGTTTTATGTGCAAAAAGGATTGCAGAACTGTAATTATTGCAGAACAAAACTTCATTTTTCTTCATGAAACCTCCACAGTAACAATTGGATCATGAAATATTTCATATATAACATGTTAACACACCAGTCTGGTCTTTGCTCTACAACTGCTAAAAGTTTTATTAGACTTTTTTCATACTAAATTGTCTGATCCTGTCATTCAAATTAAACATTTGGAGCCTGCTAGTGTGTGTGTGCCCTCCCTGTATATAGTAAATGGTTCTCTTTCCTCTACCAGTGTATTGTTTAAACTTTAAAAAAAAAGGGGTGGGGGGCTCAACTTTTGTCATGGAATTCCTTGCATGCATCCACTCCCAAACTCATCCTACAATGCAGCAATCTATGTAGGTGTGTTTGTGTTTGGCTGCTTGCATCAGTCTTCCGTGCCCAGCTTTAAATTTATTTTTTGAGAATAGCACAAATTAATTGCAGTGGTTATTTTTTATTAGGAAAAACTACGCAAGAAAACAGAAGAGCCGGAGCGTGATGATCGGTTAAAGAAAGAGAAAGAAGAAAAAGATCGTGAAAAAGAGAAGGAACGTGAAAGGGAAGAAAAAGAGAAGAAACGACGCAAAGAAGAAGAAGAAAAAGAAAAGGAGAGACATCGGGAAAGAGAAAAACGCAAAAGAAGCCGTTCTCGTAGCAGAAACTCAGACAGACGTGGAAGTCGATCACGTGACCACAAGAGATCAAGAAGCAGAGACCGGGATAGAGATCGTAGGCGAAGTCGGTACGTTTAAGATTTACTGTGGGTTGGCACAAGCAATGGAATTTACCTGGTGGTATTTTTGAAATGTGTACACCATACTGAAACTTTCAGAATGTAAGTGGAAAAGGCCATTCAGCGGTAGCTGATGAGAAGTGGCAGGATTTAGTGAAAGCTCTTCCCATAGCCTAACTTTGCAAAAATTAAGCTAATTTTATATCAGCTGTTTCCATAATGCCCTCTACTTTATATATCTTAGTTACATTGAACTTTCTTGAATGGGATAATGGCTTTAAAGAGAAGTTAGAGAATATAAAAATTACCCCAGCTCCTTATACATGGTACATGCAAAAAATCTTTTGCAGATTACAGCTCTCCATGGTTGGCTTACAAATGCGGCAATATTTCTTCCCCGACGTCGGTACCATTATAATTCACAATCTCTTGAGTATTCGCTGTACAAACAGCTTTGGAATTGTGTAGAGTTGCCCTGATGCTTGGTAACCGTTTAAGGCAAAGTATCATTAGTTAGTGGCACTGGTTTAGGAAGGTAGTGTGCAATGAATGGTTATTTAATGATTGCACAAAGCTTAGGCAATCTCACTTGTAATTGTTGGAGGTTTGTGTTGCTTACTACAGCAACATAACAGAATAGGAGTGCAGTTGGAGGGAATTGGGAACATAACGAAGATCTAAGATAGATGAGTATAAAGGAAGCGCAGTCAGTTGTGGTGAGTGCATGTTTGGAAAGTTGGCAGGAGTTTCTTCTGGTGTCAGGATCTGTTTGAATTTAACTACTCGGATTTCATGGAGATGAGATGTAGATCTATCGCTAGAATATGCCAGAGCTGAACCATCTTTGGCTGAAACTTTAAATCATTGTTTTTCCTGGTTGGTTCCACCATCTCTACTGCCCTCTCTTTAAAAAGACCAGACATGTCAGTTGTATTGCAATTTTTAAGAAAATTTATAATAAAATATATATAAATGTTTTTTTAGACGGTGTCCACTTTGTCTTTTACATAACTATATATATTTTTATTTTGCAGGAGTAGAGAACGTAAAAGAAGTGGGAGTCACACAAGAACTGAGCGAACAGATCGGAAGCACAGATCACGCAGCCGTGAGAAAAGGCGATCAAAAAGTAGAGAGCGCAGATCATACAAACATAAGAGCAAAGAGAGAGAACGCGAGAGGAAGTCCAAGGAAAGGGGTTAGTTTATATTCTTTTCATGCAGTCACAGGGAATAAAGTGATCATCATATGTGCATATTACTGTTCCATGGTATGTTCCCTCACAGACTAGAACAGGACTGGATATGGCTTCAAGGCCAGCATCAGAAGATAGCCTTTGCTTTTGAGTGAAAATGGTCAAATGTCTGTTTTGTGTGTGTGTCGGTCGAGAGAGACTAAGCAGTTGCCTTTTATGATATAATTTGTTTAATACCTTTTTGAAATGTCTGCGTATAGCTGAAGCTCAAAGTAAATCCCAACCTTGCATTGCTATTGATTTCAAAATCAAGCTTAATGTAGCGGTTCTGGTGTCCATAGCATGGCTCTGCCGGCTATTCAGAAAAAAGGTTGTTTCCATTGCTGGCTAGTAACGCCTCTTGGTGCAGTCACTCAGACGGCCCCTAGAGGTGCTTCCTATCTCACTGCGGCACATTGTGCAGCACATACATTTAGTGTCCTTGAACACTCCCTGAAGGCATGCATTTATTCAATGTATATTTGAGGCGATATTGAGTGGCACAGCAGTGTTTTGCCTCCCAATTCTTTCCTGTAAGACAATGTTGTGTTGACTGAGATCATGAAGATTGATCTCAGCCTTAGAAGCGGGGAGCAGCCGCTGCAAGACTGGCGTGGCGATGGAGAAAAGGGTAAGTTTAAACCTGCTCTTCACTCCAGCACTATAATGTTAGGACTACATGTTTGTGTTCCTGTAATGGTAGCTATAGTTTTGTATGTTTTTACTTTCACTTCAAAGCTTGGACAGTGCACCTTCCTATTGCCACAAGTTTATCTCCATGTACATCTTGTGGTTTTTTTTTTCTCTACTTGAAATAAGCACTGATCCAAGAACTCTCTTGATACTGCTTTCTATCAAATATTCTCTGTGGCGCATCTGATGTCACTGACCACATATCTATTCTTTTTATTGACAGAAAAGCGAAGCTCTGACAAGAAGAGTAGGAAATCCAGCAGTCGGGAAAAGCAGAGTGAATCAAGAAAATCTGAATCTAAGGATTTGGCTACCCAGATCGAGGTCAATGGGGCCAGTGAAGGCATAAAATCTGAAGGTGACACTCAGTCCAATTAAAACTGATCTGATATGACCTCTGATCAGTCTGAGGTAAGTGTAAGCTTTCTCCCTTTGGTAGGTCTTTATGGTAGATTGTAACGGTGCAGCGTAAGTATGCACAGATGAAGAATGAGCAAAACTGGTTTAGAAGACAGAACAGCTTCCTATGACAGCAAGCACTCTAGTCCTGCAAAAAATGTCGAGGTATACCCTTTTTCTTCTAGCTACTTTTTAAAAAAAAATTTTTTTTTGTAGTTGACGCGTTCATTCAACCTGTGTCCCCCTCTCTCTCACCTCAACGCGCCTTCCTGGAACATAAGCCACTCATTAGATTAAATAACCCAAACCTTTCACAAAGTTTTAACTTTTTTTTTTAGTTGCTTAATATTTTCTCTTGTAGCTTCATATCAGTGTAAAAAAAACCTAATTGTATGAAAGTCCACATTGGTTCATTGCCAGTTCATATGATGAAGCACACTAATTTTAAGGCACGTTGCGATCAGCCCATTTTTATTTATTTTATTTTATTTTTTTAACCTATATATCTATATCGAAGTACCGCTATTTCTCTGAAGAATGTTGCCTCATTACCTTGCATTCTAATGCAGTTTGTTCTGTAACTGGAGAACCAGTTGTGGATTGATGGAAGTGTAGGGTTTATGTCTGCCATACCTCACTCTGCGTTGGTGTTGTAAGCGGCCCATGAAAAATCCAAATTAAAAATCAAGGATTCTGTCACACTAAGCAGGTACTCATGCCAGGTACTCCTTTCTCTACCAAAATCCATGTTTGAATGATGTGACCTGTAATAGCATTAAGCTGCTCTGTGTATTTATTTTCATGTCTTTGTCTACATTAAAGAAAGCCACACGGTGTGTTTGTTTTTCATGTTTTTATTTATATATTTATACATACAAGTTTTGTTACAATTTAACAGTTTGAAATTTTCTTTCGACTGTGTGTAGGGATGCAGTGATGCCCAGTGTTAAATTTCAATAAAGTTGTTTAAATCCCTGTACACACGATATTCCCTACCAGTTTTTACACTCAGTGCGAGCATTGTAAGAGGTATGTGTTTAATATTTCCTACTACGTAGGAGAATGTCCTTGCAGGATATTGTAACTTGATAAATCAGTTTAAGGGATTTGTGGACAGAGAAATTAATTTCTTTTTCTAAAAAAGAGGGGGGGTCAGCAGTTAGTTTTAGCCTAGTTTACCCTCGTTTGCATGACATCTGTAGATGAATTTGCGGAACAATTTAAGAACCTGTACTTTTGTGACCTCTGAAAGATAGTTTATGGGCCTGCCATTAATTGTTTTGTTTTCTTCACGTTTTGCGTTGTAGGACTACGTAATCAAGTCTCGGACGTCCCACAGTATCTTAATTGAAGATCTTCTATAAATGAGGTGACAGAAAGCTGTAATGAAAATGCTCATTTAGAATTGGTTTTAAACAATTAAGATGAGAACTGATGTAAATTTTTCTATAGTGACAACGTGGTGCATTTGCCATGCTGATATGTGTCCTGGCTCAGGCATACAGGCCCTACAGTAGCAACATTACATACACTTGGCCTGCACATTGTTTAAATACCAGCTTTTTCCGGACTTGGAAACACAAAGTTATGTTTGTGAACCATGTAAAACAATGTTTTCTTTTTTATTTTATTTTTTCCTTTTTATTACAAGTAGACTTTAGAGCCTATAATATAAATAAAAGCATCATTACTGTTGTAAATGTGCTATGTTGTCTTTTGGCATGGTATTAAATGCTTTTTTTTTTTCCAAATAAATTTGACTCAAAGTTGCTTATTGTCTCTTTCCATGTTGTTCACTGAATTTAGGGCAGCCAAGGCAAATAAAATTTAACCTCACCAGTTCATACTACATTTTGAAATGTGTGTGATCTCTGTATTAGAGTAAATGGCCCACCTTCTTTTTCCTTTTAACTGCTGCAAAGTGCAACTGTAAGCCCAGCTTTCTTGAGCTTCAACTCCTATCATTGGTGTAAATCTGTTTTATCATCCAACGATTGTACAGCTTGTGATACATAGCACTCCTTATTAGGGAACAATGGGACTGCTATGATTGGCTAATAGGATTTGATTGTTTCTGGTCTTGGTTTAGCGCACTGTAGGAAGCAACCAAACTTTGATTTTTAGCCAATCCAATGCTTTCCCCGTGGCTAAAAATCTGCAATTTTGATGTCACCGAGGGGGCAGCATTGGTGGACCCGTGGAGAGCTGAAAATAAGTTGAGCTTTAACCCATTCTGAGGGGGCTAACCTAAATGGTGGGTTTTCACTTTAGGGTCAGGAATACATGTTTGTGTTCCTGACCTTATAGTGATCCTTTAAGCTTCTGTTGAAAATGGTCTGTTCACTACAAATTCTCAAAGGAACCAAACCACATCTGTGGCCAGGTTGTGAATAACGGTAGTCCATCTTTCTGAGTTACAGTCCTTAAAGAAACATTATAGGGTCAGAAACACAAATGTGTATTCCTGACCCTATAGTGTTAAAATCCATATACTGGCAAACTATTTAGCCACTTAGATGGTGTTTAATAGTCTGGGAAGGTAGGTTTTAATGCAAAAAAATTGCGTTTAAATCGTAACTTTTGAAGCATCGCAAGCACCATTATAGTATTCATGTAACACCTGATGATGCATATTTGATTCATTCTCCTACCTGTGTTGGGTGCCATTCCATGTAAATTTAAATCTTCAGAAATCACGACACAAACACAGATGCCCTTTGCCCTTGTTTTGTGTAGAATATACGCACACTGACTGCCTTTAGAATGTGCTGTGATTTTTTTTTTTATTTATTTTTTTTTTTTTTTTTGTGCCCTCTTAGCAAAGCTTGCATTTTCTTGGTTACTTGTATATTGTTAGCACATTGAACAGCTCTGCTGAATGTGAAGTTATGTTGGTATGTTAATGCAGCATTATAGAAACATAATGTGCCCCGCGGTCAGGTATGTCAAATTCTTGACAGCTTACCACGCAATGACTACTGTTAGCACTGTAACATCTACAGCATGCCTGATTGGTGAAGTGTTCACAATGTCTTGACAGGAAAGGCAGGCAGGCACTTAAAAGTTAAGTAAAACATAAATTAGTGTTTTGGTATTAAAAAAATAAAATAAAAAAATAAAAAAATGATTTCTGTTGACATCCGTATCAAGTTCTCCAAATTTCTAGGGCTTGAACAAAAGTTTTCTGTTAATATATTTAGCCGTGTGACTCTGATTACTTGTTGGAAACGGATTAGACTGGTACTGACCTCAGATAAGCTGTGTAAGACATCATTAAGAACATAACAATGTCCTATTGAACTGCCCAATATCTTTAAAATACTTTTATGCATGTTTGACTTCCCACTCCACTAAAGATTAAAAAAAGAAAAATATATATTTTAAAACTTTTTCCAAATATTACACTTTGTGTGTAAAAAGAATATGTAATTGTGAATTGCACATTAGAGAACACCATTGAGGGGTTTTGAAGACTGGAAAAAGACAGGTTGTTTGATTAATAAAAGTCTCCAGGTTCTTCAAAGGAGGAAGAAAGGGAGAAAACAAAAAAAGGCCCAAATAGTGCTAGACAGCTGGGTCAGAGCCTTTCCAAAACAGCAACTTTTGTGGGGTCTATGAGGAGATGCTGATTGGCATGGTGTTTTGTTGTGCTTGTGCAGTAGCTTCCCAATGCTTTCCTATGGGTTTGCTTAGCCTTAGATCAAGTCTGAACTCCGCTATGGAGATGAGGTAAGACTGGCATAGAAGAAAAGGTGCGTAAGGCTTTTCACTGCTGTGGGGGGATGGCTGGAAACCTAAACAGTTACACCAGCGCTATAAAGTCATGAATACATGTTGGCCATGATAAAAAGGTGGGAGAAGAGTAGAAATATATCTGGGTGCCATTGGTGTATGAGGGGGGCTCCAACCGAGACAGGACAAGAGGAGGAGGTGTCATTGGAAAAAGACACTGATTGAACATTGGGAGAGATGGAACTCAAGAGGACAAATTGAAGAGTTTTGGATAAGGAGGAAGATGGCAGAAAGGTCAAGAAGAATTCGTATAGATTAGTGGCCTTTGGATTTAGCTGTGATTTAGATAACTTGTAACTTTTTAGTCAGAACAGTCACGGGGGAGCAAAAGCCAATTTGAGGCTCAAGGAGAGAGTTGGAATTGTGGAAGCAAGCCAAACGAGTAAAGACAAGTCTAGAAGTTTTGAAGAAAAAGGGAGCAGGGAAATGGGACGATAGTTGGAAAGGGAAGTAAGAGATTCCTTTTTTAGGATAGTAAGACAGCATATTTAGGGGGAGCCGGGACAACGCCAGAAGAAAGAGCAGTTGAAGTGGTGTTTTAAGGATGGTACAAGACAAGGGGAGAGAGGACTAATCTGGTGAGAAGGGGTGGGATCAAGCAGACATTTGGTGGGACTAGAGGACAGTCACCTCCTGTTCAGTAGCTGGGGGCGAAGAAAGGTACGGGTGTGGTTGAGAGAGCGGAGCAAAGGGGGGAAAGAATTCTTTCCTTAACTGTTTAATCCTGTTGAAGTAACACGCAAAGATATTGGTTGAAAGGTTGGTTTTGAGGGTTGACTTGAGAGAGTTGAATACAGAAATAAAAAAAATACAAAAAACATTCGCACACACCTCTGATCTGACTGTAAAAATCAAACAAACGCTATTACCATATAAGGAAATTCTGGCAAACTATCTACAGATAATATATATAGGACACACAAACTAAAATTATAAATATTACAAATTTTAATCACTTATTGAACTTACAAGAAAATCTTCGATCGACACTTCAAATGTTATAAATGACAATTCATTGATAAGTGCTTCCATTTAAGGTATCTTCGTCCTGTTTTTACACATGTGGATGAAAAAAAACAAGACTCTGGCGGTATTTACCTTATCTGGGGGATGGCCGCGTGCAGCCCGTCTGGGACTAGGAGCTCCGCTCGCGTCACGAGCACGCTCAAAAGTAGATTCAGGCTCCCATTGGCCCATGTCATTCTGATGGCATCACACTCGAACGTTTTGGGGATGTGGGCCAATCAAATGGTATTAAAGGATATTTAAACTTTCCTAGCCCTATCCACTTTGCACTATTGTGGTTTGTTTCAGTACCCTTTAGTGCGTTCTTTGATCTATTGTGTTTATTCTGATATTGATCTTGGCTTTGTCTCTAAATTTATCTTTAACTCTCTGCCTGTCAGATTGATTACCATGTACCTGACTCTGGTTAGTTCTCATTTTTGCTCTCTCTGTTACCTTGACCTCAGCTCATCTCTGATTGCGCTTTTTCTCTAACGTTTAGTCCGGCCATTCTAAGGCCCGATAATACGTTATTTCCTAGTCTTGTCCCTGCTATCCTAAACTCTGCGTGTTGGTGTATTACACCGTAACAAAGACAGTGCAATATTTCAAAACACACACCGTTTTAATGATTTCAATCTCACAAGAAGGACAATTTGGTAAAGCTCATTAGTAAAGTCTCGGAAGCCGTTAGTTTGTATCTCCAGATGTAATGTTCTTATAAAACAGAAAAAAGTGGAAGGCTTTCTCAGAACTAAAACTAAAAAGGTCCTCTCAAATAACTAAAAAATTTATAAAAGTATACAAATCTATTACAAATAGGACGCAAAGCACTGCGCGTTTCGTCTGTTTGCCAGACTTCATCCGGGAAAACACGTTCTGTAAGCACCAAGAAAAGTAATGTAGCTCTCTCCATCATCTTCTGTGGTTTAAATACCCGCGGGATCTTGTGGCCAGATCGCCTTCAGCCAATTCGGATTCCCGGAAAGCAGCTGTGTTCAATCCGAGCTTTACTCATAAGTTGAATGAATGGAAGCATGAACTAATAAGAAAGAAAAAGTATGATTGTTTGACAAGGTTGAGGGTTGCGCTGTATGAATGCAAGATTTATTTATAATGGAGAAAGTCTGACAACGTGCGAGACTTCCTCCAGCATTGTTTAACTGAACGGGAGCATCTCTACAGGCAACGGGTCAACTTAGTGTGCCACTGTTGGGTGTAGAGGCACTCAAGAACAAATGATAAAAGCTGGTGATCTGAGAGAGGAAATGGAGTGTTATAGTGACTGATTAGAGACCGTACATGCATTAGAAAAAATAAGATCAAGGGTATTGCCAGCTATATGCGTGGGAGAATTAGCCAACTGCAATAGCCCAGGGGAGGAGGTAATACAAAGATAATAAGTAATAGATAGTTGCGTGCTAGGGCCACACTATAGACAAAAGTAAGCACATTTGACAGCCCTCCCCACCTCGTGTTCCTAAAAGACCAGTTTTACCTATTACATTGTACAAAGCTACAGATTGGTGCAGGTCATGGATTCATAACCATTTAGTTATTAAAGTTGTCCCAAAAGACTTTATAACCAGAGAGAGAGTGAGTGTGCGCGCGCGCGCGCACACACACACTCACTCTCTCTCCCAAACTTTATTTAAAAAAAAAAAAAAATGAACTCTCATATGGTGAGTCAGAGTTGAGAACAGTTTTGAAGGTGCAAGGTAATGGATCCTTGATGCTATCCACTTATGCTTTTCTTTATATGGAAGAGAGAGTTAAGTCAGATAGCAGACAAGTAAGTACATCATGGGTTCTGTATATTATTACCAAACTGACTCCACTCGCCTAAACTCCGGCAAGCCGAGAGTGTACACACAGTGTAAGAATGTTAATGAATAAAAAGTGATATTGAGTAGAAATTCACTAAACATGAATAAAGAAATGAAAAAAATAAAAGACTGCGCCAGTAGTTTTCAAGCACCATAACCACTGAAATATTCTGTAGTGTATAGTTATTTTGTCTTAAGCCAGATTTTGTGAAACAAGCTTAATGTGAGCACAGTAATGGGAAAAAGAAAGTACACCCTCTTTGATGAATTCTATGTTTTTACATATAAGGACGTAATAACAATCATCAAAATTTGGTAAACACGACCTCAGATGAACAACAAAACATGGCATATTACACCACGCCATGATTTAACAAAAATAAAATAAAGCCAAAATGGAGAAGCCATTTGTGAAAAACGAATTACACCCTTACTGCTTCCATAGGAATTAAGAGGTTAAGTAGCAGACAGGTGCTACTATTCAAATTATGAATTGATTGTCAACAAGTGTGACCATCTCTAAAAAACCCAACGTTTTAGCTGTTGGCTGGTCTGGGACATTCAGATGTGTGTTAACTCAATGCCAAGGAGGAAAGACATCAGCAATAAGCTTAGAGAAGCAGTTGTTGCTGCCCATCAAAATGGGAAAGATAATAAGGCCATTTCCAAAAAGTTTAAAGTCCATTTTTTATTTTTTTTTAGTGATAAAGATTGTTCAAAAGTAGAAATGCAAGACAGTTGCCAAGCTTCCCAGAAGTGTACATCCAAACAAATTCACAAATTCTCGCGCAATGCTGAGAGAATTTCTACAGGCCTCAGTTAGCGCGTTCAACGTTAACATTCATGAAAGTACAATTAGAAAAAGTCTGAACACGTGTTTTTGTTTGGAAGGGTTCCCAGGAGAAAGCCTCTTCTCTCTATAGATAGCATGTCTTAGATTTGCAAAGTTGCATCTGAGCAAACCACAAGACTTCTGGAACAATGTCCTTTGGACAGACGAGACCATGCAGATGTCTGGCAATAATGCGCAGTGGCATGTTTGGTGAAAAGCAAAGAATATATCAGCAGCACACCTCATACCAACTGTTAAGCATGGTGGTGGAGGCATGATGATTTGAGCTTGTATTGCAGCCACAGGGCCTTGGGTACCTTGCAGTCATTGAGTCAACGATGAACTCCTCTGTATAGCAAAGTATTCTAGGGTAAAATATGAAGTCATCTGTCAGATGCAACTTGGCTGAACCTGTGTCATGGGACAGGACAACGGTACCAAACACACCGGCCAATCTACAACAGAATGGCTGAAAAAGAAAAGAATCAAGGTGTTACTATGGCCCAGCCAAAGTCCAGACCACAACCCGACTTAAATACTATGACGGTACCTTGAGAAAGCCGTGTCCATAAACAAATGCCAGCAAACCTCAATGAACTGAAGCAACTTTGTAAACAGGAGTGGTCCAAAATTCCTCCACAGCGATGTGAGACACTGATAAGGTCATACAGAAAACTATTTTGGGGTATTGATGCTAAAGGTGGTTATACAAGCTATTGAATCATAAGTTGTACTACGAGTTTCACACATGACTTCTCCATTTTGGATTTATTTTTGTTAAATAAATCACAGCGTGGTGTAACATGCCATGTGTTGTTCATCTGAGGTTGTGTTTACCTAATTTTAAGACATGCTAATGAACAGATGATTGTTATAATGTCCTGATATGTAAAAACATAGAATTCAAAGAGAGTGTACTTTCATATGAGAGATACCTTTCCAGCTTTTTAAACAATTTCACTGAAATAGCTTTCTGTTGTTTTTTATATTTCTGTTTGTTTTTTTTTACAAATCAGTTCAGACAGTAAAAACACATTTTGTCTTGATGCAGGTTAATGTTTTTGCCTGCCTCCTTCCCTGAATTCTGGCTGTACATTTCAACAAAGAACAATTGTCTTATGTTACGTAAAATAGCCCAGGAATGTATTAAGCTTTTGTGGATTTTTTTTCTAAAGCTAAATGCCTATATATATATATATAGACCATATTCAATTTTACATTAAAGTATGTTAAATCGTTACAACAATAAATACCAACACGTTACAAGCATCTATTTTATGTGATTTACATTCACTAATTCCTAAGATGGCACTTTGAACTTGTTAAACAATTTCTGACCATTTTTTTTCTTTCAAACACACACTAAACCCAGTACAAAAAGGTATTTGTTAAAGAAATCAAGATTTTCTGATTTAATTAATGAAGCAATGGAATAATTTGTACAAATCGTACAGTCTGAATTAGAGGGCTATTTATTCTTTTTTTTTTTTTTTTTATAAGTCCATTAATCCATTCAGTTCGACCCAGACCGTATAATTGACAGTCTACAGAGTGGTTTCTGGTTAAAGTCTATCAAAACGTTGGGTTTGATCTACTGTGCTTTATTCTAAGACATTCTAAAATGTTGGCATTTTTCTATACACGGATGTGGACCTTGGCCAAAGTAACCACCGTTCTCCTCCTGTCTGGGATACCTTTACAAAGTCAAGCCATGCCCCAGATACGCTACTCTCATGCTGGCATTTGCCCTAACGATATGAATCCAAATCTTTGGGTGGACGCACAGAGCACCTGTAAGAGGGAATGTGAATCTGACCAGGTGAGTGTCACTTTATTTTTCGTTATGGTATCCAAATCCAAGAGGGGGAGGGAGACACATGTTCAAAAATACAAATTGAAGAAAAAGAAATATCCAGGCACACTCAAGGTTTCTTCAAAAAGGCAGTCTGTTCATTTGAAACAAGGAAGTGGAGACAACGTTTTGGCTCCTCTCTGAGCCTTTATCAAGTCTGACATGTTCAAAAATACAGTCACCTAAGGTGTAACCAGATCGGGTTGGCGAGACCCAAACGCTAAGCTTCAGTATAGAAAAAGAAAGAAGTCAAAACATATAAAGAGCTGTTAGTGAGCAGTCTTTATTGACTTAAAGCCACTTTTCGTCTCTTTACTCTAGCCTCTATCATGTTTGTAAAGGCTCCAGAAGAGAGCCAAGACATTTCTTTAAGTTAACAAAGACTGCTCGCTAACAGCTCTTTATGCGCCCAGACACCCTTCTTCCTTTATTTTCCGTTATGTCTTGAGAGCATCCCAGATGCATTCTAAAATGTCGATATCAAGAGGAAATTGTCTCTTAAAAATTGCAAATAGCCTGTGTTTGCGAGGTAGATCATAGAATCATAGAAAGCTAATCAAAATATTTAATTTGTTCAGTGTTATCCAATAGACCACTTCTATGGACCTCAGCAGATAATAATACTATTATAATATATATGATGTATTACTCTGTTTTACAATTCCATTATATTTGAATTCTTTTTTTTTACTATTGAAACTATTCTGCTCGCAAACATTCCAGATTCAGAATCTTCGGCAATCTTGGTTCCAACTTTGATCTCTTAACCGTTCTACATAGCTTTTCATTGAATTTAAAAAATGTTTTTTAAATGTCCTTTTTTTGACATGTTAAAATAATCCGAGAGATTTTTTGGCTCAACAAGAAGGACACATGTTTTATAAATGACTCACTGCCTAATAGTTTCTAAATTTATAACTGGGCATGATGTGAAATCTTAAAAATATTCCATTGCTCAGGGGTTGCTGGGAAGATCTAATAAGGCTGATCTTTTATGAATACAGGTGCCACTATGACATCCCCCTGTTATTTTAATTAGACGTCTCTCCTATAATACCCCTCATGCAATTCTCTGTTTTTCAATTACACAGGTCATATATTACATATGAAATATATTTTTTTTGGGCCGCAAGGTACATTGCATGTTTTGTGTGTGACTTTTAAACATCACAGTTCCATAATTCAGTTTTATATCAAAGACAAATTGCAAGTGAAATTATGTTAAACAAATTGAAAAAAATTCTTTGGTAGTCAATAGTTGGTCTTGTGTTTCGATATGGGTGTGTGTGTGTGCATCCGCGCTGTTTTGGGCTAAAATGAAGTGTTTTATCATCTATCCACAATTCACATTTTAGTCAAATTGATCGTAACCAAGCAACATCGCAATTTATTTTTGTAGAATTTAAATTGGTATGGGTCTTCTTTTATGCACCCGGTGAGCAGTGGAGTGAGTGTTTTTGTATTGTAAGAGGTAAACTAAAATGGAGTTTGGTACAGTAAGCCTGATGATAGTTTGATTTGTAATTTAAAAAATTTGTCTAAATAATACATAGTTTATTTTTTATTTTTTGTTAGGAATGTGAAAGCTATGAAAAGTGTTGCCCCAATGTTTGTGGAACGAGGAGCTGTGTGGCTGCAAGATACATGGATATTAAAGGAAAAAAAGGTCCTGTTGGCATGCCAAAGGAGGCTACGTGTGACTACTACATGTGTACCCAGCAGGGTTCTGAATGTGAGATTTGGGACGGGAATCCCATCTGTAAATGCAAAGACCGATGTGAGAAGGAGCCCAGTTTTACGTGTGCTTCAGATGGGCTTACCTATTACAACAAATGTTTTATGGATGCTGAGGCTTGCACTAAAGGTATTTCATTAGCTGTTGTCACATGTAAATATCATCTCAGCTGGCCCAACACCAGTCCCATTCCTTCTGAGACCACCCCAAACCCAACAATTTCATATTTGGAGGCTGTAATCACAAATATCATTCCTCCAACAATCGTAAGCAACCCCACTCATAAAACTGTTCATGTGGGCGACACGGTGAGCTTTCACTGCGATGTGACTGGCAAACCTAAACCAGACATAGCATGGGAAAAACAGGCTGAAGGCAAGGAAACGCTGATTATGAAACCAAACCATGTCATAGCCAACATTGTGGTCACCAACATCGGCCAACTTGTTATCTACAATACTCAACTTCAGGATGCAGGGACATACACCTGCACAGCCACAAATGTGGGTGGCCTTATCAAGATCAACTTTCCCTTGACTGTGAAGGAACAACATAGTAAAGAAAAGGGTTACAGCAAAACCTTCTACCCAACCGATGAGTGTCTTAAACCACCGGACAGCAAGGATTGCGGAGAAGAACAATCGAGATGGTATTTTGATGCAAAGAAAAATAACTGCTTTATATTCATCTACGGTAATTGCAATAGCAACTTAAACCACTTTGAAACTTATGAGGCGTGCATGTTAACATGTATGAACGGCCCAGTCAGCATCTGTAGCTTACCAGCTTTGCAAGGACCATGTAAAGCATATGAACCCAGGTGGGCTTATAACAAACTCATTAACCAGTGCCAATCTTTCATTTATGGTGGATGCGGTGGGAATGAAAACAATTTCGAAAGCAAAGATGTTTGCGAGGACATGTGCCCCTTTCCAAAGAACCATAAGTGCAAAGTGTGCAAGACTCGTCAGAAGCTGGTGACTAGTTTCTGTAAAAGCCACTTTGTGATCTTGGGGCGAGTAACAGAGTTGACAGAAGATCAGGACTCGGGACAAGCTTTGGTCTCTATTGAGGAAATTCTGAAAGATGAAAAAATGGGACTTAAGTTTCTAGGAAAGCAACCACTGGAGCTCACCTTACTCAGTATGGACTGGAGCTGTCCTTGTCCCAACATCACGTCAATTAACAGTCAACTCATCATTATGGGTGATGTTCACAATGGCATGGCTGTGTTGCAACCTCATAGCTACATTGGGGCAAGCAGTGCCCGACGTATCAGAAAGCTACGTGAAGTCATTCACAATAAGACATGTGATCTTCTCAAAGAGATTTTAGGGCAACCATAGCATTTTGCATTAACAAATCATCATACGCAAAATACTAAAATTAAATTAAACAGTACTTGTAGAGTATACATTTACCTGCTAATACATACATATACCTATGACACAGAGGAACGTTTTTTGTATTTTTTTTAACTTTAGCACTGGTCAAGAGCCATACATTTTTGCCCGCTGTCCATCCGAGAGAAGTGGAGAGAAATGACAGAGGCAACAGACCATTCAAGTAACCAAAAGATCATCAGCTCCTGGGGCAAGTTTGAAAAAGTACAACAAAGCTTCAAATTTGTATCTGATTTCACAGTCTACTTCAAAGTGCGCCCAATCATTTCATAGGGTAGCATGCAACTAGACTTGTGCACAAATGCTCTTCACCTACAATGAACTAATCAAAATTCTGTTAACCTACACCTGAATGAATCGATTTTTCACGTAAATCCCGTAAAGATCGATTATTTTGGGCATAGATTAACAGGAATTTGATTAATTCATCACAGGTGAAAATGATTTGTGCACAATTCTACATGCAAAATGTAATTCTTCTGCACATGTTTATTAACATGACCATAAAAATTATTTGCCAATACCATTCACGAGTCTGCTGAAACAGAAATGCAAAGTGTGCAAACTATGCAGATATTGTTCTACAGATTCATCTATCAAAAATTTCACAAACGTTTGATTGTTAAAACTAACTATGCTATCTGGTCATAGTCAGATGGCTATAACTCTGGAACACTTATTTGTATATTTTTATCTTATCGCAGCATCTGGGCCTCACTGTGTAAAAATAGGCAAATGCGGAGGTCAAAATACTTTACATAACATAAGCTTGATAATTAATTAATTAAAACACAACCAGTTTACCTACAAACAATGTAAACATCTTAAAATCACAGTGTAGTTTGCAAATTTGTAGCCCCTCGTTAGTCTCTAAACCACAACGTATGTACCGTAATAATTAGCTCCTAGTAGTTATAGATGTGTTTGAATTACAAATCAGAAGTCCAATAGTGGTATTTTGCATTTTTTTTTTTTTTTTACAATCCCATTCCTGCAAGTAAACTGTTTGAGACTTGATTCACACATCCAATCAGTTACTGCATGATTGTGGTTCTCGTATATTTCAGTCGAGATGTTTGTTAACTGTAATTAACTATTTTTCTGTCAGTATTACTTTGTTACAGTTTGTCATCCAGGAATCCAATTTCATTAAAAAAAATCTAACAAATTCTATGTTTGCCTGTCACTTAAAATACAAAACATGTTCACTAAAGTGCTTTTTTTTTTTACATTTAAATCCAGACTCAAAAAAAAAAATAAACTAATACAAATGTGACTGATTACTTTCTAAAACAGATGTTTAACGTACAGTCAAGGATAACAGAGGACCAGCACTATGGAGGTTAAATTAATTATAAAATCAATGTATATTTATATAGAACGGATGGCCAAGTCAATAACAGTGGAGATAAAGGAACAATAATTAGAAAAAAAAAGTATATAATTTATTTGCCAATATTTCTCTCTTTCAAATCCATTCACAAAAATCTGCTAAAAAAAAAAAAAAGACAATAAACAGACTTTCTTACCAGTAATGCAATATTTAGCTTTTTTTTTTTTTTTAAAGAAAAAAAAAATATGACAATTTTTAAATATAAATGATTATGGTTTCAATACAGAATAATGTAAATGTAAAAAATAAATTTGTTTTGTAAATTTTATTTACATCGACAAAAAATAAAAATAAAATTTAAAAAAATTTAAAATAAAAGAATTTGTAACATAATCCAATCATAAAATTCAAGCTAATCCAGCGTCCTTCACCATTCCATAAAAAATTCCTTTTGAAGCTATAAGATTTGCCGGCGTATCAAATTCTGCAATTTTCCCTTTGTCTAAAACAAGGACCCTGCAACCGAATAACAAAAAAAAAATAATAATTATAAAACCTACAGTATTGTACAATGTCAACTGAAAATATATATACATGTTATGGAATTAATGTACTGCGTATTTACAACTAAAACAATATCAAATTTATATAGTTTAATGCAGATATTTGTTTATTGGAAATGTTTAATATACTTCTAAAATTTAACCTCACAGTAAACTAAATTCAGTTTAGGTATATAAAACACTGGAACAGGTGTTAAAATATTTTTAGCTCTTTAACAGATTAACATGTGTTTATTAACTAATTAGCATTTTCAGGCTCACGCTATTAAATCATTCATTTCCAGTGCATATCTGAACTTCTTGTCCTGACTGTCTGCTCAGTCACCATGAGTTTATATTTTACAACTGGAGCAGGACTCACAACAGAGAAATACATTTATTTCAGTGTCTAACCTTTGACAGTCTGCATTCAATATTCGGTGATCATTATTCTATTAATGCATAAGTAGTAAAAAATTAATTGTTTTTTTTTTTTTATAAAAAATTTTTTTATACCCAGTATATTGACCACTGAGGTAGCTGAGTGGTTAATACTTCAACTGCAAAATCTAAGAGTCACTAGTTTACCAAGAGCAACTTAAAGGACCACTATAGTGCCAGGAAAACATACTCGTTTTCCTGGCACTATAGTGCCCTGAGGGTGCCCCTCCCGCTGGGCTGGATGGCAAGGAATGGGGTTAAACTTACCTTTATTCCAGCATTGGGCGGGGAGCTCTCCTCCTCCGATCCTCCCTCTCTCCTCCCCGTCGGCTGAATGCGCATGCGCGGCAAGAGCTGCGTGCATTCAGCCGGTCTCATAGGAAAGCATTCATAATGCTTTCCTATGGACGCTTGCGTGTTCTCACTGTGATTTTCACAGTGAGAAGCATGCAAGCTCCTCTAGCGGCTGTCAATGAGATAGCCACTAGAGGATTTGGAGGCTGGATTAACCCTAACATAAACATAGCAGTTTCTCTGAAACTGCTATGTTTATAAAAAAAAAATGGGTTAACCCTAGCTGGACCTGGCACCCAGACCACTTCATAAAGCTGAAGTGCTCTGGGTGCCTAGAGTGGTCCTTTAATCTGAATCTTACTAAAGGCAGTGAAATATGAATAATTAAAGGATACATTTTTTTGTAATAAATTAGATCCTGCCACTGGCTCTTTTGTAAATGTGCCTGGTTGTGTACAGCAGCCATATGAACCATACAGAAAGGGCTGTATGTTATCTACCTTCTCATTCCCTTCCTACTGGATGTCGGTGATGAGTGTGGAGCTAAGGTGTAATAGTTTGTTGTATTCTTTTTTCCCCGTAAACCATGAATCTCAGATAGTTCATGATTTCCTGTTTGCTGCTTTGCCAGTGCAGTTTTGCACCATAGGTAAATGGGGTGTCCCTTTAGTTAATTAGCCATTTAAAAATGTTTTGCAAACTCCATAATTTTAAGGAGGCCCAAATGTTTGCTGTGTGTAAGTCATCAACAGACCTTAACACATCATTACAACCGGCAGTAATTTCATACTTAAACTACAATGGGAGAAATCAGTAAGCCACAATTTCTCATTAAATGGAACATCTACACATTCCTAAAAAGGACACGTGCCACTTTGGCCATTTAAACTATTGCTAGCAGTATTCCCGTGTTCAGTTGTGAGTGAGTTAGCTAATTTTCTGTTCTCCACGACTACCACCACCCTTTTTTATCATTACTTGGTTTGGCCCAGTGTAAGACATTATTCATTCACCTGGTATAATCCATTATGGTATTTAGCCTGTGAGCAATTGTTAGCACCGTGCAGTCTTCAAACTGAGTCCTTATGGTCGTTTGGATAAGATCATCTGTTTCCAAGTCAATCGCGGCAGTAGCTTCATCCAGAACGAGAATTCGAGTTTTGCGGAGAAGTGCTCTGGCCAGACAGACAAGTTGCCTTTGTCCAACACTGGGTGGGTTAAAATAAAAAAACAAAACGAAAAAAAAAACATAACAAAAATCCAACAAATTAATGTTTGCAGCATAAAACTATACAACACAAAACATCACAAAAGTATTTTTTTTTCAAGATTTGTGAAAGGTGTACCATACAATGCTTCTTAACATAACTAATTTTTAAAGGCAGACTACTTTGTTTTGAACTCTTCATGGTGAGCAGAATTTAACAAATTTGGATTAGGAACCCGAACCAGTGTGCTGGTTCAGAAGGTCCAGTCATATTGATACTTTAGAGAGAGTTCAGAGAAGGGCTACTAAACTGGTTCATGGATTGCGGGATAAAACTTACCAGGAAAGGTTAAAGGATCTTAACATGTATAGCTTGGAGGAAAGACGAGACAGGGGGGATATGATAGAAACATTTAAATATATAAAGGGAATCAACACAGTAAAGGAGGAGACTATATTTAAAAGAAGAAAAACTACCACAACAAGAGGACATAGTCTTAAATTAGAGGGACAAAGGTTTAAAAATAATATCAGGAAGTATTACTTTACTGAGAGGGTAGTGGATGCATGGAATAGCCTTCCAGCTGAAGTGGTAGAGGTTAACACAGTAAAGGAGTTTAAGCATGCGTGGGATAGGCATAAGGCTATCCTAACTATAAGATAAGGCCAGGGACTAATGAAAGTATTTAGAAAATTGGGCAGACTAGATGGGCCGAATGGTTCTTATCTGCCGTCACATTCTATGTTTCTATGTAATTACAAATGATAACAGAGATTTTCCATATTGGGATGAGTCGCGATATCCCTGTAAGAACACCTATGCACACACCGTACTGGCATTATGGCCAGTTAAAAAATTATAGGCTGCTGTCTAGTGACTCCCAGCAGGCAATAAGGAAAATGCTGGTTCTCAATTGATTGAGAGTATTGTTTGCTATCTTTGGCACTGCAGATATGTCATGGTGATGCATACTTCTAATGTCCAGCAAAGCACGGGTAATTTTCCTACAATATACTAATACTAATGGCGTACTATACCTTAGGTTTTCTCCTCCTTCAGAACATTCATATTCCAGTTTATTTGACTGACTGGTAACAAATTTCTTTAAATTGGACAGTTCCAGTGCTTTCCATATTTCTTCTTCTGAGTATTTATCAAAAGGATCGAGGTTCATTCTTAAAGTGCCAGAAAAAAGTACTGGGTCCTGGTAAGGAGATAAAATGTATCAAAATAAGGTTCTTTAGTGGAGAAATAGCTGCACCCCTAATAACAGTCAATAGGTAACCATCCAATTCAAAATATGTTTGTAAATCCAGAGCTACCTGACAATCTAGAGATAAATGGAATATAGTTCTCTAAATTTCGGATCTCTGCAGTTACTCTGGCCTAGGCTGCTATTACGGAAAAACCGCAGCAATGAAACAAATGGTTTACCTGAGGAATGATAGTCAGCATGGACCTTAGATCGTGAAGACCTATTTCTGAGATATTGACACCATCTATCGTGATGATTCCTTCTGCGGCTTCCAAAATTCTAAAAAGGCAAAGGGTCATCGATGATTTCCCCGCTCCAGTTCTTCCAACAATGCCAACCTGTGCAATTAAAATAAAATCACAAAAATCATTTTTATTTATATTTATTTGATAATTCTATTTTTTTTATTTTTATTTTTATTTTTTTTAATGCAGTGCCTAGAAAAGGATCTGGTTTGTATATATTTAATTGGGCTGTACAGTATACTTTATCAACAGCTAAAGCATATAATGAGGTTTATTCAGTAAAAGAGGAATTTTATGAAATTGTCAAAGGAAACACATGTGAAAGTCCTAAACAGCTGAGTGGAAAATTCTACGATTTAGCTGAATCTCCTGTTGACCTCTGTGAAAGATTCCACAAGACAGGTAACATTATTAGAAATATTTACCTTTTCTCCCCCCTTCACTTGGAGATTTAGGCTTTTCAACACTAAATCTAAGCCAGATCGATAACGAACAGAATAGTTTGATAATGTTACTTCTCCTTTACTTGGCCAGTCCTCTGGAGGTCGTTTCTCCTCGATTATCCATGGGGCCTGTGGAATATAAGTAATACTTCCTTTGTTAAATAATGTTTTATAATCGTAATTATTATACAATAGCATTAGGTCCGCCCTTTAGGTGACTTTAGAGGGCCTCCAACTCCAGAATTTTGGGGGCTTACTCATCGCTGTACAGTCACAACACTCACTCAGATGTTAGGATGTTTGTGCAATCTAGGCCAGGGATAGGCAACCTTTGGCACTCCAGATGTTGTGGACTACATTTCTCATAATGCTCTTACATCCATAGTGCTTTAGGGTAGATGTAGTCCACACCCAGGGCCGGCGCTACCTGTAAGGCGGACTAGGCAGCCGCCTAGGGCGCCCCTTGGGAAGGGGCGCCGCCAGGAGCTCCGGCCCCCCATGCTGCAGCCGCCCGAGCGCTCTGTAAAGAGCCTCAGGCGGCTGCAGCTTTGCCCGCGCGGTGCGTCCATGAGGGCGGACCGCACCGCCCGGGCGCAGCATGGGGAGAGGGGCTGACAGGAGGGAAGCGCTCAGCGCTCCCTCCTGTCACTCCCTCTGTAGTAGCGTGGCCGAGCCCAGTATAGTCGGCGGGTACAGAGAGCATCTGTCTCACTTCCTTTTAGTCCGGCCGGGTACAGGAAACAAAAGCTACCTGTACCCGCGGACTATACTGGGCTTGGCCACGCTACAATAGAGGTAGGGGAGGAATAAATGGACAGGGAGGGAGGGGAGAGGGAATAAATGGACAGGAGGGGAGGGGAGAGGGGGAATAAATGGACAGGGAGGGGAGGGGGGGAATAAATGGACAGGGAGGGGAGGGGGGGGGATAAATGGACAGGAGGGGAGGGAGAGGGGAACAAATGGACAGGAGGGGGAATAAATGGACAGGGGAGGGGGGATAAATGGATAAATGGACAGGGGAGGGGGGATAAATGGACAGGGGGGGGAATAAATGGACAGGCAGGGTGGGGGGGAAATAAATTGACAAGGTGGGGGGGAAGATATTGACAGGGAGGGGAATTGACTGGGTTAGGAGGGGGAATGAGAGTGGGGAGGGGAGAGTGACAAGGGAGGGGGGAGAAGAGAGAGACAAGGGGGGAGAGAAGAGAGTGACGAGGGAGGGAGAGGGGGAGAAGAGAGTGACAAGGGAGGGGGGAGAGATTGACATCCATCACACACACACAATGCACCCCTTGCACACAGAAAAACACACAATGCATTACACACACAGACACACACACACACACGCAATTCAATCCTTACACACAATGCATCCCTTACACACACAGAAACACACAATGCATTCCTTACACACACTCAATGCACCCCTTACACACACTCAATGCACCCCTTACAGACGCACACACTGCATCCCGTACATACATAGAAACACACATTGCAGCCCTTACACATACAAACACAGATTCACACAATGCATTCCTTACACACATATCAGGACATCCCCTACTCCTGTGAACAAACTAATTGGTGGAACATGAAGGTGGACCCTGGGGCCCAGACCTTGAGCTGTGTAAAGGGCCTTAAAAAAATGGAGCTGCTTCCCGTTCTCCCAGAACACAAACAGCCTCCAGAGAGCCTGTTCTACACCAGACGAGTGGAGCCAGACTGCAGCTAGAGCCCATCACCATCCTCATCTGGTTGTAAGTAGGCAATCTAGTATATTATTCGTGGCACTAATCTCTAATTTACCTCACATTAAAGAAACACTATAGTTCCCAGAACCACTGCAGCTTAATGTAGTGGTTCTGGTGTCTATAGCCTGTCCTTGCAGGCCTTTTAATGTAAACACGGCGGCACTGCAGCACTTGCGTTAGTTAACATGGGGCATTGTGATGTCATATGGGGGGGCGGCAAACTTTACTTTTGCCTAGGGCGGCAAAAATCCTTGCACCGGCCCTGTCCACACCATCTGGAGTGCTGAAGGTTACCTACCCCAGATTTAGGCTTGCACACCCACAAGATCCCCTAAACTGCAGATCAGTACAGCAGACGGTCACTTACAGACAGGAAAGAGGTGCAAAGATGTCACCTCATATCCCGTCACCCATAGTCTGTACTATCACAAGGAGTGGCTGGGGCGAAGTCTGTCCTGGCCAGTAAACATTTTTAGTGATAATCCAACTTTGGAAACCATGATAATGGAGCCTCTCCACTCCACTTTCCCTCAGGCAGGAGAGGGTGTGATATTACAATTTTTTATGTCTTGATTTGCATCTATGGATGTGTGTTCATTTGTGTATTAACCTGAGTCTGGATATGAGTGTCACAGTGTGTCTGTGACTGCATGTTAGTGTCTGTGTATGCGTGTTAACATGTGCCTATGTATGCATGCTATTTTCCTCAGCATGTTGCTAATTTTGTTGCGTGTATGTCAAGTAATGTGCGTCACTGGCTTATTCTGTATGTTTGTTCGTATGGCTAAACACCTCTATGTGAGTGGATAATTTTGTGTGTGTCTATTTAAATGTTTGTTAGTGGCCCTGACTAGTGTCACGTAGTTGTGTTTGGAATGGTATAATTCCCAAGGTTATTATTTGTCAGTGCAGTTGCTCAGTATTTATTGAATGTAAATATTATTTTTATCTCTGTAATACATTTTGTTTCTCTGTTAACACACATAATAATTTTGCATTTATATGTTGACATGATAATTTCTTATAATACATAACTCTTAAACAGTCTGAACTGCTAAAATATGTATTCCTTTGGATGAACAAAGTTGATAAAAGGAATGGAGCATTTTAGTTACGAAGAAAGGATAAAAAATTAAAATCTGTTTAGTATGGAAAAACGGCGCCTGAGAGGAGATATGATAACATTATACAAATATATTCGGGGCCAGTGCAAACCTTTATCTGGAAATATATTCATAAACAGGGCTATACATAGGACACGAAGTCATGCATTTATGCTGGAAGAAAAGACATTTCATCTGAGGCAAAGAAAAGGTTTTTTAACAGTAAGAACAACAAGGATATGGAATTCTCTGCCTGAAGAGGTGGTTTTATCAGAGTCCATACAGATGTTTAAGCTGCAATTGAATAAATACTTCCAAAAACATAACGTACAGGGATATAATTTCTAATTAGTGGGGTAATAGCTGCTTGATCCAAGGAGATTATCTGACTGCTATTTTGGGGTCAAGAAGGAATTTTTTCCTAGTTTTTTGCAAAATTGGAAGCGCTTCAGACTGGGTTTTTTTGCCTTCCTTTTGGATCAACAGCAAAAAACAAATGTGAGGAAGGCTGAACTTGATGGACACAAGTCTCTTTTCAGCTATGAAACTATGGAACTATGTAACCCTTTCTGTCTGGGTACTAATCATATTGTTTCGTCTGACCTCACAGGTACAGATGATAATTTGGCAGATAATGATAATGATTAGTAGTGCAAACTGAGCTCAGCACTGAATATATGTGGACACATCCTTCTATGTTAATGGGCTGAAAGCTTTCTAAACAAGACTAGGCGCAACATTCCCATATAATACATTGAAAATCATAATCGTGAATTTAATTTATGTTTTTATCAATTAATTCAATTTATTTAAAAATAGGTTAAGTGCTCCTTTAAGGTGGATCATGCAGATGTTTGAAAACGAACCTCTGTCTCGGTTTCTGAATATTCCTTCACTCTTTCAACAGCCACAATATTTGTCTCCAGATCAGAGGTCATTCGCACCATCCAGTTTAAGGACATTGTTACCTGGAAATAAATTGGTTATTTTTATTTACCAAACATCAACATATTTTGATTTATATGTAAAGAACACCCAAAACTAGCATTTAAAAACGTATCAGGCACAACATTAAAACCAACTGCGTAATATCATGTAGGTCCACCGTGTGCTGTCAAAACAACTCTGATGCTTCATGGCATGGACTTCACAAGACCTCTGAACATATGCTGTGGTATCTGGCACCAAGACATTAGCAGAAGATCATCTAAGTCCTGCAAGTTGCAGGGTGGGACCTCCTTGGATCAGATTTGTAGTTCCAGCACATCCCACAGATGCTCAATCGGCTTGAGATCTTGGGAATTTGGAGGCATGGCAAACATCTTTGTTGTGTTCCTCAAACAATTCCTGAAGATACTTTGCAGTGTGGCAGGATGCATTATCCTTCTAAAAGAGGCTACTGACATCAGGGAACACCATTGCCATGAAAGGATGTATGTCATCTGCAACAATCTCCAGGTAGGTGGCACGTGTCAAAGTAACATCCACATGAATGCCCGGACCCATGGTTTCACAGAGCATAACACTGCCTCTGCCGCGCTGTCTTCTTCTGATAGTGAATCCTGCTTTCATCTCTTGCTAGGTAAACAACGCATAAGGCCATCCACCTTATCTAAAAGAAAACGTGATTCATCAGACAAGGCAACCTTCTTCCATTACTCCATGGTCTTATTCTGATGCTCACGGCCCCATTGAAGGAAGTTTTGGCGATGGTCAGTGGTCATCATGGTCACGCTGACTTGTCTGCATCTACACAGCCAGATACTCAGCAAACTGTGATGCATTGTGTGTTCTGACACCGTTCTATCTTTCTTAAAGCTACAGTAGGCAGCATTAAGGTAATTTGAGCTACAGTAGCTCTTCTGTGTGATCAGACCAAACAGGCTAACCATCGCATCAGCTAAACCTTGGACACCCATAACCCTGATGGCAGTTTTCCTCAGCATACCTGGAACACGCCACAAGACTTGCCGTTCTGGAGATGCTCAGAGCCAGTCGTTTAGCCATCTCTATTTGGCCCTTGGTCAAAGTCACTCTGTTCTTTTCACATGCCCATTTTTCCTGCTTCCAACATGTGAAGTTCAATTGCAAAAATTCAAGAAGTGATTGTTCACTTGCCATCTAATAAGACTCGCTCCTTCACAGGTGCCATTATAACGATATAATCAATTTTATTTACTTAATCAGTCAGTGGTTCTAATGTTGCGGCCAACCTCTGTATAACTGGATATCCAGTGAGTTAATAATCTACGCATTAAACAAATATTTCTCAATGTTACATCTTTTATATATCCCTAATTAAACCAAAAGAAAGAACAAATACATTTCGCATATAGAAGTGATATCCAGCAATAAAGGAAAAAAATACACTTTGTATCAACAAGATATTCTTATTATTAATATTTATGTTCATTATTGTAACACTACATTCTCTGATTTGTTAAAAAAAAAACAGTTTAGTTCCCTGTTTTGCTATCATTGGTGAAGTAACTTTCGACATGCTCGAAGAAATGGGGAGATTGGAGTAATACCTTGCCATTGACCTCTCTAGAAGGGACCTAAAAATCTATTCATGAGAGATGATTGATTCTAAGTATTGGCTCACAAATGATCACAATGAAGAATTCGTTTACATCAGCTTGGAAGAAAAGTTAAAATTATTGTGGTGATTAAAAATACCTGTAATGCGTAGGACACGGAGAGTCCCACCAGCCCAGGACTAAGAGTTTCTCGGCCAATCACAGCAAACAAGGCAGCGAACAGGACTACACAGTTCCCAACAAACTCCACGCGGATTCCCAGCCATCTGTAGGGGGGGAGAATAATTAAATGAATTTACTCCTGGTGCACAAATCACATCTAATGTTTCCAAGTGAAACTTTTATACAATAAATGAAACAAAGGAACACGTTCACCTTTTATCTATATAGGCAGCAGATGTGGTTATGGTTCTTAAAGTATTTTTTTAAAGAGACACTATAGACACTTAGACCCCTTCAGTTCATTGAAGTAGTCTGGGTGCAATGTCCCTGTCTCACTTACTCCTGTAATGTAAATCATTGCAGTTTTTGAGAAACTACGATCATTTCATTGCAAGGTTAAGACTGCCTCTAGTGGATTTCAGCCACTAGAGACCCCTTCCTGCTTGCAAGGCGACTTTCGGTCGCCTAACTGACACTGGACGTCCTTACGCTCTGCATGAGGACATCCAGTGTCAGTTAAATTCCCACAGGAAAGCATTAAAGCAATACTTTCCAATGGGGAAGGCCTAATGTGTTAGCTGCGCATGGTCATTAGCCCCCTTCCGTCGGGTGATGTCGGAGGAGGCGGAGCACCGACCCAGCATCAGCGCTAGAATCGTGTAAGTGCTACAAGGGTTATTTTTAACCCTTGCAGCGCTGGGGTGGTGGTTTCTAAACAGCTTTGTATTCCTTACACTATAGAATCCCTTTAAGACAAATTTAAGCAAAACTGTGACCTCAGCATGTTAGAAAATTGCAATCTAATTATAGTTCCTTTGGTGCATGGAATCACAGACAGATTCTGCGTGTTAGAAATGTGCAAAAGTTTGTAAACTCCAGAGGAACCTAAGCTAAATGAAGTCACGTTGCTTTTTTTTCACAGGTTGAGGACGGTTGTATAGCTTTGTATAGTATGCTTCTGCATTGTAAACAAGGAGAGAAATTGACAGTAAAACGAAATAATTCCCTCAGCTGGGAACGTAACATGTTCAGTTTATATACATTAAGTATTGTTAGGAAATGGAAACTTTTGCACATACAGGGAGTGCAGAATTATTAGGCAAATGAGTATTTTGACCACATCATCCTCTTTATGCATGTTGTCTTACTCCAAGCTGTATAGGCTCGAAAGCCTACTACCAATTAAGCATATTAGGTGATGTGCATCTCTGTAATGAGAAGGGGTGTGGTCTAATGACATCAACACCCTATATCAGGTGTGCATAATTATTAGGCAACTTCCTTTCCTTTGGCAAAATGGGTCAAAAGAAGGACTTGACAGGCTCAGAAAAGTCAAAAATAGTGAGATATCTTGCAGAGGGATGCAGCACTCTTAAAATTGCAAAGCTTCTGAAGCGTGATCATCGAACAATCAAGCGTTTCATTCAAAATAGTCAACAGGGTCGCAAGAAGCGTGTGGAAAAACCAAGGCGCAAAATAACTGCCCATGAACTGAGAAAAGTCAAGCGTGCAGCTGCCACGATGCCACTTGCCACCAGTTTGGCCATATTTCAGAGCTGCAACATCACTGGAGTGCCCAAAAGCACAAGGTGTGCAATACTCAGAGACATGGCCAAGGTAAGAAAGGCTGAAAGACGACCACCACTGAACAAGACACACAAGCTGAAACGTCAAGACTGGGCCAAGAAATATCTCAAGACTGATTTTTCTAAGGTTTTATGGACTGATGAAATGAGAGTGAGTCTTGATGGGCCAGATGGATGGGCCCGTGGCTGGATTGGTAAAGGGCAGAGAGCTCCAGTCCGACTCAGACGCCAGCAAGGTGGAGGTGGAGTACTGGTTTGGGCTGGTATCATCAAAGATGAGCTTGTGGGGCCTTTTCGGGTTGAGGATGGAGTCAAGCTCAACTCCCAGTCCTACTGCCAGTTCCTGGAAGACACCTTCTTCAAGCAGTGGTACAGGAAGAAGTCTGCATCCTTCAAGAAAAACATGATTTTCATGCAGGACAATGCTCCATCACACGCGTCCAAGTACTCCACAGCGTGGCTGGCAAGAAAGGGTATAAAAGAAGAAAATCTAATGACATGGCCTCCTTGTTCACCTGATCTGAACCCCATTGAGAACCTGTGGTCCATCATCAAATGTGAGATTTACAAGGAGGGAAAACAGTACACCTCTCTGAACAGTGTCTGGGAGGCTGTGGTTGCTGCTGCACGCAATGTTGATGGTGAACAGATCAAAACACTGACAGAATCCATGGATGGCAGGCTTTTGAGTGTCCTTGCAAAGAAAGGTGGCTATATTGGTCACTGATTTGTTTTTGTTTTGTTTTTGAATGTCAGAAATGTATATTTGTGAATGTTGAGATGTTATATTGGTTTCACTGGTAATAATAAATAATTGAAATGGGTATATATTTGTTTTTTGTTAAGTTGCCTAATAATTATGCACAGTAATAGTCACCTGCACACACAGATATCCCCCTAACATAGCTAAAACTAAAAACAAACTAAAAACTACTTCCAAAAATATTCAGCTTTGATATTAATGAGTTTTTTGGGTTCATTGAGAACATGGTTGTTGTTCAATAATAAAATTAATCCTCAAAAATACAACTTGCCTAATAATTCTGCACTCCCTGTAGATCAGATTATAAAATGCTCATTCATGGCGTGTACATGGTGTTTTTCCTGTAGTTTAACATTAACAGCAGAATCAGGCACGCAGGTATATTATGGGATAATGATGACTAAACGTGGCACTACGTTTCCCAAAATGCTTAGGAATATGAAAATAAAATGGTATTGAAGATTATGGCTTATTAACAAAACAAAACAAAAAACAGGATTGCACCAAAACCAGAAGAAACAATTATTTACCTTTTAAAGAACTTCTAACAATGAAATTCCCAGAAAGAATATAATTGCCGATCAGATAAAGGGACAGTTGTAGAAATAAAGAAGATGAAATATTTCTTTAATCCAGAGAGCGAGAGATAAGAGAAAATCTAAACAGCGAGAAACAGAAAAGAGTATAAAGTCAGCAAGAGAAGGAGGGGGGGGAGGGGGAACTGGAGTATAATAGCTTTAATGAAGTCAGGGGTGCAATCCCACAAAGCCAGTTCAAAGTTCAAGATAGATCAATATATTTCTCAAATTTTTTTAAGTTGTCTTTCGCTACAATTTATTTTATTCTTTTTTTTTTTCACATGAATCTGCACTTAATACGATAAACAAAAACATGACTTTAATAAATGTGCAAATTGAAAAAAATAAAAAATGAAAAATTGGATAGGCATTCAGACCTTTTGCTATGACATTTGAAATTTAGCTCAGATGCAGCTCGTTTCTCTGGATCAATTTTGAGATGTTTCTACACTAGGAGCCCAACTGTGGCAATTTCAATTGATTGGGCTTAACTGGAAAATGCACAAGCCTGTCTTTATAAAGTATCACACCTGTAAATACATATCAGAGCAAAAACCAATCCACGAGGTCAAAGGAACTCCTCACAGAGCTCAGAGACTGGCGTCATTGAAGGTTCCCAAGAGCAATGTGGCCGCCAGAATTCTTAAATGGAAGAAGGATGGAACAACCAGGACTCCTAGAGCCAAACTGAGCAATTGGCGGAGAAGGACCTTGTACAAGAAGTGACCAAAAACCCAATGGCCACCCTGGTTAAGCTCCAGAAATCATGTATGTAGATGGAAAAAACTTGTGGAAGGTCAACAAGCAATGCAATGCTTAACCAATTGATTTTTTTTTCTGGGAGATGGAAACCTTTCCTCACTGCAAAACACAAGAAATCCCTCTTGGAATTTACAATATAAAGGACTCTCAGACTGTGAGAAACAAGATTCTCTGGTCTGATGAAATGAAGATTGAACTATTCGGCCTCAGTTCAAAGTGCCTGTGGTCTGGGTGCAGTAGCCCTGTTCTCTTAACTCTGCAATGTAAAACATTGACATTTTTGAGAAACTGTAAGCGTTAAGAATGCCTGTAGTGGCTGTCCAACAGACAGCCACTAGAGGTGCTTCCTGGAGTTTCACAGAGTTTGACTCCGTGAAACGACGCTTTGCAAGAGGATGTCCAGCGTATTACAAATCCCCATACAAAAACATTGAGATAATGCTTTCCTATGGAAAAATGCCTAATGCATACGCGGCATATGCCGTACATGCGCATTAGCCTACCCCATTGGCTGACTTTGGTGGAGGAGAAGAATCGTCCAGAGCTGAGGGACATCAGTGCTGGAATTAGGTAAGTGTATACATTTTTTTTAACCCTTTATTTGCCAATGGAGAGGGTAAGGGGGGGTGGGAGGGGTAGACAGGGTAGTACAGCGTTAAAAATACAGTTTTGTATTTTGTTTAATGAAAACCTGGTCTAGTGCGCTCAGGACCTCAGACTGGGCCGAAGGTTCCCATTCCAACAGTACAATGACCGTAAGCTCACAGCCATGACAACGCATGAGTGGCTTAGGGACAACTCTGTAAATATCCTCAACTTAATCGAACATTCTTGGAGAGTCCTGAAAATGGCTGTCCATCCACGGTCCCCATCCAACATGATAGAGAGGATCTGTAGAGATGAATGGCAGAAACTACCCAAAACCAAGTTTTGGGTGTCACATAATACCCAAAGAGACTGTAATCGCTGCCAAAGGTGCTTCATCCAAGTACTGCCTTAAGGGTTATATCAACGTGCTGTTTCAGATCTTTTTCTGTTTAATATATTTGGAATTGTATAAGAAAATCTGGTTGTTGCTTTGTCAATATGGGTATTGAATATCGATTGATGTGACACACAATTTATTTTTAAACTATTGTAGTATAAAGGTGCAATTTAAGAAAAATTTGAGTCTGAATAATTTCACAGTACATATATATATACACACGCATGTTTTGTGTTAAGCTGATATCTTGAGGCTTTTGGAAGATGGAAAAAGGGGAGTTAAAAGTTGCCACACACCTTATATATAATGTGCCTTTGCTACATATTTTAAATAAAACTGCAGTGATCAATTATTATTAAAGGTGGGTTGTTTTTTTCAACAGACGTCAAAGTACTAAGATGTTACTGTTATGTAACTCAACGGTATTCGCTTTACTGACTTTGAAAGGATAAATAACTGAGTTATCCCTGAAAAATACCCTGTGACCATGAGGTTTGAACAGGTTCAACAGTTGGTGTACTAACCAACTGAGCTACCTCATCAATGTAATTACTAGTTTGACACGATTCTCTATATTTGTAGTTTAAAGTAAGATTATAGCTAATTACAAATTTCTCCAACAGAAATTATCTTTTTGTAGCTTTTAAATCAATATATCAGAAAATGTCTGTTCTCCCACAGAACTTAAGGTACTGGAAATTCTACGGGCCTTTCTTTGTGAGTGAAAGAAAGCAATTCTCTCGTCCACCTGCTGCCAGGAAGCTGCTGTGAAGTTCACTGAGAATAATTGGAGAGGATAATTTCAAAAGAGTTTTGGTGTCAAACATTACCTTTTTTCTCCTGTAGGGTAAAATTGCACGTATTATCACCGGGGTCATTGAATGCCTACTTCTAGATATGCGGAAAAGTAGCACATGAAAAAACTGGACTGCCGGACTCGTGCCATTAACCCCTTAAGGACACATGACGTGTGACATGTCATGATTCCCTTTTATTCCAGAAGTTTGGTCCTTATGGGTTAAAGGGGAACCATTGCTTCTTTAGCAATAACACTATGAAATAAAATATTGAAAATAACGTACAACAGTTTGTCTAATTCTCCACCTCCACATTGTATTTTCATTTGCAGAAAGGGGCAGAGCTTATAACAGTGATTGACAAGGAGCCAAGATTAAGGCGATCAGTTCTAGAAGGGCAAATATCCGATTGGATTTGTACATATACTTTTATTTTTCAGACTTCACAATCACATATTTGTTGAATATAGGGGATGATTATAAATATCGTGGGAAGTAATAATTCACCTTTAACCCCTTAAGGACCAAACTTCTGGAATAAAAGGGAATCATGACATGTCAGACATGTCATGTGTCCTTAAGGGGTTAAACACTCCTTCAATGTAACATTTAAGGGGACACTAATGGCACTAAAACTACTTAATAAAGCAGTTTTGGTGTATAGATCATGCACCTGTGGACCCACTGCTTAATTCTCTATCATTTAGGAGTTAAATCACTTTGTTTATGCAGCTCTTGTCACACCTCCCTGCATGTGATTTGCACAGCCTTCCTAGACACTTCCTGTAAAGAGAGATCTAATGTTTAAACTTCCTGTATTGCACATTCCTTTCAATTTAAAATTTCTTATCTCCTGCACGGCTTAAAGCCTTCTTGACCATGCAGCGGCGGGGCTGTTATTCAACTAAAATGTAATTAAGATCAAGAAAAATATCTTATTTACTCAGAAATATTTCTAAAAACATTGCTGAGAGCTCTGTTATATACTCAGATACACCAGCGGTATGGAGCTCCTAGAAAAGAGGTAAATTAGGATAAAAAAGAGGGACAGAAGAAATTGGACCCAAAATATGTACTGTATCTCCTACGTTGGGACATATGTGCATTCTACAATTACTGGTATGTAAATGTGTTTTTGTGTGTATAGCTGGTGGGGTGTGCTAGTAAAATGCTTGACAATGTATCACAAACTGTGTCAATAGGTGAATGGTTTTCTCTTGAGATGGAAGTGAGGTATAAACCAGAAAGTAAAAATCAAACCTAATCAGCGGAATATAAGACTTTTTACCCTCCCCTTTTAAGGGGGGTTAACATTTTAAAATGCATCCTTTCTATAGCCACAGAAATGCTCGTTGCCATACCTGTTTGATACAATTCCAGGGTAGTAACTTTTTTGGTTTTCATCCACCTTGCTATCGCTTAATAGCACAAAGCTGTTTTGCCTTCCGTACGCTCGGATAATGCTTGTACCAGTGATGGTTTCAGAAAAATGGGAATAGATGGGGGACCTGCTGACCGACTCGAGACGTTTCAGTTGTCGAGAGGTAGCAACGTAAAATCTCTGATATAATGAAGACAAACAAGAAGAGTTATCAATGTGATAAAATGACAAAATATCTTAATGAAAATCACGATCATTTATCTTTACATATCTTTGCTGAGCTGCCCCCTTCCTGTGCTTTTTGGGGTACAGCACAGGTTTCTGGGAATTGAAGTTCAATTGTAGTAAAGCTAAACTACAATACATCACCCCTCTCCCCCACCCCCCCAAAAAACACCCAGCATAACTATGACTTCTAACATCTTCATTACCATTAAAAACCCAAAGTTAAACAAACGTACTTGCACAAAGAAATATACAAATGCAAGTGGTATTATGACCACAGCAAACAGTGGCGTGCTGGAGATAATGACAATCGTGGTTGACAGAGATGTAAAGAAAGTGGCCAGGAACATTAAGATGGTCGGTGGGATCACTTCGTCAATGACATAGATATCTTTGGAGAATCTGTTGATGATTCGACCGATTGGCGTAGTGTCATAGAAAGCTTGTGGCGTGTGCATTTTATTATCCAGTAGCCCGGCGTGAAGCTTTCTGGCGGCTCCAATCCCGGCCATAGCAAGTGTAAAAGAAGAAACCATTACGAAAAACCCTGTTGCAAGGAAAACCAGGCAGAGTGGTCAAGCTTGGGAGGTGAACAGTTCGTATTTCAGAGTGACATTAATTTAAACATCTATGCTTGCATCTACTTGAAAATCATACAAACATGATTAGAAACGATATATACATGACATAACGTTCCTGTTATTTCCAATAAAGCAGATCACAATTTTGGATCCTGTACAACACAGATGGTGACATCATCTGTGCAATTATCTCCTGTAATGAACGGACTATAATGTACAGATCACCTCTGTGCAATGTAGGGGGCCTAATCTCAGGCAGAAATGGAACATGCATGTTCTGGTCTGCCCAAAATTAGTGGGAGATACACTTCGAAAGACCACCAGTAATCATTCTAATGACAACAGCTGAAATAGCTGGCACCTTGGACTGTAACTCCCACTAATCTCAGCCAGCGCAGGTATACATATATATATATATATATATATATATATATATATATACACACTATATTATCACAAAATGTTACCGTTATATTAACTTAATACACTACACAATTACTTAAACATTAAAGGACCACTCTAGACACCAAGAACACTTCAGCTTAATGAAGTGGTCTGGGTGCCAGGTCCCTCTAGGATTAACCCATTTTTTTAATAAACATATTTTTATAAAGTTTCAGAGAAACTGCTATGTTTATAAATGGGTTAATCCATCCTCTAAATCCTCTAGTGGCTGTCTCATTGACAGCAGCTAGAGGCGCTTGCGTGATTCTCACTGTGAAAATCACAGTGAGAACACGCAAGTGTCCATAGGAAAGCATTATGAATGCTTTCCTATGAGACCGGCTGAATGTGCGCGCAGCTCTTGCCGCGCGTGCGCATTCATCCGAATGGGAGGAGAGGAGGAGGATCGGAGGCGGAGAGCTCCCCGCCCGGCGCTGGAGAAAAGGTAAGTTTTACCCCTTTTCTCTCCCCAGAGCCGGGCGGGAGTGGGACCCTGAGGGTGGGGGCACCCTCAGGGCACTATAGTGCCAGGAAAACGAGTATGTTGCCAGGAAAACGAGTATAGTGGTCCTTTAATCCTAGACTACCCTAAAAAACTACACTAACACTAAAGCATTAACCCCTAAATTGCCCTAACTCAGCACACTGTCAATTAAATATTAACCCCTACACTTCTCTAACACGCTACATTATCACTTAAACATTAACCCCTAAACTGCCCTAATTCATTATCACTGTAACATTAACTCTTATACTACACTAACACACAACATTCTTACTAAACGTAACCGCTACGCTACCTTAACACACTAGACAATCACTGAACATTAATCCCTACACTACAGTAACAGTAATACTAGCCCTAACCTACAAATATGGTGCTATCAGCAGGTATCTGCAGAATTCTTCAATGCAGAATAATGCCATTAAGCAGTTCTGCAGATATCTAACAATATCATCAGGAACATTCTAAGTACCAAACAACTTAAGCTTAATGACGTGGATCTGATGTATAGATCGTGCCCCTGCAGTCTCACTGCTTAATTTTTTGATATTAAGAAGTTAAATCACTTTATTTAAGCAGCCCTCGCTCCACCTCCCTTGGCTGTGGCTCACCCAGCCTCCCTACACCAAACTTGAAAAAGAGTCAGTTTTATTTAGCTTTCCTTTAGCACAGTGTGTTTAAGTTAGAATTTCTTATTTCCTGCTCGGTTAATATTCTCCTAGAGCCTGCAACAACCTCCTGTATGTGATTAAAGTTCAATTAACATAGCAGGAGATAATGACTTCCAAAGTAAACACACTGTGTTTGAAAAGATCGGTTTGAAAACAAAGCCATTTTTTTCATGGAGGCCACGTGAGTCATAGCTAGGGGACGTATGGCTAGGGCTGCATAAACAGAAACAAAAGTGATTTAATTCCTAAATTGCAGAGAATAGAAAAAAGGGCATGATCTATACACTAACACTGCTTCACTAAGCTAAAGTTGTTTTGGTGTTCAAAATGTCAGTTTAACACCAGGAGATTTTGGAAAAGATATGCTCCCTCAGACTTTAATCCCTCCTGTATTTTATTCTACTGCCCATCATTCAAAGACCAGTTTACACCTCTCCTGAAAGTGGAAGAATCTGCTTCTCATCAGCCAACCATCACCCAACCCAAAAAGCATTAGGGAGAGGATGTTTATTTGTGTCTAACGTACCAGATGATAACACTGACCTATATTGCTAATATTCTCCCTCCTTACCTTGCAGTAATCCCAAGGCAGCATATACTCCAATTCGCCATTGTGTGTTTTGTTGCGTTCCATTGATAACTGGTTCGTTGGTCCAGTCGCTGAGCCACACGTTGGCACCAATAGCAGATGCATTTTGGCAACAGTATAAGAAACATATGAAAAATGAAACCGCTAGACCAACTGCCTTAATATATTGCCAAAACACGGTCATTTTTACCTAAAAAGGCAAAGAAATGTATTGGTTCTTTTTTAATTGAAATATACAAACACATTATAAAACGTTGCTGTTCTCAAATGAGGCGGACAAAAATAATATGACACATTTGTTCTACATTTCCTCTTAGCACATGAATGTCGCTTTTTGTGGGTTTTACTCATTAAATACCAAACTTTTTTGAACTGAAAAACAAATAGCAAAACTTAAAAATTATATTTTTACCTACATTTCGAAAAAATATTTCTTCTTTTTCAATGTACTACATTTTAGTTTTAGTAAATAAACCCAGCTGACTCCAATTTAGCTTTGAAAATGAACTTTCCCCTGGGAATGAAGAAATCCTAAAAGCTACCTATGAGTAAGCGCTCAGCTATACTTTAAAAAGAAAAATAATTGCACTTGTATTCAAAGCAAGGCTGTTTTATCTCATCCTGGCATGCACCCTGGCATGCAATGCAAATTAGAACTGTCCCATGAGCCCCTGTGTTCCAATAGGCATAGTGGGAAGAAGATGGCTTATGCACCTGCTTACTCAATGCATTATGGGAAAATTGCTGAACCATACACGGTATAGGGAACGTCTGTGTTACTACCTCCAATGAACACCTTCTAACCCTCTTCAATGGGATTTTTTGGACTGTGGTAAAATAGAAACAGTTAATTTTTCATCAGCTTGCTTTACTTATTCACAATTTCATTTTCTCATCCATCTTTACTAATGGTATCATCATCAGGATACTCTCAATTTTGAGTGGTTTTGACTGTGGGAGAGACTGTTTATTCTCCCTTATATAAAAAAAAAAATATTGTTCCTATTAAAAGATATAGACTGGAGAAGGAATGCGTATTAAGTAAATATACTTTAGAATTACAGAAACCAGAGTACTGGAGGGGGAGGGAATTAAAAATTAAATAAACTATACACAGGCATTACATAATAACTAATTTAATAAAAAAAACATATTGCCAGATCTTTCTCCAGGGCAACCAGCTGGCCACACTGGGAAGATTTAAAGAAGGCACAAAATACAGATTGGAAAGTACATAACAAATCACACTTAAAGGAATGTCAACAATGAGTCAAACACTGAGGCAACAGAGTAACAGGAAAATAAACGAGCTGCAAGCATAGCAGAAGTTTTACAGTTTGGCTATTTTGTTCTTAAAGGGACTCTATAGTCACCGGAACAACTACAGATTATTGTATCTGTTTTGGTGAGTAGAATCATTACCTTCAGGCTTTATGCTGTAAACACTGTTTTTTCAGAGAAATAGCAGTGTTTACATTACAGCCTAGGGAAACCTCGACTGGTCACTCCTCAGATGGCTGCTAGAGGTGCTTCCTGGGGCAGTGCTGCACAGTGTGACTGCCATTCAGTGTCTCCACCCTCTGCATGCAGACACTGAACTTTCCTCATAGAGATGTATTGATTCAATGCATTTATATTAGGAGATGCTGATTGCCCAGGGCTGTGTTCGGCTCGTGCTGTCTCTGTCCCTGATCTGCCTTCTTGACAAGCACAGCCAATCAAATGCTTTCCTACGTGAAAGCATTGTAATTGGCTGAGTTCACCACTTCTGATGATGTCAGCCAAAGAGGCAGCTCAGGGGCAGAGCCAGCAGCAGACTGGAACAAAAGTAAGATTTTACTATATTTTGAGGGGATCAGGGGGGCTAGATAGGGGTTTTAACACTATTTGGTCTGGGAATGCATGTTTGTGTTCCTGAGCCTATAGTGTTCCTTTAAATTTGAAACTCACTTTGATTTCTCACTTTAGTGAACAATCCTGTTTTGATTCATTTTTTTTAATCAAGATGATCTTAGATCTATAATAAACCATTCAGAAATGCATCTTACCCTTCCGGTCTCCGCTGTCTCTGTCTGGATTAGCTTGTCTACTGGAGGTTTTATGACGGAAACCGAGTCTGAAATTTTTCTTTCACAGATTTTCCTCCTTGTTGATGCCTTGTGACCAGATTCCCCATCTGAGGATAGGACACTAATTTGCCTGGGAATAAAATTAGATTTATTCTAAAACAGTTCACATTCAGAGTGGTCTCATTGTACTTTGTATAATAATGAAAGAAAGTGTTTTTCCCCAGTTTAGGATCAGTAGTTTTCTCCATGTTTAGCAAGGCATATTGGTATGAAATATAACGTTACACTATTCTCTTTTGGCTTTAGAGTTTACTATGAAAAATCCTTCTATCCTGTATTCTACTTTAAAAATTACATTGTTCCATTTATATTTATTTATATGTCGATCAATTATTTAGTCATTCATGCACAAGGTTAAGAGATTTTCCATCCTCACATGTGTAAATATGTCAGGCATGTTCACTGCACTTTTCCTGCATTCCTAGGGATAGGACACTGATTGGTTAGATCAGGGTTCCCCTGAAGTAGGTGTGGAAAGAAAAAAGAAGCAGGTAAACATGAAAAAAACAAAATCTTATTTACCTGCTTTTTCAGCCTGCAGAGTGATACATGTCCCTTTAATATTCAAAATGCTGATTAGTGATGTCCCGAACGGTTTGCCGAACGGTTCGCCGCGGACGGTGAACATATGCGCTGTTCGGTCCACCCCCTATTCGTCATCATTGAGTAAACTTTGACCCTGTACCTCACAGTCAGCAGACACATTCCAGCCAATCAGCAGCAGACCCTCCCTCCCAGACCCTCCCAACTCCTGGACAGCATCCATTTTGAAGCTGCATTCTTAGTGAGCTGTCCAGGAGGTGGGAGGGTCTGGGAGGGAGGGTCTGCTGCTGATTGGCTGGAATGTGTCTGCTGACTGTGAGGTACAGGGTCAAAGTTTACTCAATGATGACATAGGCGGCGGACCGAACAGCGCATATGTTCGCCGTCCTCGGCGAACCGTTCGGCGAACCGTTCGGGACATCACTAATGCTGATGCCTAGTATGCAGGTAAGATGGCTGAGAGTAGATTTTAAATACATTTCTGCTTGCTGTTTAATAAAACCATATACGTCATTAACATTAACTGTTAATAAAGAATACCGAAAGCTCTAACGAGGCAGGGAACAGTTAGCAGTCAATGCTCACCTAATGAATTTCTTGCGTGCTTCGTTAGCGACAGGCTCGTTATCTGGTAAATCAGTGTGGTTACTGAGTGACTCCTCTGCCAGCAAGACTTGTTCTTCATCTACTACAGGAAGACAAGAAATATATATAATTATATCTATACATCTCTTATTAAATATGAATAAATCTTTTAACTAAATATTATGGTATTAGACGTTTGCAATTTACATTAGTTTTATTCGGTCATATCATCGAAAATGTTATCTTTTTTTATATTCTTTATTTAAAAGACTTTTTGCACAAGCAAGTATATAATATAATATAACACGTCTCAAGGTGATAAGGTGTATGAAGAACATACAAAGAACATAATATACATTAAAGGAAAAGAACAGACAATATCAGGAAGTATTACTTTACTGAGAGGGTAGTGGATGCATGGAATAGCCTTCCAGCTGAAGTGGTAGAGGTGAACACAGTAAAGGAGTTTAAGCATGCGTGGGATAGGCATAAGGCTATCCTAACTATAAGATAAGACCAGGGACTAATGAAAGTATTTAGAAAATATGCAGACTAGATGGGCCGAATGGTTCTTATCTGCCGTCACATTCTATGTTTCTAATTAAAAAAAATTTAATGTAAAAAGAAAAAATGCACTTTAGTATTGTAATGGCTAAATACGAAAGAAAATCTTTAATAAGGGACCAGATTTTAATGATGGTAACATTTAATATTTGGTACACACGAGGATAAATTTTTTTATATCACGATGAAATTCATTCAATCAGGAATCACTATATATTACCGAGGTGTCTACATTTCTAATAAGGGAAAATTATTTACTTGTTATGTCGTCTTCTTCCACAGAATCTTCAAAAGCGTAATTTCGTAAGAATTCTGCGAATGCTCCGTTTTGCTTCAAAAGGTCTTGGTAAGATCCGGTTTCTGAGACTTTGCCGTCCACTATAACAACAATATGATCAACTTGGGGGAGGAAGCTCACTCCATGAGTAACAAGCAGTCTCGTCTAAAAAAAGAGAGATAAGTTAGTAATAACTAATATAATGTATTGGGTATATAGGAAATTCACACCTCTGGTACTTGGACAACGTAGAAGTATAGTCAAACCCTAAGTGGAATATCTTACCTGGTTTAATTTGTGGATTCTAGCACAGAATTAGAATAATGGAAACATCTGCAAAAGGGACATTCGGGGCGAATTATCTCCCTACCCCCACCCCCGACATGCAGCCCTTGTTGAGTCTCTTAAATTCTTCCTAGTGGGATAGTTTAGGAGACTTTTCTGAATAGCAACGGCTGGCTCTATGTGAACAAAATATGGAACACCCGTGGAAGTGTTTTTATTATTATGTAATATGATTTTTGATTTTCATTAATGATTTGCACACACATTTTGTAATCTAAATTTTACATCTATTAAACACCAACCATATTCATGTTCTATTCTTTTTAGAACCCCGTAATAGTGGGTTCTATGCTGAATACCGGCAGAATTATTCAGTGAATTGTGGTTTATTGCAAATATAAATCTATACATATTTGAGATGTAATGCAATTTGCACGTAACATTTTCTTGCATTAATTTGAGCATCTGTTTTTCTTCTCTGGGGAACTGGCTTGCAATTTTATAGGTCAACTTCAGGTTTATGTCCTTGAAAGCAGAATCATGGATATTGCCAATTAACCACGCTAAAATCAGCCCCGATTTAACATTTCTCGATAAGCGTTTCAAATGATTTCTCTATTTTTGGATAAACGTTTAAAATGATGTTATATTTTGAAAAGTATTTTAATATTTTTATATATTTCTTTGTATATGATATAGTTTTTGATATTTTGAAAAATATAAATAAATAAATGTTTATCCAACAATATTAAATCGAGGCTATAATCAGTAGATGCGTACCTTAGAATTGCAAAAGTGACTGGTTTTATTATAGGTCCTGACCTTACAATATTGTTTGTTTTTTTATCCACAAACTGCAGACCAAACCAAACCAAACTGAGGACCAAACCAAAACGTAGGTATTCAAAAAAGTAGCAAAATGTAGGCTTGATCTTAATTCTGGAACTTGATTGTAAACCCATCATTGAGTGAATCAGACCAAAAGATAAGCTACAAGCTTCCAGGAGAGAAGGCGTTTGGTAATGGTGGGAATATGGAAAGAGCTCTATAATAAAAATGTGTGTGACATTTCAGCTTGCAGTATCAAATTTGTCTTAAAACATGTCAATTATACTATCACACATATCAAAGAAAGAATGTTTTAACTGAGGGATCTGGGCCTGACTGTCGACCCATGCATATGCATGTAGCTGGTGGTCCTCATGGAAAGCTTGAACTTGAACATTTTAAACCAGTAAAATTATTTATTTTCCACTGGAATCCTGCTATACATATCGGGGAATAACAAGCCTGAAGTTTGATACACTTTGATTAGCCATGCTAAACGTTGCCAGGGTCGATTGTCTCAGCGGTGAAGTGGCCAATCCTCTGCCCCAAGTTGTTTTTGCCTGCCTTTGGGCCCTGTTCCACCGCCATTTGGACTGGTAGGGATATCCCGGTCCCTGCTGACCTAATCTCTGCTGAGAGACGTTTCTGATCTTGTGGGGCCGAGTGTCTGAGGTCTACTCATTAATATTGCCGCCGCTCATAGGCCTACATCACTATGTGCCCCAACGTCACTGATCTCCCACGAGGAGTGGCTCACACAGTCCTTTGATCGACTGTGGTCGCAATTTTGTGACACACTAATCCAACCAGTGGCTTATACTAACCCAGCCTTCACCTCCTCTGCGACGCTACAGCCTGTGCTGAATGAGCCTAACACGACATCGTTAGGACAGAAGCAGAAGAAGACACCATGCAGCTGGAACTATGAGAATAGTGTGGTGGATCGTAATAGAGGGTGGGGTCGGTGATGTGACCTTTTGGGGACTATGGGACTCATACCTCCCCTAGTAAATTCTGAATGTTTTTAGTTAGATAATAGAAAATTGAATTCAACCTAACAGCAACATGCTTTATCCCAGCAAAGTTTTAGTTACTTTAAGTTCAGCTGTTAATTAGTCATAGTTAAGTATAAATATTTTCTACATACCAATGCTATTGTCAATTTGTTTAATGTATAAAATGAGAGAACGCTATAGATGCTAGGATTGCTTTCCCTATGTATGATCCTAACTCTGTTGAAATTGCATTCTGGTACTTTCTTGCTGTTTGTACTAAGTTATCATCTTAACAAAAACTATAATTAGAAAAAAAACTAAACTATAAGAATGTTTTAATCAATGTAGTCTCATTACTAAGTACATGTTGTAATAAAATGTATTAATGACTCACTTTTCCTCTAAGTAAACCATCAGGTCCAATCACGTTGTCAAATATGTGTTTCGCCACATGTGCGTCCACCGCAGAAAGAGGATCGTCCAGAAGGTAAACATCTGAATTACTAAAGACAGCTCGGGCAAGACTCACTCTCTGCTTCTGACCTCCGGACAGATTGATACCCTGTAAGCAAAACAGAAGATAAAACAACGTGAAGTGCGTTTAATACCAGATAGATAAAGGTACAGGCTGTTTGATGTCTTAAAGGTACACTCCAGCTTCCATAAGCACAATAGCCTTGGAGAGGTTATGGTACAAGGAGGTCCCCTGACCCTGTCTTAAGGCCTCTTAATATTATTTGCACATACTGACACACTGTGACACCACATGTACAGGCTGTCTCATATGTTATGAGAGAGCCTTGGAACAGAGCATATGATATGAGTGTCTGTATGGTTAACAGTCGTAAAAACTGCAAGGGATTTTGACATTCCCTTCTATGTCTACAGCAAGACATGATAAAGAAGAGACAGAATAATATTGGTTTATCAGTATTATGCCTCTAGTGTCTCGAACTACGGAACTACTTTAGAATGTGTCCAAGCTCATCAGTGTCCAGTCTTCGACCCCCGAACACTGTGTTCTAATTAAGCGGTTTTGGTTTTCAGACGATCAAAATCCAGCTGAAATTCACATGCAAGCCACTGACTCTAAAATGCACAGTTGAGAATCAAATGAAAACAACAAAAAACAGAAGAACTCAACATTTTGCTCTCCCATTTGATCATTCTCAAAACACATAATTTCCCTCTGACGTCACAATTTTCCATCTCAAGATATATACATATAAAGTTATTCCTTGGACAACCCATGCAAATTTCCTGAACAAATCCCTCATCGGTCTCTGTCAATCTATACGAATTTAAAGTATGAGGTTAACGTAGGTTTCACGAACAGCATGGACCGTAAGAACATAAGCAGCTAGGTAAAGAGTGGAAGCCTCTTCATATTAATTATTACCCCAAATCAGTCCCAATCAGGCAACATTAGCCAAAATTCTATTTCTAGAACAGGAAGGATCATGGGAAGTCAAGCAGATTTATAAAAATAAAGGGAGGGGAAATTGAAATATTGACTATTCAATATGTTGATGCCTACGAGGCAGTTAAGTTGGCTGAGAGTAAAATTTAAATATATATTTGTGCTTGCATTCTGACAAAACCATGTGGAAAAAATATAAATTACCTTTTCGCCAATTTCGGTTTGATCGCCACCAGGAAGGACTTCAAGGTCGGTCAACAAAGCACATGCTTCCAATACTTTTTTATAGTTCTTCTCGTTATTGGTTCGCCCAAATAATATATTTTCCTTTAATGTTGAATTCTGTATCCATGCTTGTTGAGACACATATCCAACGGAGCCCTTAGATGTAGGAGAACATTTGCAAGTTAAACACACGAGAATACAGGAAAAGTACACTTTTAGTCGAATTAACATAATTATTTAATGGGGTTAACTATGTGAATGGTAAGCGATGAGATTGCCCTCCCTGGAATAAAATTGTAAAAAAATAATTTAAAGGCAGATTCAAATATCGTATTCATTTTGAATTGTCTCATGGTGACATGTCTCAACCTCAATGTTCTTCAATCATTGCACTTCCAAAATAAAAATTTTTACAAATGGAAAAAAATTAGAAAATAAAGATTTGCTGCGAGTCTGAGAAGGTTCCTCTTTGGACATTTATTTTGACAACCTTAAGGCAACTTTTAACAACCGTGAACAATACCCTGATACTAAAATGGCAAAGTCTATGCTTCATCTTAAAACACTGTAAAAACTGCCTATACTTTATGTTTTTAATCTGGTATTTATTTATTTTTTATAAACACAATAAAAGATTTTTATTTAGCTTTTTATTTTTCTTTGGCAAGTTTGGCACACAGATTCCTGTTTCCTACACAGTGGAGATCTGTGAGTTACTCTGCAATCAGAATCAGATTGTCTATTGGCATCATATGTTCTCCGAAGCCTTGTATTTTTTGATCAGTTAATGTTACTAAGGGTTTGAAATTATTACAATTCCAAGACGGCTGCCTCCACATAGAAAAACTGTTAGATGTTCCCTGATATTTACTGCTAATTTTAATACTTGGTTCAAGGAATTTGAATACTTGGTTCAAAGAAAAATAAAAAATACAAATCAGTTTTTTTATTATAATTTTTTTTTTTTCCAATAACTGTGCCACATTAAATAAGACCGAGTTATTGTAAGTAGCCCCAAATGTATATTCACAATTATCTGTATTTGTATATAGTGTATTATGGCATCATACCAACCCTCACGGAGACGTCCCCGTCTATTTTTTCCATTTCACCCAGAAGTGCTGACACAAGAGAAGATTTTCCACATCCTACATGGCCAACGATGGCAACCAGAGAGCCGGATGGGACTAATAAATTAATACTAAAGTGAAAAAAAAACAGACTCATTAAAAACAGGCTCTCAGTCTAAATTTATACACATTACACACTGTATATTTCTCTCTCAGTGTAACAACGTATAAACAATCTATGGGATAACACAGGATTTTCAGATACAATGGCTAGAAAATTGAAGCAATACGACCTATTCAGGGGCTAGAGGGATAGCAAAAGCCATTACAGCATTGGTTCAAGTCAAGGGCCTAAACCCATTGTTTTGCAATTACGTTTGTTGTCGTGGTTCTTTTTTTTTGTCAATCTTTATTTTTGCAGTGCAGTGTCGAATACACAAGTCAGTAATGACATATGACATGACAGATAACGTATATGATAAAATCTGAAATCAAGAGAAGCTGCACTTTTGTTGTTATGTTAGAAACACATGAATAAGTAGTAATACCGTCTGAGAATAGACTAAAAACAGAAGTGTCTCACTCATGGGAAAGACTACATCGGTAAACCTTTTTGCAGCTCGGTGCCGAAATAGAATTGTGATGTCCTATTTTTTTAAATTGCGGTGTGTATGTTGCTGTTTTCTGCTTGTTATTTATACTGCAGTTGTAGCGTTGTATTTGTGCGGATATGAGCTATTATATTGTATATGTTCATGAGTAGTTTGTGGTATTGTGTATGATACATATGAATGGGGGCTGCTTGTGAAATTGTGTGTGTGGATGGAAATGTCACATTGTGTATTTGGTGCTGTGTGTATGGGGCTGTTTGGGGTATTGCATGTGAGATGCTGCATGTGGGATTGTGTGCATGTATGTGGCTTGTTAGTGGTGTTACGTTTGTTCGGATTGTGTGTATGTTTGTGTGTAGTCTGTTCATATTATTTGTATAAGGGGAGGGTTATTCTGCATTTCTGTGTATATCTAGCAATGTGGGTGGCTTCCCTGGGTTCCAGTGGGGACCAGGCCGGCCAGATTCCCATTCACAAGTGCTGGGAGGAAGTGACCTGAGATCACTTCCTCTACGTGCTGCAATACATGAATTTAGGATTGTCCTTTACCACCTTTTCGTATTAGCAGATATCTGAAGTTTCACTGGGGCTCCTGATAGCCAGAGCCTGTTTGGCTCTAGCAGCCTTGAGTGCCGTGCAAAGACACCTCGAGTGCCGTGCACGGCACACGTGCCATAGGTTGCATACCCCTGTACTACAGTATTATATGCATTGCAAAAAGCATGGTATATTTAAGTTATAGGGTAGAACAGGAATAGGGATCTAACACATTCTAACATGCTAGTTATAACAGTGGTTGCGGTTATTTTTTAAGCTCATGTAAAGGCAATATTCAACTCATATCAAGTTCTGCCTCCATGATTGGAGTTTCATGGGTGTTACACCAATATAAAACCAATTCCATGTTTCTCCTTTCTCTGCTCCCCACTAGGCTCTCGACCCACTTCCCCGATTAGGGCAACCTTTCTCTAAGATGCTTTTCGATGGATTCATAGTGTCCTAAACATCCCATAATAAAATACTTAATTAATACGAAAGTCAAATCGGCCAACCGGTTATAAAAGCAAATGCAGTGCCAACTTAAATAACCTATATGTCAGTGAATGTATTGACAGTGCCATGTGTTGTTTCAGAATCCAACTTAAAATGTATCCTTACTCTTGTAGAACTGGTTCGCTGTCCTTGGCCCAGCTGAATGTTCCGTCCCGTATGGTTATAGAGATACCTGTCAATGATAAGTTGCTTAAAATACTGACATACGTATGAGTAGAGTTAGGCCAGTCTATACCTCACAGTCTTTTTTTTAAAAACCATCAACAACTATTATGAGGTAGTTAAAATAAGATAATGTTTTGTTTTTGGAAAATCAGGCATTGTTATTCTCCAACCAACAGAAAATTAAATGGAACCTTTTGTTACAAAATGGAAGCTTCCTGTTAATTATGTTCAAAACAAATATGGAATCTTTATAGTAGTGTGACACACACGGTCTGTGAAATTCCCCATAAAAATGAAATATACGTGTGAAAAATGCAAAAAAGGAAATATAACCAGCACATTTAGCAAAGGTTAGTCATAAAAAGAGCAGCAATGGAATGTACAGTGAAACAAAAATATAGCAAAGGTGCAGGGAAGGCCTCAGAATTTCGGAAAAACACGCATTCAATAAGGAGTTAATTCCTAATTTAAATTAATAGTTCTGTTATTTCATACCAGGTACAGTTTTCTCTCTATTCACCGCATTTTCGTCCAGTTCATCACTGGCCAAGAAATTCTGGATTCTTTTAACTGACACACTTGCCTAAAGAAAAAAAAAGAAAAAAAAAGAATTATGGAAGTAGCAAAATGTCAGTCGAGATTAACTTTTCTAAATATACACTGTATACCTAGTGGATATACTTTTACCTCCCTCTACTGTAATCTAACCTGTAAAGTGCTGAGTACACCTGTTAGTGCTATATAAATAAAATATTCATACACTGTATACCTACTGCACTTACTGTACCTTCCTCTACTGTAATGTAACCTGTAAAGTGCTGAGTACACCTGTCAGTGCTATATAAATAAAATATTCATACACTGTATACCTACTGCACTTACTGTACCTCCCTCTACTGTAATGTAACCTGTAAAGGGCTGAGTACACCTGTTAGCGCTATATAAATAAACTATACATACACTGTATACCTACTGCACTTTCTGTACCTTCCTCTACTGTAATGTAACCTGTAAAGTGCTGAGTACACCTGTTGCCGCTATATAAATATAATATACATACACTGTGTGTGTGTCTGTCTGTCCGTCATGGGGTGTGTGTGTGTGTGTCTGTCCGTCATGGGGTGTGTGTGTCTGTCTGTCCATCATGGGGTGTGTGTGTCTGTCTGTTCGTCATGGTGTGTGTGTCTGTCTGTGTCATGGTCAGTCATGGTGTGTGTGTGTGTCTGTCATGGGGTGTGTATCTGTCATGGTATATGTGTATTTCTGTGTCTGTCATGGTGTAAATGTGTGTTTAAAAATAGTGTTTTTGCTCACCTTTTTTTTTTCCCCATGCAGCGTGCTGGTCTCCCCTCGACTGGCCCTGCCTCTATAGCTGAGATCATCAAGCTTGATGATCTCAGCCAATCCAATGCTTTGCCATAGGATTGGCTGCAAAACGCCACTCCAATCAGCATCTCCTCATAGAGATGCATTGAATCAATGTATCTCTATGGGGAACGTTCAGCACCTACAGAGTGTGGAGGCCCTGAATGTAGGTGCACTAACACAGGAAGCACCTCTAGTGACCGTCTGAGTGACTGTCACTAGCAGTGTCACTTTGAAGCAATGTAAACACTGCCTTTTCTCTGAAAAGTCAGTGTTTACGTTGAAAAGCCTGTAGGGACATGCTATAGACACCAGTACCACCACATTAAGCTGTGTGTGTGCATCTGCTAGTGAGTGAGCTTGCTTGCATGCGTGTGCCTGCTAGTGAGTGAGCTTGTGTTTTTATGTCAATGAGCTGATGTATATCAGTAAGATTGTTTGTCTATGAGGCTGTGTATCAATGAGCTTGTGTGTGTCATTGAGATGTCAGTGAAATTGCCTGTGTCTGCATGTGAGTATGCTTACTGTATAATTAAACGTTTTACCCTGAAAGGACCAATATTTTATATTAGAAAAAGCAATATATATATATATATATATATATATATATTACTCAATCATCTGTCCTGGCAAGACATAGCCTTACATATTACACGCGACAATATATGGCGCAGTGACTTATGGGGCTGGCACAATTTTTTTTTCCAGGGCTGCTTTGTATCCCCAGTCTGGCCCTGACTGTACCTCCCTCTACTGTTATGTAACCTGTAAAGTGCCGAGTACACCTGTTAGCGCTATATAAATAAAATATGCATACACTGTATACCTACTGCACCTACTGTACCTCTCTATACTGTAATGTAACCTGTAAAGTGCTAAGTACACCTGTTAGCGCTATATAAATAAAATATGCATACACTGTATACCTACTGCACTTACTGTACCTCCCTCTACTGTAATGTAACCTGTAAAGTGCCGAGTACACCTGTTAGCGCTATATAAATAAAATATGCATACACTGTATACCTACTGCACTTACTGTACCTCCCTCTACTGTAATGTAACCTGTAAAGTGCCGAGTACACCTGTTAGCGCTATATAAATAAAATATGCATACAATGTATACGTACTGTACTTATTGTACCTCCCCCTACTGTAATGTAACCTGTAAAGTGCTGAGTACACCTGTTACACCTAAGTACACCTGTATAGATAAAATATACATACACTGTATACTAGTAATGTGAGACCTCTACTCTATTGTAATGTAACACCTGCACTATTATATAAATGCAAAATTTACAAAACCAAGTATGTAAAATTCTGTATCTATGATCACACCGTGTCACGTCAATACGAAACGGAAGAATGGTTCTTTCCTCTTACCTGTGCAAGGTTACTGATAACTTGCGGCAGCATGTTCAGAGGAAATCGTAAAATATTAAATAGAGAGAGAGACACGAACGCTTTCTCTGCGTCGAGGATATTCTTGTCATCAGAAGTCACAAACACAGCAAACGTGGTCAGAGCGACCTAAAATGGTTTGAGACAGGAGAAATGAATCACAAGGTACTTTAAATACAGAAATGTTAGAGAATATGGTTTATTTACAAAGATGTTGTGCTTTATTACAAAATATCCGATATTTCGTACAATAGAGTCTTTACTTTATGGTTTTTAATTAAAGGTTAAACAGGTACATAATGTGTTTTTTTATTTTTTTTTTAATCTCTTTATCAAATGTTAGTCCTTATTTTATTTCTTCTATTTTTCAAAATGTGTCCCGTTTTCAGTTGGTTATTATTAAGCAACTGTGGGGACTATTTAACATCATGAACTTTACTTCCTGTTTGGAACATCAGAACGTTCGTATTGTGCAGTTCTAAAATGAAGGTGTATAACTGAGACTCTCGAAATTAGTTGATATTCTGAAAGAGCGTTAATGGGCCTTCAGAAAGAACACCATAAGGTTAACTCTTCCAGAAATAAACAAAAATTTATAAAAAATAACATGTAGGTAGCATGGATTTTACAAAGATGTTTATTGTGGCAATCATCCAGTGTTAGGAGATTCAATGAAAGATAATTAAACATTGGTATCACTAAATATTTTCTTTTGCTATTTACTAACAAACTGTATTGTGAGCTATAGCTTTAACTTAGTCATGTTTAGAATTGCCCTTAAAGGACCAGTATAGGCACCCAGACCACTACAGCTCAATGAAGTGGTATGGGTGCCAGGTCCCTCTAGTGTTAACCCTGCAGCTGTAAACATAGCAGTTTCAGAGAAACTGCTATGTTTACATTAGGGTTAATTGATCCTCTAGTGGCTCTCTCACTGACAGCAGCTAGAGGAGCTTCCGCGAAGATGCTGACGTCCATAGGAAAGCATTAAGTAATGCTTTCCTATGGGCGATTTGAATGCGCATTTGGCGCTGACGTCGGCAGGAGGAGGAGAGTTCCCCAGCGCTGAGGGAGCCCGGTGCTGGAGAAAGGTAAGTGGCTGAAGGGGTTTTAACCTCTGCAGCCCAGCGGGAGGGGGACCATGAGGGTGGGGGGGACCTAATGACCCTATAGTGCCAGGAAAACAAGATTGTTTTCCTGGCACTATAGTGCTTCTTTAAGACTGTTCTCCTAGGATTAATATAAATGCAGAGCATGCTATAACACAAACAAATTCAGACTTCCTAGAAAAGGTGGCGGCCATATAAATTATAGGTTCATAGGTTGTTTTTTTATTTATTCTTTGTAGGTAACTGTCAGGATCGTATCCTGACAACTATGTTTATCTTCATTTATTTATGTTCCTTTAAAAGAAGTTACAGCTCTCCACCACTAGTGGCCTCCCTAGTCACCTCAGTCCTTACCTGCCTAGGACAAATTACTTCAGCTACAAAAGGCTACACCCAACTAATCTCATGGCCTTTACATTAAAGGACCACTATTGTGCCAGGAAAACATACTCGTTTTCCTGGCACTATAGTGCCCTGAGGGTGCCCCCACCCTCAGGGTCCCACTCCCGCCGGGCTCTGGGGAGAGGAAGGGGTTAAACTTACCTCTTTCTCCAGCGCCGGGCGGGGAGCTCTCCTCCTCTCCTCCCTCTTCTCCTCCTCTTTGGCTGAATGCGCATGCGCGGCAGGAGCCGGGCGCGCATTCAGCCAGTCCATAGGAAAGCATTCTCAATGCTTTCCTATGGACACCGGGGTCTTCTCACTGTGATTTTCACAGTGAGAAACGCGGAAGCCCTCTAGCGGCTGTCAATGAGACAGCCACTAGAGGCTGGATTAACCCTAACATAAACATAGCAGTTTTTATGAAACTGCTATGTTTATAGAAAAAAGGGTTTACCCTAGCTGGACCTGGCACCCAGACCACTTCATTAAGCTGAAGTGGTCTGGGTGCCTATAGTGGTCCTTTAAAGTTGGTGATTTACCTGGAATCACTTCATATCCTGGCTCCTGTGAACCTGCTTTAGACTTACCTTCAAATCTTCTCCTAACAATAACCTTCCCCACCCTTACCTATACTTCAAACCAGCCTTCCACTGTTACCAGCCTGCCACTGTTACCAGCCTGCCACTGTTACCAGCCTGCCTCTGTTATCAGCCTGCCACTGTTACCAGCCTGCCTTTATTACAACCCTACCTGGAAATTACAGACTAAGTAACCTGTTCTGTGGCATATTGCCTAAATTCTGTTTACCCTTTAGTTTCATAATATGTCTAAAATCACTAATAAAGTACCTGAAGTCAACCCTGGCATAAGTCTCCTATCTGACCTGCACAAGATCATGACAGTAACGTTCCGTCTTATATTTCAATATTTCCTGCGTGTAAGAAGCATACATTACCAAAAAGGGTGCGCTGGTCCAGGCAAAGGTGGATAAGGCGTTAAGGTAGGCAGACTTTTTTAGTACGCTGAGTTCTTTACTTCGGATATCCAGAACTTTTTGTGCAAAAGACGGCTCCCAGGCGTACAGTTTTAGGACTTTAATTCCATTTAAGATTTCATTCATCAGTTTAATTCTGGAATCCTTGTATTGCATTTGCTCTACCTACAATAATCATAAAAACAAACAACCCAAGAAATAGTAATCACTTGTAAATTTTTAAACTTACATATTTTTACCGCCGATCACACAGCAAAGTGATCACGGAAAATCTACGTAAATTATGTTTTACCCCACTGCAACATGGATATAAACTTTAGTGATGGCTGGAAAGAGACTGGTTGAGTTACTGTTTAACGTTTCCTGTCTGCCAGCCTAGTATCTTCTACACAACAAGTAATTATTCCATAATCAGCCAATTAGCTAATGGCTGCAATCATCTCACAACTACAACCCTCTGTTTGAGTCTTATGAGTCTCAAAAGTATTTAGAAAATTGGGCAGACTAGATGGGCCGAATGGTTCTTATCTGCCGTCACATTCTATGTTTCTTTGTTTCTATGTTTCTATGAAATAGAGATTATTGCTATATAATTATTTAGCTGCAGTAAGTAACCTTAACTGCAAGGGCAGCAAAGATAAGAATTTCACTGCCTAGAGAACTTGGTTTGCAAATGCAATAGATACATTCTAGGAAGGACCCAATGTCTTTTTGGCAAAGCAGAATACATAGACTTTTAATAATTTACATATGCTACAAACTGTTCATCAGAAGAGAAATTGCAATGTAATTTAAGAATCCATAACGAGTTTTTGCTCCGATGTATGTTTTTCTGGTTTTATATCAAATTGATTGTAAACAATCGATGGGGAAGTGGGTAATATATATTTTATAGAAGTGGTTCTTGATTTCTGTGTCTGGACAAAAAATGTAATCTTCGTGCTATTTTAGTGGACCTCTTTTGGATAGGACCGGCACGTTATACTGATGTGAACCCAGGCGACTAACTACAGTGAGTTATTGGAGCATCAGTTCTTTCCTTAGTGTGAAGAAAACCAATTTAACAATTGGAAGAGTCAAATTCATTTTAGAACGCATCATAATAAAATGGAAGAATAGTTCTCCAAACTAATTTCCCAAACGAAGAATGGGTCACTGACCGAATGGCGTATACATATAATGGGTCCCTACGGAAAAAGGTTAAGAACCACTATTTTATCGTGTTGAAGAGTTGCAAATACTTACTTGAAACGCTCTTGTTTTCATAGCTATGAATGCATTGATCGGGATGAGCAGAACCATTACAGCTACTCCGGCTAATACAGAAGGACCAAGTGCCTGTGTAAAATAAACACAGTGGAATAATGTCATATTAACTAGTCATATTTATTCAATGCCTAAGTCTTAAAGAAATAATACAAAATAATTTATTATATATAGAGCACTCATACATTCTGCAATGGTGAATACTGTGGGTAAAGGAAGCAGTGAACATTAATATATAATATTAGTTGATTTAGGAGACGTTACGGTATTTCTCAATTTCTGTCTTGAGCTGTCTGCCATTTTTCGATCTTCTTTTCAACATTGCAAATGGCCAACGATGAACACTGTAATTTTAGGGGTGTGACCAGGGGCGGTTCTGAGAAATTTTAGGTGACTTACTAATAACAATTTATGGCACTAACATGTAATTAAGAATAAGAACAACGTATCTTGTTTACACAGATTGATTTCTAAATACTTTTATTGGAGTTTATAGACACATACTGGGAGTATTATTGCTGTGGAGTTCTGTGATATACTCTGCACCACCAACAATATGGAACTCCTAGAAAAGAGGGACAGTGGGATCCCAAAATAGGGACACTTTGGTGGAATGCTAACCGGTCTTTCTACTTCCTGCCCCACCTCCGGTACAATTGGCCCTGCTACGGAATAAGTCTCTACAATCCTTCCTCAAGACATCAGCATGCTGGTTTCAATCCCAGCGCATAAAGGAGTGGAAAATGTTACCCAGTTCTTATTCTCTTCTACCAACTATGAAATGTGCTTACTAGAGGAGCAATCACAGCAACAACAGTGCACATGCTGTAGTTGCTGTACGAGAGAGCACCAGAACTGACTGCAGGACTGTTCTGCTTCCCCATGACACTCAATTGTCGGCATAGCTCTTCGCTGACTCTATGTTAAAAGTCAATCGACCATATGACATTTCGATGTTCTCTAACAACTGTGTGTATGGTGGTATAGGGATCTCTTTCCTTTCTATTTAAATAAAAACCCGAGACGGGATAAATGTACTATACGAATCCGTGCTCTACTTCACGATACACGGTCGCTGACGCTTTTCAAGATCTCTATTGTTACAACGTCGCTGGCTGTAATTTTGCTGGAAATATGTAAATGAACATGGAAAGCATGATTGTACAAAGTTTTGATTATATGCAATGTTATCTTGTTTTGTACGCGTTATTTTTGTTACTCTGTCTTGGAATAAAGAATTAAAAAAATAAAAAAAGTCAATTGATACTGCTTTTCCCAGATATCTACAAATACTGCAACCACAATGGGTCTCCGTGGAAAAGGCAGCCGTAAAACCCTACAAGATTGCCCACCTACTGTGGCTACCCAAACAGCACCGCCCCAAACTGCTTTCCCCCTCTCCGCACATAACCCTTCTCATACGGACCTGGGAAAAATATAGACACAAACTTAGCCCCTTGTTAATGGCGACCCCAGTAAGGGCACTTACCTACTGCATTTCCACCTTCCATGCGACACCATGGCATGAATGCGGTACAACCCACTTATGCCATCTATACCAACAGGGCTCCCTTCTCGACCTAGGTGCATTGATGCACAAATATGCACTACCTCCCACCTCAGCGTACTCCTACATGCAACTTAGATCACTCCTTCGAAAGAATCACTTAATAAACTTGCCTGACTCACACAAACACTCAGAAAACACAAAGTGAGAACAAATGTGTATCAAAGGGTAACCACCTAAACATTGTAAACCAATCTCCATGTGTTATAGATTATTATCGGACTATATGTCTTTTTCGGAATATAAACCGGCCAAACACTGGGAGAGCGACCTGGGGTGCCCTATTACTCCCAAACGGTAGGATTCCATAATTATTGCCTCAACTAGATTAATCAAATCCTTCACGCTATTAGAACAGCAAAGAAAGGTGCTGTACAGGTGGTACCTAGAGCCGACCAGGCTACACTCTTCCCAAACACGCCTGCTTCTTTATGGAGATACCAAAATGCAGAAGGAACCATGCTACATATCTGCTGGCTCTGCCCCTCATTAGCACCCTTTTGGGAAGCAGTTCAAATTAATAAAAGATACCACGACGAGCAGGGCCGGACTGGGGATACAAAGCAGCCCTGGAAAAAAAATTTGTGCCAGCCCCATAAGTCACTGCGCCATATATTGTCGCGTGTAATATGTAAGGCTATGTCTTGCCAGGACAGATGATTGAGTAATATATATATATATATTGCTTTTCTAATATAAAATATTGGTCCTTTCAGGGTAAAACGTTTAATTATACAGTAAGCATACGCACATGCAGACACAGGCAATTTCACTGACATTTCAGTGACACACACAAGCTCATTGATACACAGCCTCAAAGACAAACAATCTTACTGATATATATCAGCTCATTGACATAAAAACACAAGCTCACTCACTAGCAGGCACACGCATGCAAGCAAGCTCACTCACTAGCAGACGCACACACACAGCTTAATGTGGTGGTACTGGTGTCTATAGCATGTCCCTACAGGCTTTTCAACGTAAACACTGACTTTTCAGACAAAAGGCAGTGTTTACATTGCTTCAAAGTGACACTGCTAGTGACAGTCACTCAGACGGTCACTAGAGGTGCTTCCTGTGTTAGTGCCCTCCCGCCCTCGCGCGCTGCTGAATGAGACTGGCGCCGGAATATGACGTCATATTCCGGCGCCGGTCTCATTCAGCTGCGTGCTGGGGAGCAGAGCCAGCGCAGCTCGCGCAGCTCCCTCAGCGGCCGCCAGGACAAGTCCGCCAGCGGCCGCCAAAAGACCTCCCCAGCGGCCAGGGGAGGGCTGGCAGCCTTAGGCCTGGGGGGCAAAACCAGTCAAGTAGACTGGTGCACCTGCCCAGGATCAGAGCCGGTGCAAGGATTTTTGCCGCCCTAGACAAAATAAAAATTTGCTGCCCCCACATGTCACATCACAATGCCCCACCCATATGATATGCCATATGAACTAACGCCAGTGCTGCACACAGTGTGTGTTTACATTAAAAAGCCTGCAGGGACCAGCTATAGACACCAGAACCACTTCATTAAGCTATAGTGTCCCTTTAATGTGAGGTAAATTATAGATTAGTGTCACTAATAATATACTAGATTGCCTACTTACAAGCAGATGAGGATGATGATGGGCTGCAGTTTGGCTCCACTGGTCTGGTGTAGAACAGGATCTCTGGAGGCTGTTTGCAACTGTGGTCACAAAATTCAATGTTCTGGGAGAATTGGAAGCAGCTCCATTTTTTGGGGGCCCCTTACACAGCTCAAGGTCTGGGCCCCAGGGCCTGACGGTGAGTATGCCCATAAGGCCCACTCATAAGTTCCACCCACCCATGAGTTCGCTCACAGGGAGTGGAGTGTGTAGGGGATGTGTTATGTGTTATTGTAGAGGATCTAATATGTGTGCTTATGGTATGTAGTGTTTAGGGTTACCAGTTTGTGCAGGTGATGCAGTGTGTTTGTGTGTAGTGGAAGCAGTGTGTATTTGTGTATAAGGGATGTATTATGTGTTTCTGGTTGTGTGTAAGGGATGCATTGTGTGAATCTGTGTTTGTATGCATAAGGGATGCAAGGTGTGTGTCTGTATGTGTGTGCATGATGAGATGCATTGTGTTTCTGTGTGTATGTAAGAAAAGAAGTGTGTGTGTTTGCATGCGTGTGTACGGGTTTGCATTGTCTGTTTCTGTGTATGTGTGCAAAGGATGCATTGTCTTTGTGTGTAAGGGTTGCATTGTGTGTGTGTGTGTAATGGATGCATTGTGTGTTTCTCTGTGTGTAAGGGAAGCATGTTGTGTTTCTGTGTATGTATAGGGATGCATTGTGTGTGTGCGCGCGTAGTGTGAAAGAGCTCCCTGTCTTGGCCCCTGTCCTATAGAGCTGCCCCTTCTTCTTATTCCCCCCCTCCCCCTTCTTCTTATTCCCCTCCCCTCTTCTTATTCCCCTCCCTCCCCTCTTCTTATTCCCTCTTCTTATTCCCTCCTCCTCTTTTCTTATTCCCTCGCCCTCTCATCTTATTCCTCCCTCCACTCTTCTTATTCCCTCATCTTATATTCTCTTTTACACTCCCTCCCTCTTCTTGTATCCCTCCCTCCCTCTTCTTATCCCCCTCTTTCTTATCCCTCTCCCTCCCTCTTCTTATCCCCCCTCTTCTTATTCCCTCCTCCCCTCTTTATTCCCCTCCCTCATCTTTACCCTCCCCCCACCATCTCCCCTCCTCTCCTAACCTCCCTCCTTATTCTCCATGATGAAAGGCCTGCCCCAAAAATGTCGGATTTGATACAGTATGATCAGTACCGTCAAACTGCCAATATGTTTGCAAAACCGGAACAGGAGTTTCTTGTTTTCTGTCACCGCCGACTGATATGAAGGTGTACACTCAGTGTGCACCTTCCTATCACTCCGGCCGGCCACCGCGGACCGGAGTGCAGCTCGGCCACGCTACAGGGGAGGGGAGAAGCTGCAGCCGCCTGACCGCTCTTCGCAGAGCGCTCAGGCGGCTGCAGTATTTAAAGGACCGGCCCCAGGTGCCGACGGCCCACCGGGAAATTTCCCGGTATCCCGGTGGGCCAGTCCGGCCCTGACGACGAGCTGCACCTTAAACCACACAGCCTTAACATATCTCCTACTGGAGCTCTCTAATTCGATCCCCAAGAAAAGGGAAAAGCTGATCACACATATTATTCTCACAGCTCAAAAACATATAGCGAGGAAATGGAAAACTACCTCGATACCATCCATACATCAGCTAAAGGCTGATATCGATGTACAGAAAAATTACGAAACTCGACTTACATCCATATTCCCCCCCAATAAACTATCCAGGGAAACATGGAGTATCTGGGACGCATGGAGATTGGGTAACCCAAACCAACTGTAAATTATTGTGAAATGGCAGGGAATAGTTGTTGCAATGTGACGAGGAACACGGTAGGACGCCAAATAAATTACGGCAATCCTCGAACAATCGAATGGATAGTCTTTACTACTGTCTAGTTAGTATTACGGATGACATGTTGTCGAGGTTACCCCTGTTCCCCCACTTCTCCCTCTTCCTTTCTGTACCATGACCTTCTTTACTTGGAGAAACAATAAAAATCTTCAAATTAAAAAAAAAAAAATAAGTAAATCGAAAGATTTGAGAGGAACCAAAACATTACGAATTTTAAAGAAAATCTATGCGAACCTATTACCACAATGTATAGATTCAATTTTACTGCCTGTCATTTTCACTAGAATTCTGTACCATGACTAAATGCCAAAGAAACTGAATGTGCTGGGACCTTATAAGGGTTAACAAAAAAAGACAATTTATATCAAAGCATTACTAACACCTGAATGTTACCTTCCACAAGAAGAATAACGCCAAGAAGATTTGCAGAGGAGCAGACCACAGCATATTCAAGAAAGTGGTCAAATCTTGGAACCGCTGGGCATCTACAGACATCAAATTGACTACTTCTCCGACAGTAGAAGTTTTTTTCGCTGCATTTGTGATTACCAAAGACTGAAAAAACAATAATTAAAAAGTAATCAAATTAGCTTAGTGTGAAAGGCACTTTTTAGATATTTATCCAGTTGGAGCACTTACAAGGAAATTAAGTTGTTATGGTGCCAGGAAGTCCCTGGCTTTACTTTAGGGGTGAAACCATACATGAACGGTTCAACCCTAAAGTCTCATCTCCAGCCCCGGATCATTCTGTCCCCTCCAACAGCCTAGGACTGCCACGGGCAGGGGCTCTGCTGATGCTCTCAGTCAATCAGTGGAGAGCCTCAACTGACCACTTTAAGCCAATCGGTGGTGCCCTTGCCCGCGGCACTCCTATTTCGCAAACGGATGTTGGATGGGGAAGAGATCTGGCACTGGAGAGGAGATTTTGGGGATAAACTGTTTGTGAATGGTTTAACCCTTAAAAGTAAGCCTGTAAAGCCAGTAAGATAAGCCATTTCCAGAAACTTCCTAGCACCATAACAACTTAATTTTGATTAAAAACTATTTTTTTTTCTGACAATTAAGTATATATTCCTTTAAAACAAAAACATCAAACAGAAATCATTGAGTTTGTTTTGATTACACTCAATAGACATCCTTCGTCCTGACGTTAAAGGGATATTATAGTCACCAAAACAACTTTAGCAAGCTTTGGTTTATAGATCCTGCCCCTGCAGTCTCACTGCTCAATTCTCTGCCATTTAGAAGTTAATTCACTTTGTTTATACATCTCTAGTCACACCTCCCTGCATGTGACTTACACAGCCTTCCTAAACACTTCCTGTAAAGAGAGCTCTAATGTTTACACTTCTGTTATTACAAAGTCTGCTTAATTTAGATTTTTTTTGTCTCCTGCACTGTTAATATCTTGCTAGACCTTGCAGGGGCCTTCTGTAAGTGATTAAAGTTCAATTTATAATGCAGGAGATCAAAACTTCTAAAGTAAGTTACATCTGATTGAAAATGAAACTATTGTGTTTTAATGCAGGCTATGTGAGTCATGGGTGAGGTGAGGTGAGGTGATAGGACTAGGGCTGCATAAACAGAAACAGAAGGACAGTGAATTGAACAGTGACAATTCAGATGCATGATCTATACATCAATACTGCTTCATTAAGCTAAAGTAGTTTTGGTGACTATAGTGCACCTTTAACTTGATTGGAAAGTGAAAGTAGTGGGAGAAGATACCTTTCTGTAGATTATACCAGTGATGGAACTCCTCAGCCTCATGCCAGTTACAAAGCAGTATTGGAAATGTTGATGAAGAATTAAAGTTTGAGACAAAGACGAGAGGAACATCAATACAGCTATACAGAAACCCCACCACGGGGGCGCATTCCTGTCCTTTATAAACGTTATCAGGATGCTGGAAAAAAAAAACAGACGAAGATGTCACAATATACATGAAATAACAAAATTCAAAGTGGTTTATATTGTATGTCAATGGTTAGAACACGCAAGGCACGTGTAAACAGATTTAAAGGGTCACCCAAACAACTACAGCTTATTGTATTTGTTCTGGGAAGCATAATCATTCCCTTCAGGATTTTGGCAGTAAAAACAGTTTTTTTTCAGAGAAAATGCAGTGCTTACATTACATCCTAGGTATACCTCCACTGGTCACTCCTCAGATGGTTACTAGAGGTGCTTCCTGGGGCAGTGCTGCACAGTGTGACTGACATTTAGTGTCTCCACCCTCAGCATGCAGACACTGAACTTTCCTCATAGACATGCATTGATTCAGTGAATCTCTTTGAGGAGACGCCGATTGGCCAGAGCTGTGTTTGGCTTGTGCTGGCTCTGCTCCTGATCTCTCTCCTTGACAGTCAATCTTATGGGAAAGTATTGTGATTGGCTTTGAATTACACTTCTGATGATGTCAGATAAGCAGGCAGATCAGGGCAGAGCCAGAAGTAGCAGACTTGATCAAAAGTAAGATTTTACCATATTTAGTAGGAGCCGGGGGGGCTAGATGGTGTTTTAACACTATATTTAACATGTTTGTATTCCTGACCCTATAGTGTTTCTTTAATTATTTTGTTATATTTCTGGAACTGGTATGCCAGAGAAAGGATACGATTTAAACTTCAACTAAGCAACCGATCGATATATAAACAGCTGACTATTTGCAAGTGTACCCAAGACAGGCTGTAGCAGAAGCAATAAAATAGTAAAATAGTGCGATTTACCTTAGTAACTGGGGGTTAACAAAAGACAGAAGATCCTGGAAAAGCTTAAAAACTGAGCCAATTAAAAAGTAAGGTCCAAATGACTTGAGCAGTACTTTTATAAATGATGGCCCTTTCGACTTCTTGTTGTTGACTATTAAAACTTCAGATTCATGTGCCTTGTCATCTGTGTGATTAAGTTCGGCTTCCTGATTTTTGCTGTACGTCACCGGCATTTCGCTGAAAGTAAAAAAAAAACACAAAAAAAAGCACTATATTACATATCCTACTATGAAAATTGTATAATTCAATATAAAGGTGAGGGAGACCTCCTTGGTCTGGACTGGTAGAGTATTTACTATTTTTACTGCATTTCCAGTTGTGACCACATGGGGATGTAGGATAAAGTGCAGCCTGATGGACTCACGTTTTACTTTCTTGTGTAAATATGTGTTAATACAAAACACATTGTTGATTCCTGTCCTGCAAGAATCCTTCACCAGCACATATCAAACCTGCCCCAAACCTACTCCTCTTATCTCTTTCCTTCCTTGTTGCATTCGGACAGAACACATGGTGGAAATGGCCACCTATTGTCCACTTGAACATCTGTCAACGATGTCCTTCTTGAATCCACCCTCCCCCCCACACCCTTTTTATGCTAGGATTTCATCCCATTAGATGAGCTGCCAAACCTTAAATTGGCCATGGCTAATTTGGAAAATCCTGGTGGGTGTCAGCGCACAGTCATGGTACCCCCTATAAAATATCTTACATTTGTGGGGTATCCACAATGTTATATTATCCCTCCCGCCCCCCACACCTTCATAGCTATTGGGGTAGTGTCCAAAGATAATTTATTTATTTATAAAATATTTTACCAGGAAGGATACATTGAGATTTCTCTCATTTTCAATTATGTCCTGGGTCCACAAAACATTGCAGTGTAACAATAGGATATAATATTACAAAAATACAATATACAAACTATATATATATATATATATATATATATATATACACACATATATAAATGTACTATATAACATGTAATTAATATATTCAACCATGACAGGTGCATTCTGTAATGAGGTATATTGCATAGATCTCTTAAAAGATTTTAGATTGAATGAAGGTTTGATCAGTTTAGACCTCCTTTCATTATTCATTGCTTCCCTTTGTTCTCCATTCTCTCTGACTTATTGATTTACAAAATCATTAAAAAAAAATTAAATAAAAAATACACCTTTGGAAAAATGGAAACTGTAAATTTGGTCTAAAATCACAGGTGTTGATCCTCTGTCAGGAAATGATGGGACTTGCAGTCCCCCAAACTCTGAGAGGGTCAGCGCAGGTGTAACGTGAGCCATAACATACCGTAACTTGGTTTTCTCGATTTCCCATTCTTTAATTAGTTTATTCACAACCACGGCAGATGTGTCTTGTTCATTTAAAGCCCAGAGATCTTTATCTTCAAGAGGTCTTTTGTAGCCTAGAGAAGCCATTCTGAAAGGAAACAAAATTAAAAGTGTTATTTTAAGACCTAAGACAGTAACCATAGAGTTAGGGGTTGCATTGGTAAAGCCATGGAAGTGCATCTGTCAAGGCTGTAATCAATAAGGTGGTTACCCTGCGGTTTTTGTCTTTTTTTCCCCTTTTCCTCACTTGTGACCACAGATGCAATCTATGATAAGGACTGTCCTCAGCTTATATTGCCAGCAGCCAATCTCAACATAATAAAGACTACTTCTTCTCATGTAGGACCTGATTTTGTTAGGTGAACTTCCATGACACATCCTCACATTTACCATCAGCCGGCCTGTGATGGCTACATGTATCTTCATGCACAATGTGCAAGATGCGTATAAAATCTTACAACGCTTGTGCAAGAATAGCTATGGAAGGTCTCGTGCTATTGTTGGAACTTCTGTAGAACCCAGTTTTGTGTTATCCTGAATGAGCAAGTGTGTATGGCTGGCACAGCTCTTGATATGTGTAAAGTCCAGGAGCCAAGAAATACTGTGCTGATAATATGGCAACGTTAAGAAAGGACTCTCCCCCAAGTGTCACCATACAAGTAGACAAAAAACTGGGAATTTGGGGGAAAACACAAAGTGAAAACTGAAGATCTGTGGCCAGTCAACATGTTCAAACTTGCAACCTCATACATCTTGTTGTCCTTCGTATGTATCATTCCCAGTGAAAATTCTATATAAGTAGTGACCATTATTCAGTAGTCCTGGGATAACTAGAACTCTTACTTACTTGGTAAACCACCAGAAAGTTAGTCTTGACAGAAAACTAGCTTCGGATTCCGGACATGGATTCTGGAAGAACCAAATGCACAATATTGGTAAAATATTAAACGTTGCACACTTATACTTATTCTTTTCCTGTGAATACCCTATATCCTTTTGCACCATAGTTTTTAGAAAGTACTAGCTGGCCAACTGTAAATCTGGTTTACCAGACAGAAGGGTAATTTAATGACCTATCAAAGAACCATCACACAATTCGCACCTTTGTTACTGTATGCTTTCAGTATATACAATTCCTTATATATTTATTTTGGAGAAATTGTCAGCTGTACTGTGTGTAAAAATTATCCAATCAATCTGTTGCACAGTTATACTGTATCCATTATTATAACTATCCAATCAATCGACTGCATGGGCCATGAATTGTATGATGTCCACTGTGATAACTGGTCAATCAGCTGTTAGCCATCAATGACCGTCCTCTCATACTAATTAAGAAAAGTGTTGTTGGTATCTTCATTCTTTTTCTCTCCCACAAACCCCCACCAAGCATTTACATGCTGAATGTTGCCCCTCTAGTGATGCGGTGATGCATGCATGTCATAGGTCTAAAGATCACCTTGGGATTCTGGTGATTTACATCATATGCCAGGTTGTGCCTTTACAGCTTTGCAAACAATGTGTAGCTACATAAACCACCCCCTCACAAAAAACAACAACAAACAGTTCAGTTTAAAAACTGAAGTACTTACTGATTCACTGCTAACAGGGGAGAAGAACGGTCGAGCCTCTTTGAAACACGACAGAAAAAATTCCACAACAAGAAGTGAAAAATAAATATAAAACGTAGTAAATCTGAATTTATCACTGATACGTCCCTGGGGAGAAACAGACGTTTTTGGTCATATGGTATATCAATTACTATGATTTATTGGTCTACAAATCTTCATAAACCTGATCAGACTTCTATGGAACATGCCATTCAGTTACATGAGATACGATTATACATCACAGGTAATCTTGCCCTATAATGGATAGATCAGCATTAAAGCTTAGTAAATTGTATACGATTAAATATCTATAATAATAGTAATAGTGATAATAATAATAATGGAACTCAAGTAAATTGAAGTGAAATGATGACCTGTCTGATCATGATTTTTATTTTATTGCTTGTGACCAAATGTAACAGCAATGTAATAAAAAAATACATTATATTTACCTCTTTTACAGTAACTATTATCTTGGAGCGGAAAGGGATTATTGCACATATTATTGATAAAAACCAGAAGATGATCAGAACACCTGAGGATTGAACGCCTCGAAGCCTTTCGTATTGCATAAGAATTGCTGCCATGATCTACAAAGACAATACATTTTAATATGTCATTCTGGAATAGATTTAAAACATGGATACCTATTAGAAGGTAACTTAGTACATGTTATTCACAAACGTGCAACACATTCTAAAAAAAGGAGGTTGTGACAAAACCACAGTCCTGCCACTGTGCAGATAATGCCAGGCAGGACTGTGCAGATGCATTCACACCAATTTCTTAGTTAAGAGCTGAAGTCACACTTCCTGGTTTTCCCGCTGTCCTTCACCTGGCACATCCCCAAAGAGGGCCCTCACTCGAACCCACCCAGTTCCAAGCCTCAAAGGAAAAGCCACAAGTCTCCGATTGGCAAAGACTTTTACCAGGTAGTGGTTCAACATCATGAGTTTGACAATAGCGCTCTTTTGAACGTAGGTGGCAGAGGTTGAGAGCTATCCAGAGATATAAGACATGTGGAGGTTAATTGTGTCATTTAGTCTGTTTTGGGGTATATTGTAATGGTGCCCTGATGACTGGCGATAATGAATTTAGCGGTTACTGATCTAGTTATCGTCAAGACTCAGGCGCTGGGGTAGGATTTACATTGTTCAAGCTATTGACCTACTGTTGGGTTTATGTGTATAAAAGTGTGCCTTATTTTTAATAAACAAGTTCTTATTCACCCTTCACTAAGTCTTGGCTAGTGTTTGGGTGAGACAGATATAACAGCTATAATAACTCCAGGTATCCAGTGCTGAAAAAGAGGGACCCTTGGTGGAGACACTCGAGCTGAGTGCTGAGCTCTGTCAAAAAGCTGAAAAAGGGCACAAAGGTTTGTTTATGTGAGATTTCATATACAGCATGTGGAAGGGGATCTGACACATTGGGATCCATCTTTGGAACCAAAATAGATTTGGGGTTCTGTAAACCTTGGCAAAGTTCCTGAGCTGGAGGAACAAACAACAGTGGGTCATTAGCAGCCTGATACCCTTTCAAACAACTCTCTAGTTGTGATATCACGTCCCTGGAGAAGACGACTCAGGAGAAATAGTCAGCAGCTGTGAATGTAAAAGGTCAATATTTGGCTCTAGTCGGGAAGGGACATGTATGATTTGACCTGTGAGAAGGTCTCAAGTTCTTAAAATATGGACCATTGAGCTAGATAAGTGGGGCTCACTTTTTATTTGTCCTGTAGATCCCTGAGCCAGACTGAAACTGCAGAGGACCATTAGTTACAAACGGACTCTTGTACAGTAAGAACAGAAGATAGACACTCACCATAGTGATACCAACTAAAAGAGGTGTTACAAAGTAGACTGGCGGTGGACTATCATTTTGAACAAGTTCATGAAACGAGTAAAACATGTCCGCCCAACATATTATCCAGAGGAGAAAGCCAATAAACTGGAAGAAAAAATAAAGCCATAAAAATACACTAAACCATAAAGTCTGGTACAAACAAACAGAAGAAAGAAGACAGGTAACCATTGTGTTAGTAAGCAAATTATTAATTATTTTTTAATTACCAACTAGCAATGGAAGAATTATACCATCTGAAAGAAACAAGCTATTAACTAGACTGTGTGTATAAAAACAGTTTTGGACACAACACATTTTGTTAATAAAACACATTTCATATTTCTCACCATGTAGGCTGTAGAATAAAAGTTTGCTTAAATTTGGGAGGTGGATGGACCTGGTGAAATTTCCCCTCCTCAACATTAGAACAGAGAGGCCTGCATGGCCCCTTACTCATTCCTCACCATCTGGCTGTCGGATAAAATTCCCCTTCTCACAACCAGGAGATGGGCAGGAACAAGAGGGCCACAGTGGTAGCCTAATTCACATCCACCTTGTTAAATAAACAAATTTATATGAATGTAGACATTTAGTACACCATCAACGCCTTAAAACTTACCGACTTGAACTTGCTTAACAATGACAGCACAATGTAACCTCTCTTATTATATTTTAAATAAATTAGATAGAATGGCAAAGCAGTCCAGAGGTAGATGCAAGGGATCCAAGCGACTACAGTATTCTGAAAGCATGGTGTCAAATCTGGATTATCCGTATACAGTGAGAGGTTGGCATCCTGAAGAAAGAAATTGAACTATGAGTTATATGTATATATATATATACGCACATACACAGACACACAATAAGGTTAACAATGACAAACAAACTTTACTAGAGTTTATGATAAGAGTTACAGGACAACATGGGTAACCCCTAAATGGAAACTTCAAACAAACAACAAAGATACAAAGACAGTTGTGGAACAGAACTGTTACCCAAATGTAGTTAAAATATAACTCTTACTATTTAAATTAAAAACAAACAAACAATTAAGGTGGACACGTAAAGACACACGTTATGTACGAATCATATTAATAGACTTGACTGAAGGGTGATTGTTACTAAACTAAACTCTAGAAAATTCTAGGAAAAAAATAATTAAATTATAAAAAATAAAAATAAACAAAAAGGAACTCCAATACTAGGGCACCTGGGTTTGGAAACAAAGTAATGCTGAATTACTTGAAGAGTTGCCCGACTTGCGAAACGCGTGTTGGGACTCGGATTCATTTACTATTTTGATGTAAAGATTATGCAGGGATCATGGCTTCTATGATAGTTTAGGATTTGATGTCCAATTTAGTAATGGTAGCACTTTGATATTACCAGGTATCTTTGTTACAGTAAGTTAATCCAGCATTACTTTGCTTCCAAGGTTAGGGGCCCTCGAAAGCAAGGTGTTTGGTGACATACCTTATTGGAGTTCTTCTTTTTTTGAATTTAATTTAATACTTTTTTTTTCTTTTTATACCAGTGCTTAGCAACTTTGAGTGGCTTATCACAATCACCCGTTTAGGTTTCCCGGCACCTAATGCCTTGGCTAATGCGGAACTGAGCTATCACATCAGCTATCTAAACGTGGACGGCTACAGGCCCCAACTACTGGGTCAGCTCAAGTTAAAGTTCAGGTTTCCATCCGTGTTGGCTTAATCACATGAGCTGTCACCAAAAGACCCTTTGCACATTTACACAACAGTGAACTATAGTGGTTTTGGTGGTTGGATTTCCTCTTTAATTATGTCCCTCATCTGTTATTGGTTTGCTCGGAGCTAAAGTGCGAACGTTGTGACAGGAGGAAAATGTAATCAATGACCACAATGAATCACGACTGCCGTCCTGGAATGTGACTCACACCAATCTAAAGAATCACAGTTTGTCTTTTACTCTATATTTTTATAATCCTATCAAAAGGGAAATACCTAAAATTCATCTACACCGTCACGCCTGCTTGGGTAATCCATTGATGCAAAGAGCAGTCGTACTCCACCAGCCATAGTTGTCAGCATCTGCTTTTACACATTTTGTAACCAAATAATTATAAAAAGACTCTGGGGTTTATACTGATATTCTACGTTTAATTATTTCACCTCTTATTCTGCCGGGTAGCTATAAGCAAGTACATACTAGTAATTCATTTACCACAATATATACACCATGTATTGTTTTTTTTTTTTTTTAGCATCTCTCCTGTTGACGTTTGACTTTCATTTCATTTTCTTTTTTACTCTGAGAACAAGTTCAAGGAGTTATTCCTATCATTCTGCGTCACCTCTCCTTAACAACAAAGACGATAATTCACTAAATGTCTGAGCTTACGTTTACTGACCAAGAGCTCACAAAATTCAGCCAATAATGCCAAGTTGGGGAAACGGAAACATTTCTTTTACTACTTTGTTCTTTGTTTGGCAACGTTGTAGTGAATAAATCTCACCACGCATCCTATCAGTACTGGAGGATGTCAAATTCAAGCCAGACTAGACAAATCAGAGAAAAAAAAAAATCACCAGTTTGATTATTTTTCATCTGGACTATTTTGGAATAAAATGTCCAATTCCATTCACAATTCCCTGTGAATCTCATCTTAGCAGATAAACCCCCATAAAATAACCCACGTACGTGTTGACTGGTATTACTACGAAATCTGCACCTTTGTTGTTTGAATAAAAGTAGTCCTTGGCTCAGTGTAAAGAAATAGTAAAAACGTGGCTTGAATATTACATCTGGTCAAAAAGTACACAAAAGCTTATAGCAATGGTATGAAAAAAATAAAAAGCAGCCGGACGCAGATGATACGTGAAATTATAGCCAAACAATTTGTTGCGCCATCGATAAAATAAACCCAACACAGGTTTTGCCTTTAGTATTAGCACATGTAGCATTTAGGGATATTTCAGATTTTACATGGTCACTAGATGGCGCCAAAATGAAATAAATGGAATTATAATTTCTAATAAAATTCTGAATTTAATAATTATGTAAATGAGATAAACTACAATGATCCACTTTTAATAATACTCTGTCTGTGCTTTAAACTGTATTCATAGAGAATATGTTTAGCCATTTTTTAATTATTAGGTTATCCTCTAAGCAGTAACAGTATAGAGCTAGTTTTGCCATTTAATCTATTCATAATTTGAATTTATTGTTAGAAATTGTTGTAATATCTGTTCGCATGTAGTGACTTTGGAAGACCTGTCACTTGAAATGAAATTTTGTGCTCAGCCTGTCCCGCTCTTAAGGAGACAATGGCTGTTCCAAAGGCTCAGGCAAACATGAAACCATCACTGGCAAAGTATTTCTTAAAAAGTTAGAATTCATAGTGAATTTCACTTTTAAGATCAAAATAGCCAACCTAGAAAAATTCTCTAAACCAACTATGCTTTAAGTTCTTGCCTTAAATTTAAAATTCCCTTTATACCTTTACTTTTATTACGTGGCGGCTCAATTGGCCCAAATTGCACTTTGGCACTCCCCCCAGAATATAGGAGATGGGTAGATCTGGAGTCTGCCCTAATGGGACCAGACATGCCCCAGTTCCTCATGTGGATCCCCAAAGAACACAGACCAATAGAACAAGTGATGTGCCCTGCTATACGCAACTCCCTTAAAATTTGGGATGCCACTGCCCTTAAATACGGCCTGACCTCCGACCCATCGCCCATGACCCCAATCTTAAGAAACAAAGCATTTGTTCCGGGCTTGAGTCCCCGAGATTTCAAGGGCATTGAGAATGCGGGATTGCAGAGATTATGCGAAATCTTTGAAAACGGCTCATTTATTACATTCGAAAAGTTGAAAAGCAGGGCCCCACTAAGACCCTTCGACTACTTCCGGTATCTACAGCTTAGAGACTTCGCTTGAAACCCCCAGATCAAGACGGCTGCGCTGATGCAGCTAACGTTTTTCGAAGGATGTGCAAGAGGGAACAATTCCCGAGCGGCTTAATTTCATGTTTATATTCCCATCTGAGCACTCACACGCTAGAATGGGGGAGACATAACATATACTGATCAGTGGGAAGCAGATCTCAACGAGGTTCTGGAGGGCATAGAATGGCAGGAAATATGGGAGGCTGCTGCATCCTCTTCGGTGTGCGTCTCCTTGCAGGAACAATCCTATAAGACCTTATTTCGGTGACACTGCACCGAATGCGTAAAAACCCCGACAGACCTGTGTTGGAGGGGCTGCGGCTGCAAGGGCTCGTATATACACATGTGGTGGGAATGCCGGGAAGTACAAACCTATTGGAAGCGGATTGCTGCTTTGCAGCGAGATGTCTTTAATAGGGAGGTGAAACCTGACCCATGGGTGTTTCTCTTGTCCAGATCCATGGATGGCTTGCAGCTAGACGAGCCCTAGCACAGGTGTGGCTACAGAGGGAGACCCCAACACTGACTATGGTAAAACAAAAAATAAAAGATACTTACCTAATGGACAAAAAATAAATCTTGCAGCTAGAAGAGCCCTAGCACAGGTGTGGCTACAGAGGGAGACCCCAACACTGACTATGGTAAAACAAAAAATAAAAGATACTTACCTAATGGACAAAAAATAAATCTTGCAGCTAGAAGAGCCCTAGCACAGGTGTGGCTACAGAGGGAGACCCCAACACTGACTATGGTAAAACAAAAAATAAAAGATACTTACCTAATGGACAAGCACAGGTCAGGGGGACAATGAAGAAATTCGACAAGATTTGGAGCCCATGGATAAATAGTGCTGTAAGCGATTAGAGAAAAGCAGACTAAACTATCCAAAATACAGCACGAGACATTTGAGAGAGGAGGTACACCGAATTACTTAGATTCGGTTAGCAGGGAAGGTCTTTGTTAGACTCCCGACGGGGACAGGGCAGGAAGAAAAGCACATCCCTTAGGACGCCTTTTTCTTGTTGAGTGGCCATCCTCGGGCCCCCCCTCCTCCTCCCCTCTACCCTCCCCTTCCTTCTCTGCAACCTCGATCCTTCGAGGTACTCATATTATCTTCTCTTTCATATCTTATTTCCTGAATCTTATCATCCGACCGTACAAGGAGGGAATACACGCGGCAGACAATAGCGACTTGTGAGCAAACGCACGCTCGTATATTACGCTTAGCCGCTCTTCCCCCCCCCTTTTCTCTCTTTTGAGTATATCTGCATATGCAAACATGAGAGCGGTCGGCATATATTACTTTACATATTATGTGTTATCTGTTAATTGTTTTATATACTATATAAAACCAGGCTGGATATCTAACTATACATAGAGAAGAGAACTGTTGAAATGTAAACTCAATTAGAGGTATCTAGTTACGGGATATGGGCGAACGGGACTGTTTACCTATCACATGATTGTAATAACGCCTTGTACACAGTTTACATGCCTGTTTATGCATAACCCTATCTTGATGTATATGCATTGTTTTGCGATGTCGTGTCCTGGAATAAATAAAGAATAAAAAAATTTTAAAAATCACTATATTCTCACTTTCGTAAATAAACATTTCTGAAAGGTGCTGAAATGCTCTAACCTCTCAAAGCATTTTATTTTCTGCATTCTTAAGTGGGACACCAGAGAATAATAGAATTGCTCAAATCAAGATTGTCCCACCAGATCTAGGACTGTTGGAATGTATGTCTGGGCACGCTGTGCGCCACAATCATTACAGCTCATTTTAGGGGTTATGGGACTTAGGCGTTGTCTTCCTGTTAACCATCACACTTTTTTTGAGAAATTTGTCATACTCACTATATATATATAGACCTATTTTATTATTATTTTTGGCATTTATGTAGCCGCAACGTATTCCACAGCGCTTTACAATGTAGCACCAATAAGCTGAACTGTTATGGTACCTTGCGCAATTTTAAATATGTTAATAATTTTTGTTTTATTCCAATGAGTTTTTGTTTTTAATGCAAACATTGTTTGGACTGCAGCAGACCTGAATTTATACAAACGTTTGCGGGACTAACGCTATACCACGCCTCTTATGCCTTCCCAGTAAAAAGTAAAAGCAGTGTTGTAGGTGAGCGGCTAATTTGTTGGTTTTGAAACCCCAGTCATTTTTCGTTGGTCCCGTGCACGTTAATACCAACGTCCCCTACCGACATCCCCTAACACCAATTCTGTTTCAACGTTGACGCAGTGGAAATCACCAAAACACATTTAAATTTCATCGTATTTTTTTCCCTTTATCTCAGTAAAGAAACAGTTAAATAGTGGCCTGTTGAAAAAAACTCACTTTTAATTTTAACACTAAACGGATGTAATACCCACTATTTTAGCATGCATACATATTATGCTAATCTGATCCATCGTTAATAGCCTTTTCCATCATTTTAAGAATCTCCCTTTAACATGTGCTGGAGTCATTAAGGCAAATGGCATTACAATGAACATATCCCATCAATGCGAGGATTGTTTTCTAATGCAAAGCAGACACTATTTATCATTCATTTGGGAACATATGGATCTTAATCAGAAAATTAATCTCTTAGCAAGAGAGCCCTGACATGCAAGCTCCATGGACTGATATCAAAGTATTAGTTCCTCGTCAGTATATAGCTTAAAGCAAACCTGTCACCTACAATCAACGGGCCCTGGAACTGAACAAATTGGCTATTTCTTGGGTAAACAAGTCTGGCACATGAAGAAGGAATGTGTACCGGGATTCTGCACTGGAGTACATTTCAAGAGTTTATTCACTAAATGCTGAATTGCGGTAAGTAAAAAAAAAAATGCAACATTTGGGTAAAAATATCTCTCCATTTGAGATATTTTTTTCCGTTGTTACAGTTTTAGTCTAGTGGAATTTTATTGTCAATTGGCCATTGTGTAAAGTTTGGAGAATAGACAGATTATTCTTTTGCTTTGGCGTTTCTCTTAAAGGGGCATTTAAGACACCAGTACAAAGCCTGTCAATCTTATTGACCAAGTGTGAAGATTTATGGAGGATTCCATGTTCTTGTGGGATCCTCCGCAGACCTTCACTTTGAACTCTTAAGTTTGAGAGTACACCAGTGACGCAGCTTCATGTATCTTCATATGTCAGGAGCTGAGGATGAAACCGAAGTTAAAGATGGCAGCACGAAGGGAGGGAGACCCTTTGTACAATTGTAATATAATAACTAAAGCCAGTAAAAAAAATTTTAAAAAACCCTTAAAAGGCTTACTCCAATTAAAAAAAAAGTGTTTTAAAATAAAAATAAAAAACAACAACATTTTAGTTAGAGTAACCCTTTCTATCTTGGTCCCCCATTAATTTACAACAAAAAAATTAAAAATTAAAGCATAAATGTACCATATACTCCAGTGCTGAGGCCAAGTGAGTGGACATGAGCGGCACAGAGGAGTGGGCTTTCCGCTATTGGCAGACGTCCAATATGCACAAAATGTACATTGGCCAGCCCAAAACTCTTGTTCGAGGCTGGCTAGTGACACTGCAATGACACTGCGGGAGGTGGAGTTAGAACCTCCGACAGCAAAATGGTTAAACTCTGTACGTGCAATGTTTTATAGCGAAATTCTGCACATACACAATCCAGGTACCATGACCACTTCATATCACTGAGTAACCCTTTAATTTTTCTAAAGCTGCTGCACTCGCACAGGTAAATGTCAGCAGTAAACGGACCCTTCACAGGCCAGGAAGTCATACCACCAATCAGGAGGTACTGCTTTGGATCTATAGATATGTTTTTTTATATATATTCCAGAACCTCAGCTGCATTTCTGCTCATCAAATCGGATCTGTGGAACTGTCTAAAAAGCTAACAGCAGTTTTGCAAGTGGAGCGGTTTTGTTCCAACGGCCAATTGTATGTGTGTGCAACCACGACTTGAGTTCTCAGAGAGTCAGGAAGGTGTGCATGGCGCGTACACACTCAGCGCTTAGTTTGGACTACAGAGGAGGAAGTAGAGCTTGCTTCTTTTACATCAGTGGAAAAGGGCAGACCACAGTGATTTCTCCAGCTCTCTGCAGTTATAGGGAACTTTGTGCAGCAGTACAGTAAGAGGACCACTTAAAGGGACACCATAGGCACCCAGACCATTTCAGCTCATTAAAGTGGTCTGGGTGCAGTGACCCTGTCCACCTTAGTCCTGCAATGTAAATCATTAAAATTTTTGATAAAATGCAATATTTACAATGTGCAGAGGGGGGGAGATGGGTGGGTGAGTGGGGGGGGGGAGGCACCTGATGGCACTATAGTGTTAGAAATATAACTTTGTATTCCCAACATTCTAGATTCCGTTTAATGGCAATACTTATGAAAGAGCATAGGTTGTTATGGTGTTTCCAGTGACCCATTAAGAACTACTTTCCTACATTTACACAACTTTAAAATTACTACACAGGGAAACCCAACACAGAGATAGAGGTCATAAAGCTTGAAAAATAATCAATGTTATGGTGCAAAAAAAAAACCTCAGACCATGCTGCTTTAAGAAACATTGGGTGCTGCTAGAACTGCATTGAGTGCTATTTCCCAAGAGAGCCGGTAATAACTTGCAAATTCTCACGTGTGTTATTTATTCTTCCATAATTTAATAGAGATGACACTGAATAACTTGTCCTCTTGTCTTTCCCTCAGGTTACTTACCTAGTTTTTATAGAACTGCTGCTCACAAGGTGCTTTGCCAGCCAAGGCCAATGATAGATATCAAATCTTAAGGCTGGCAAAGCATCATGGTTGAGCAGTGTAAGCACTGTGTTTACATTGCAGTCTATCATAACTGTCATACCGGCAGTCACTAGAGAAACTTCCTTGATTAGATCCTGCAACGATTGGAGGACCAACATTCAGTGCCTCTAAGCTCTTGATGGAGATACTGAATACTCCCTGTTAAGATGTATTGACTCACTGAGGAGATGCTGTTTGCTGCAGAATGGCGACTTGGGACACATACGCACTACTTTCTCAAAGCTTACTTATAGGGAAACATTGGATTCGCTGGGATGATCAATGTTGATGATCTCAGCCAGGGAGCTGGCCGCATGGAGACTGGTGCAGCAACGTCTAAAATCTGCGTAAATCTGCTTTTTTTATTGTACGGTCTGTCACTCACGTACTCCAGAAGAGCCAGATGCTCTTGCACTGAGCTATCCTGGCGATGCATGGAGATTCTTGTTCCTCTGAAAGCTGTGACCAATGACTGGCAGACCCCTGCTAAGTTATCAAATAGTTTGCAAATGGCTTGACTACTTACACGGGAGGACACAAGGCACTACTGGCACAAAATCCTCTGCAACACACTGTAGTGGTTATGGTGCCTGGACTATTCCTTTAAGAATCTTGTGTAAATATATATCTAAAAATGTTTGCCAATGCATTTAGACTCAGGTTATAAAGAAATAGTTCAAATCCATGCCAGCTTCACTATGCTGTAATGAACAAACTTAAAGGGATACTCCAGATCACTAAAGTTCTTTATGTGTGAAGAGTGTGTGTCCTCTTTTTTTATTTTACAAAAAGTGCAGATCTTAATCTAAATCAAAACTTTTATAAATTAAGCTCGTTACACCCCACAACCCTCCGGCTGTCAATCGAACAACCAGTCCTGTTACTTCCTGGTTTGGTTAGCTCAGAGGAACTAAACTCAAGAGGCAGCAATTGCTCAGAGCACCTGCCTTGCAAAGACTTCTCATTGAGCTGCATTGGGAAGTCTGTGATTGGACAGCCACAAAAAGTCTGGGCAGGTTTAGAAAGGGAGGGCTTGCAAAGGCTGTAGTCAAGAGATCTACAGCTTTTGAAAGCCATTTTTAGATATATCCCTAATGAATAAATGCGTGATTAAATGCATGCAAGTTTAATTGGACTTATATCTACTAAACAGTGATTATTATTATTATTATAATTATTTTAATTTGGGCAGTAGATTCATGCTGTTGGGCAGGGCATGTGGAATATCAATGCTATATGGTACAGGGTAGCACTTATTATCTACATATCAACACGAATATGCATTGTGGATGCCTCAAATCTCAGCTGTGATTGAGGAATTCATCTTATAGTACCATTGTAACTGAAATTTGGTGCTCTGGCTGGCTGAGGATTGTATGAATTGAAGTCCACAGCATTTTGCGTGTCAACAGTTACAATCGCTGTAAGTTTTCTGATAAAATGACAATAAACCAATGCACAGATTTTTTTCTTTGTGGCATTGGAAGGAAACCAGTTTCCTGCTGTTGTCCCTGAATCAGCCCAGTCCTCAGGATCCGGTAACCCTACTAAAACTAAATTCTGATGTAATAAAAAAACGTGGGAGTGAATAACAGCAAAATAGACAGGCACAGCACAGGCAATCAACCGGATACCCATAGTATGCTTTACTGTTATTAAAGAGTTTATAATTTATTCTCATATGTAACGTCTGAATATTTACACTAGACTTGGTAGAAGAAAAATATTTGGCAAGGAGGTTATTGTGAAATAATGTATCCGAGAAGCGTCATCTTATTAACCCTTTAATAACCAATCATTCATTTGTTAGTTCTTCTACAGCTATCATCATTTATTTACTTACTGAACAGTTCAGTTCGGCAATTTAGAGTGAGTTACGAAAAGTGACAGCCAATATATAGAGACAGAGGGAAGCTTAGTTTGACATGCTGGTACAAAAACTGCTGGAAATCGACTTGTCAGATACACCTGTGGAGACACAATACGTCACGATGATGGGCATTGCATTAAATGTGCTGTATGAAGGAATACTATGCTGCAGGATTCGTCCAATATAAATGGAGTTTAAATTCTGACCTTCAAATTGTAGCATATTAAAATATGAATTGCCTACTTTAGGCCAAGTTAGGACTAGAGCAGAGTTAGAGAATGTCGCTGACCAACTGTTTTTGCCATTTGAATTTGGTTTGGATACAATATGGAATTTAGATAATGCACCCCACTAACGTGGTTTACTCTTTGCGTCCCCTGAAGTCTACATGTTACAGGACAGCGCTTTTCATGCCCAACCCTTCAAGATGTTTAAGTGTCCACTAAAACATGATGCATCTGTCAACCCTTAGAGAACCCTTCTCATGGGCATATCTCTATCATTTGAATCACTTTTATTCAGAGTGCTGTTTAGGATGACCCATTCTAAAGGGATAATGTGTATCAAGGCTAATAGGATTATTAACTCTTTATTGGGGGGTGGAATCGGTTGTTTTTAGGGATTGAATTAATTGTGTATTGAAAGTTGGAATGGTAGGTTTGAAGCTGACCATTGGCTCAGAGCCTGGGGAAGTAGGGTATCTCAGCATTCTGCAACATTAGATCCTTAGGGTAAATTTTTGCACCTCATCATGTTTTATGATGTTGTTTATGTTGTTGATTATTAGGCCATTGTAATAGTGATGTGATATAAGGGCATGTGGGGGTTATTTATATACTCTGTCACAGGGTTTTTGGCTTTTCGTATTAACATTTATATTTTATTATATTAAAAAGCTGTGAACAGTTTTTGTTAATTAAATCAAAGCAAAAATTGTTGATCTGGAAAAATTGTCCAACTCAGTCGTAGTCCTAACTTATTTTTTTAATTGTTTTTTTAACCTTGTTTTTTCCATTTGGAATAATAATTTGCAAATATTTGAAAACAAGTGAATAACCTATTACTCTTCGTTGTTCCAGAAACAAAAAAATATTGGTGTCTTGCCTTACACCATATATCTATATATATAAAGCTAGCAAGATGGATTTTGATTCTACAGGGTTTATTCACTAAACAGCAAGTTGCAATGTTTTGGGAACCGAACGACAAAATCTAGGAAGTTATGAGAAACGTAAAGTCAATTATTCTTAATATCTGTTCTTTAATTATGTTGTAGGCAGTAAAATGAAAATTTTCCTGTTTCTTTTTAAATAGATTTTGTAGTCTGTTCTATATTTCTCTTCTTATGAGCTTGCAAAGAACAGGATATCCTGAAGGCATATTACATTAAAGGAACACTCCTTTTAATTAGATGTGCTCCGTAGTGAAAAAGTTTATAAAACATATTTGTACTTCGTTGCTGGAGAGTCTTTTTGCTACATCGTGATCATCCTTCAGTGGCGTCATCACAAGTAATGACTTTTGTCTCATCAGATGCTTTATCACTCCGTTATAAATAAACAACATGCTTGGTACGAAAATAGAATCCATCCAAGAGGTTTCAGGCACACCATGTCCTGATATTAAGGTTACGAAGGTCACATGACCATGACGCAAGGTCGGAGCTGCGGAAAGAATCGTGAATCCCCACGAGTGTTCTAGTAACTGCACAAATACTGTTCGAGAACGAAACGTGGAGATCAGAAATAATTACACCGACAAGATATATAGAGGGTTATTCAGTAAAGTCCGAATGGGGCAAAACCATTCGGCTGCTTATGGAGCCTGCAAAATCGGACTGCAAAATCCGGACGTTGATCGGGCTATTTAATAATGTCAGGATTTAAGGCACCAAACAAGTCTGGATTTCAGATGACCATAAGCCTATTGGGGGGTTTAACATGACACCCATATGCATAGGTGCTGTGCTAAAATATCCCTAAGGGGGTATAGTGACCTCAACAGAGCCCCCACCTGCCTCCATTGGCCCCATATTTTTGCACAATTACCCCCCCACCCCCACCCCCTGCCATTAAACTCTTATATGTAAAAAAAAAATAACATTATATTTACAGAGGTCTTTTTTCTTTTAAATCTTTTCTTCGGTCACAAAATAAACGCCAAAATAAATTCCTAAACAATGCAACGTAACTATTGAAATAAGAAATAAACCCACCCAATTTACAATAACCAAAACCCTGTAGAACAAAAAATATCAATCTTTGCCCCAAGAGGACCCATGCAAAATGATAAAGCTTCATAAAGGCTTTCCATGATTTGAATTATTGCTGTTATTATTATTACAGTGCTCTGATTGGTTGGATTTTATTTTTAATTTTTTTCAAATAGTGTTGTGTTGCGTTATTATGAACTTTATGCATTTATTTATTTTTAGGAATAAAATAAGAGTTACAAGAAAGAATTGTTTGCGTGTATCAGTGATCAATACCTCTCACAGCAACAGCAGTGTGCGCGAGTGTATCACAGTAAAACTAACAGTAATGTGCAGTGTGTGTGTGTGTGTGTGGTCTATTACAGAGCTCCACAAAAATAAAACTAACAGTAATGTGCAGTGTGTGTGGTCTATTACAGAGCTCCACAAAAAGAAAACTAACAGTAATGTGCAGTGTGTACGGTGTATTACAGAGCTCCACAAAAATAAAACTAACAGTAATGTGCAGTGTGTGTGGTCTATTACAGAGCTCCACAAAAATAAAACTAACAGTAATGTGCAGTGTGTGTGGTCTATTACAGAGCTCCACAAAAATAAAACTAACAGTAATGTGCAGTGTGTGTGTGGTTTATTACAGAGCTCCACAAAAATAAAACTAACAGTAATGTGCAGTGTGTGTGTGGTCTATTACAGAGCTCCACAAAAAGAAAACTAACAGTAATGTGCAGTGTGTGGTCTATTACAGAGCTCCACAAAAAGAAAACTAACAATAATGTGCAGTGTGTGGTCTATTACAGAGCTCCACAGCAGTAAAACTAACAGTAATGTGCAGTGTGTGGTCTATTACAGAGCTCCACAAAAATAAAACTAACAGTAATGTGCAGTGTGTGTGGTCTATTACAGAGCTCCACAAAAATAAAACTAACAGTAATGTGCAGTGTGTGTGGTCTATTACAGAGCTCCACAAAAATAAAACTAACAATAACGTGCAGTGTGTGGTCTATTACAGAGCTCCACAGCAGTAAAACTGACAGTAATGTGCAGTGTGTGTGTGGTCTATTACAGAGCTCCACAAAAATAAAACTGACAGTAATTTGCAGTATGTGGTCTATTACAGAGCTCCACAGCAGTAAAACTAACAGTAATGTGCAGTGTGTGTGTGGTCTATTACAGAGCTCCACAAAAATAAAACTAACAGTAATGTGCAGTGTGTGTGTGGTCTATTACAGAGCTCCACAGCATTAAAACTAACAGTAATGTGCAGTGTGTGGTCTATTACAGAGCTCCACAAAAATAAAACTGACAGTAATGTGCAGTGTGTGTGGTCTATTACAGAGCTCCACAAAAAGAAAACTAACAGTAATGTGCAGTGCGTGGTATATCACAGAGCTCCCACAAAAAATAAAACTATGTGTGTGCAGTGTGTGTGTGGTCTATTACAGAGCTCCACAAAATAAAACTAACAATAGCGTGCAGTGTGTGGTCTATTACAGAGCTCCACAGCAGTAAAACTGACCAATGTGTGCAGTGTGTGGTCTATTACAGAGCTCACAAAAATAAAAACTAACAATGTGTGCAGTGTGTGTGGTCTATTACAAGAGCTCCACAAAAATAAAACTAACAGTAATGTGCAGTGTGTGTGGTCTATTACAGAGCTCCACAAAAATAAAACTAACAGTAATGTGCAGTGTGTGTGGTCTATTACAGAGCTCCACAAAAAGAAAACTAACAGTAATGTGCAGTGTGTGGTCTATTACAGAGCTCCACAAAAATAAAACTAACAGTAATGTGCAGTGTGTGTGGTCTATTACAGAGCTCCACAAAAATAAAACTAACAGTAATGTGCAGTGTGTGTGGTCTATTACAGAGCTCCACAAAAATAAAACTAACAATAACGTGCAGTGTGTGGTCTATTACAGAGCTCCACAGCAGTAAAACTGACAGTAATGTGCAGTGTGTGTGTGGTCTATTACAGAGCTCCACAAAAATAAAACTGACAGTAATTTGCAGTATGTGTGGTCTGTGCAAAACCACAAAAAATAAAACTAACAATAGCGTGCAGTGTGTGGTCTATTACAGAGCTCCACAGCAGTAAAACTGACAGTAATGTGCAGTGTGTGAGGTCTGTACAGAGCTCCACAAGAAATAAAACTAACAATGTGTGCAGTGTGTGGTCTATTACAGAGCTCCACAAAAAGAAAACTAACAGTAATGTGCAGTGTGTGGTCTATTACAGAGCTCCACAAAAATAAAACTAACAGTAATGTGCAGTGTGTGTGGTCTATTACAGAGCTCCACAAAAATAAAACTAACAGTAATGTGCAGTGTGTGTGGTCTATTACAGAGCTCCACAAAAATAAAACTAACAATAACGTGCAGTGTGTGGTCTATTACAGAGCTCCACAGCAGTAAAACTGACAGTAATGTGCAGTGTGTGTGTGGTCTATTACAGAGCTCCACAAAAATAAAACTGACAGTAATTTGCAGTATGTGGTCTATTACAGAGCTCCACAGCAGTAAAACTAACAGTAATGTGCAGTGTGTGTGTGGTCTATTACAGAGCTCCACAAAAATAAAACTAACAGTAATGTGCAGTGTGTGTGTGGTCTATTACAGAGCTCCACAGCATTAAAACTAACAGTAATGTGCAGTGTGTGGTCTATTACAGAGCTCCACATGAGTTAAACTCCCAGTAATGAGTGTCTGTATCACATAGCTTGACACGATAAAATCTATGGCAATGTATGGAAACCATCTAGACATATTTATAAAATACCTTACCCCTGGCTGTACTCAATTACCTTTTAATTTGCCTAAATTATCATAAAGTCTTTGAAGTATTTGGGAAGACTACTTTACCCCACCACTCCCTCCCAACCACACCTCCCAAAGTCCTATAAGTGTCCCCTTTGGCCATTTGAAATGACAGAAGACATGTCCTGTCCTATTACCTCAATTGTATGAAGTTGTTTGTTTGTTTGAATGTTTTACAAAGTCTCTAGATTAAGGAGTAAAGATGATTGACTCCGTTATCGTGGATATTTCAAAACTCCTTGATCTTTATATCTCGGACTGGGAATGTAGTAGATTTGTCAAATAGTACAATTTTTCCCCACTACTTATTGAAATAAACAATACTTTACTTTTAACTTTACGATACTTTTATAATGAGCTGCACAGAAAACTAAAGTAAAAAAACATCATACCCCAGCCATTATTAGTTGTTTTTTTTATTGTGGTTTTTTTTTTTTCCGTAAAATGTGAATATTAATAATTGGAAATTCACAGTGAGTTTCAAATGTTAGGCCAAAATAGCCAAATTACAGAAATTCGTTTTTTAGGCTAAAATTTGCAATTTGCGTAGAATTCCCTACAATGCCAGGACTATTTTTAAACTGTTTTTTTTTTTGCTAGCAAATCTGCTAACACGATGTGTCGATGAAATTGCATGCTCTTTTAAAAGAGCATGCGTTGTAAATACCACCACAGGTACCCATTGATGGAACGCTCCAGACACAAAAAGACTTCAGCTTGCAGGAGGTCCTTATGTGTCTGCAGTCTGTTGTTTTTCAACAGTTTATAAAAGTATTAATTTCAACAGAAATTGACACTTTTTTGTTGGGGGCAGACTAAAACTCTGCGTTGGGGAATAAGGGGAGAGCTCCAGGCAGAATATCTACAAATGTTATATCTATCCAGTAAACAGTGAAAATTACGGTCAAGGGAGTGTTTCTAAAAAATATATACCCATGCTACAGCGATACGGAATACATTGACTGTTTATAAATAGAAGTCAGAATAAAATATAGAGAACAGATTTCTAATATATTTTTGTAAAAGTGACATGTCTCTCTTCCTTAATATTTGTTCTATCCTCATCTATTCGGGTTATCCAAATGGCAGTGTTTTATCAGCATTCCCACTAAACTACCATCTACATTAACTAACGAGCGGCACTATGCCCAAAGATCCTTGGCGTGGTCAGGACAACAGAGGTAGCTGTACCTGCTGTAAAACCCACAGAAGGTATGTCCCTCACAACATCGTTTGAGACTGTATTACTTAATTACAGCTACATTGCCCAGAACACTAACAGATATTGTCCAGCAATTCCGATTTTTTGCTCATGTCATTGTGGCCAGCTGAATCTTGGGTAACTCCTCATCTTTTGTGATGTCATTGCTGTCAGTACTGTCTTACAACCTACAGCTCCTCCTCTTTGGTGATTTCACATCTTTTGTAAGGTGGACATGCAATTTGTTTCGTTACGAATGCAAATTCAGACGAATTTTGGGCAATTCGGACGAATTTTGGGCAATTCGGACGAATTTCGGGCAATTTGGACATTCGGATGCTTCCGAATTTCCAAAGTGCCGAATTTCCGAATTTCTAAAGTGCCGAATTTCTGAAGTGCCGAATTTACCAAATTACCCGAATTTCCGAACCGAATATTTTGCCCATGCACATCCCTATTGTAAGGTCATTGCTGCCAGTACTGCATTACAACTTACAGCTTCCCCCCGTTAGTGATATCCCATCTTTTGTGATATCACTGCTGTCAGCACTGTTGTAAAGCTCTTAACCTGTTATGATATCATTGCAGATGGCCGCACCCTGCAGCTCCTAAACCAGGGATCGGCAACCTTTGGCACTTCAGAAGTTGTGGACTACATCTCCCATAACGCTCTTACAGCAGTAATGCTCGCAAAGCATCAAGGGAGATGTAGTCCACAACATTTGGAGTGCTGATGGTTGCCTACTCCTGTCCTAACCTATTGCACAGTATTCTTGCTTCTATTTTTTGCTGATGTCATTGCTGTCTGCAATATCCTGCAAATGATGTCCTGTGATGATTGCATTGCAACCAGCAGTATTACTCAGCTCTTCCCTTTGCTGATGTCATCGGTGTCAGCACTATTCTGTAGCTCATTTAAGTGTGTAGTGGGAACTGGATGAATTAGGCATACCATCACCTACCCATAAACCTTTTGGGCACCCCAGTTTCAGTGAATCCCCCCACTCTCCAAGCTATTCATAGTTTGAAACAATGTATTAAGACTATCATCACTTAGAATGAGTCTAATGGCAGCTATTTTAGTGACGCAATGAAAATGCATCCCAGTGAAACTCATTTAGTTTATAAAGATCCTTCATCAGTTGCTTAGTGCAACTCTCATAGGGCTCAGCCAGTCTCTTGGCACTCTCTGACTTTGCAGGTCTCTTCTCCTGCTTAGCGACAGGTGCCTTTACAACACGAGACAGGCCTATCCTTAATCTGTCCGCTCTGTTTCTCCCTATCTCACTGCTTAGTGAATACGCCTCAAAGAGTCACCTGGGGATCGCGGTTGGGAAGTAATTTATTGATGAGACATCTGTCAACACTAAAAAGATCAACAGCTACAAGGACAAAATATATTGCGCAGGATCTGCAATGGGGATGAGCAGCTGTTTAAACAAACTAATAACTGTTTGGAGATGTACAACAGCTATACAGCTTACCTACCAGTTATTAATACATTACTAGTCACAATATATATATATTCTATTTATTTATTTATTGTTGTATATGTATGCACACACGTATATACAGTACTAAAATAAAATGAATATAATATGCTTTTAAATCGCACGTATAAATGACTGATTTACGTGAAGCAAAGAAGCCTCTGTGATTTCTGTATACAAAGTGAAATTTAAGCAGCGGAGTGAATTTTCAACTCATTGTTAATAGAGTACAACATGTTCTCAGCGAACAGATACATGGAGAACTTATTGTATAATATATTAAAAAGTTCCCCATAACCTTGGGAAAAAAATAAATAAATAAATATCGGATGTACAGTTTGTTCTTGCGGGTTACCAGCGATTAAAAATGACTACCAATAAAGTCAAGCTTCAACATGGACAGGGCTTAACTCCACTAATGGCCTGAAAGTAAAAACGTCACTTTAATTTTAATTCTTAAAAGACCTCTCAAACAGTAAAAAGAAAAGAAAAAAAAAGAGAAAAAATGCTATATTGATCAGAGACCAATGCCCCGAATCATGAAAGACACAAGGAGGTGAGTAATCAACTCTCACTATAAAAAGTTAAGCGATTAAGTCTGATTGAATCTGATTTCTCTCGAGTCATCAAAATTCAACCATTAGAGAAAATGTGAGCTGAGACAATGTAATCTAAGAGAGCTTAAATTTGTGTCACTCTACGAGACACACAGTATCCAGTTACTGCGGTCTAGTATCCCTCACTGCAGAGTATATTAAAGGAGCACTATAGTGCTAGGAAAATAAACTTGTTTTACTGGCACTATAGGGTTATTAGGTCCAGCCCCCCACCCTCAGGGTCCCCCTCCCGCTGGGCTGAAGGTGTTAAAACCCTTTCAGCCACTTACCTTAATCCAGCGGCGGGCTCCGCCGGAGCTGGTGACCTCTCCTCCTCCTGCTGACTTCAGTGCCGAATGCGCATGTGCGGCAAGAGCCGCGCACGCATTCAAACCGCCCATAGGAAAGCATTACTCAATTCGTTCCTATGGACGTCCAGCGTCTTCTTACTGTGATTTTCACAGTGAGAATCGTGGAAGCGCCTCTAGTGGCCGTCACTGAGACAGCCACTAGAGGCTGTATTAACCCTCAGTGTAAACATAGCAGTTTCTCCGAAACTGCTATGTTTTTAGTTGCAGGGTTAAAACTAGAGGGACCTGGCACCCAGACCACTTCATTGAGCTGAAGTGGTCTGGGTGCATATAGTGGTCCTTTAAAGCCAAGTATAGTTATAAGTAAGCTATTAGAAATAAACCATAATACAGACTGGTATACTCCCACAGGTATCTATGGAAGTACCGTATTTCACCGCATAATGGTGGCAGATTTTATGCCTAATTCCTTTCCTTAAAAATGAAGGTGTGGCCATTATGCGGTGTGCGACCATTATGTGAAGCTTTATTATTTTGCGATATTATATATGCGAAGCTTTGGTTTCTTTTTAACAGTTGCTGATAACATTTACAGTTGCTGATAACATAACATAGCTTATTTTCGAATGCATTACGTAAACTCTGACCCTCATCCTTTTCCTCCTGTCATTTCCTAATGCATTGCATAGATAAAATGCACTAAAATATAATAAACTGATAGATAATAAACCCTCTACTTAGTATAAGATCAGTGAGATGCTCCGCTTCCTGCGACGTCCTGTGACGAGTGGGCGCTAATGCGCATGCGCTGCAAATGTCCCGCGCACATTAGACCTCCCTGTAGGAAGAAAGCATTGAATCAATGCTTTCCTATTGGGAATAATCTGACGCTGAATGTCCTCATGCAGAGCGTGAGGATGCCCGGCATCAGATACCGTTTCTCTGGAACAGCAACGTTTAGCATTGCAGCACTAGGTACAAAATGGACACAGCACCCAGACCACTTCAATGAGCTGAAGTGATCTGGGTGCGTATAGTGTCCCTTTAAATATCTAGCTAGAGATGAAATTTCAGCAGCAGAAGCTACTTATACTCAGAAAATGCTCTGAATCCCTATCAACCACAAGTAAGTGAGGCATGGTGAAATGATGGGTACAGGAAAACAGGGGAGGGGGTAAGGGAAGAAAATTCAACTCTCCTATAAATATTCTTAGCATCCCACACTGCTTCATGGCAGTCCCCACATCTTGATTGCTCCATACAAAGAGCTCCCCTAGTACTAAAATCAAACCCCTCACACGAGTGTCATAGAGAATAAACAAAAAAAGAAACAACTGCCATTCTACCTGTGTATGATTTACTGAGAAGATTGTAGATTAAAAAGTAACTTTTAATAAATAAATCTAAAATAAAAATATAAAAAAGAAAAATAATATGAACAGCAGGAGTAAATGGAGACTATACAGCGAGTGAAACTCTGTGACTTCTTATACAAGCTGTAAAAGTGTATACATAATAACACTAATGCTGAAGCAATACTGTTTAGCTACAATATAACATCAGTGTATTCCCAAGTAATAGAAGTGATACTATATTATATATCACTAATAACTGTAACAAGAGGGGGGAGATAAGACAGCTGCTAAACCAGTGCTGTCAATAGTTAAAAGATATGGATAAGTAAATCCCTACATGATAGTACAACTAACGACATGGGTTAACTCCACATACAATAATTTATAATGTTCTATGGTGCTTAACCTCGGAAAGATCAAAGATAATGGTTCAGCTAAGACAGATTTCTGACAGACGGCGATTAGCCAGTTAAATATCACAAAAGCTGCCTAGATCATAGCAGCGTATGGATAATAAATTACAGGTTGCTGTCAAGCAGTAAAGTGTAAAATAAGGGGTTGCTGACCAGGCTCCGTTTTTTCTGCAAGATACCTAGCAGTATATTCTAGTGTAACAACAGCTGCCTGCACTGAATGATGTTGACTTATGCTTGACCACAGTGGAGCACAAAGTAGTAGCTCACCTGTGAAGGACTGCTGACAGGCAGCAGTTAACCGGTTAAAAATCACACAAGTTGCCTAAATGCTAGCTGCATCTAAATAATAGGTCAAAGTATAAAGAGAGGGTTTACAAACAGTTTTGAACAGGTTGCCTAGGTAGTAGAAAATATACAGACGGTGACAGAGGAAGGCATATAGAATAAAGATTCCTGAGTCTTGTGCCTTCGAGGGCACCCCTTAATAAAATGCCTGGTCTTATCAATCTCCCCCCATAAACATAATAAAGGAAAAAGAAAGAGAAATAAAGTATGTACAGAGTACACAAAATTAGTGTTAAGAGTCTCCAATATGCACTCCTGAGATGCTGGACATGAATGAACTTGATGTCGGTAATTTAGCAATAGATAAGCAGAGAGTTAGGTGCCGACACCAATAATGTGTCAGTAAGTGTCCAGAGCCCCTGACGTGCACGTTTCGCCAGTGAAGCTCATCAGAGTGAGAATAGTGTCAAAAACCCAGTTCGTTGCGCGTTTTGGTGAACTCCAACGCCTTCGTCAGGAACTGAATGTAATGTCAGTAAAACCTCATGCTGTTGCGTATTTTGAAGGGGTAATCCCCGTCTAATGGTGACTATAGTACGCATTGACCCCAATGTACTATAGCCATTACTGCTGCCCAGGAGTAGTGGTTTGAGCGCAGGACTTTTTGGATTTACTTTTGTATTGCACTGTCAGTGCCAGTGTTGCTACCCACCCCATATGTTCGCGATTATTGGGTTTAGAAAAATACCCCTCTCGGTCTCATTAGAGATTTTACCTTATAGCTGAAGACAGCAATGTGAAGTGTTAGCGTAGGACTCACCTAAGAGGTTTTGCCTTGACGTGGCAGGTGAGGTTACACTTAGATGATGGCCATTGGAGTGATACAAAAAAAAAAAACTCCAGTTATTTAAATGTGCGTAGGGATTTGGGATAGTGCACAGGTAATTTTTTTAAATTTATTTTCAGTGCAAAAGTACAGGAATACAGGAATGGTATATAGATTTGAGTAGCGGTGTTCAACAAAGCATACATATGTTGACATAATATTTAGATCTCTAACACTTATACTTTGTACAGATTACACTGTGTTTTGTGCGTACATGTTAGTTAAGATGAGTAACGTCAACTTGGGGGGAGGAGAGGGTGAAAGAAGGTGGAGAGAGAGGTAGAGAGAGCGGGGTGGTTGTACAGGGTAGTCCTACTTTGCATCAGATTATCATCATTGTCATCATTGTACAAACATGAGATTCTTTTTCCATCATAAATTCTTCATGGAGTGTTAATCTGAAGTCTAGGATAGTTTTAAAGGAACACTATAGTCACCTAAATTACTTTAGCTAAATAAAGCAGTTTTAGTGTATAGATCATTCCCCTGCAATTTCACTGCTCAATTCACTGTCATTTAAGAGTTAAATCACTTTGTTTCGGTTTATGCAGCCCTAGCCACACCTCCCCTGGCTATGATTGACAGAGCCTGCATGAAAAAAAAAAACTGGTTTCACTTTCAAACAGATGTAATTTACCTTAAATAATTGTATCTCAATCTCTAAATTGAACTTTAATCACATACGGGAGGCTCTTGCATGGACTAGAAAGCTATTAACATAGCAGGGGATATGAAAATCTTAATTAAACAGAACTTGCAATAAAGAAAGCATAAATAGGGCTCTCTTTACAGGAAGTGTTTATGGACGGCTGTGCAAGTCACATGCAGGGAGGTGTGACTAGGGTTTATAAACAAAGGGATTTAACTCCTAAATGGCAGAGGATTGAGCAGTGAGGCTGCAGGGGCATGTTCTATACACCAAAACTGCTTCATTAAGCTAAAGTTGTTCATGTGACTATAGTGTCTCTTTAAGTTCTAATTGATATAAAGCATGTGAGTTCGTCCCCTCAGGGTCTCAATCAAAGTCGAAACTGGGCTCCATATGTAGGATGGTATTTTGGGGGTGCAACAAGAACAATTTTGTCTGCACCATGGCATTAGCAACGGCTCAATTAACTTTTGTAATGTTACTGGCCTTTTTGTCAGGCCAGTGGTTACCCATTTGTTCATAGAACACGGTCAGTTGTACGGTCACAGCTGTCGGAATCGCAGGATCTGTCTCAAAAGGGTTGGATATGTTTCTGAATTTAGTAGGGGTTCTAGTTAAAGATCACAGGTGACATGAATAGCAATGAGTAGCAATAAGGTTGGCGGTGTGTATTTCTCTTAAGTAGTTTCCAGAGAGTGGTAGCAGTGTTGGTGCCGAGTCTATGCAGGCTGTGTCGTAGCGTGGGGGTTTGTGCAGGTAATGTTTTTTGTTTTGTTCGTGTTTCTCCTGGCTTACTCTTACTCTGTGGTAACAGCCATTGTTAGCCCTTCTTGCTCAGAAACATCACTTAGTTACTAATAAAATCTGCACATAATGTGATGGTATGAAACTGCCTCAATGTGTGTATTTTCCTCTCATTAGCTTTTATATATATATCTGCACTTTGGACTGAATGCGGATCTGTCACTTTTGGGGGTCTTTGCATCATTGTTTGGAAACTGTCGCTTCATCTGCCAATAGCTGCGTCAGTGCTTTAACTCTTGTGTGAGGTTTATGGGGGATCCCGTGGACCATCCATAGATCATGTCTTGCAACGAACTGGTCAATGCCTGAATCCCACAGCCATGAATTACTTATTCTTATGGTATCTTTTGATTGTGTTAGAATTTCAATGAAGTTCCAACACAGCAAAGATTATATCTGTACGAAATACTCAGGAGTGACAAAGCCACTTTAAGATGCCCCTTAAAAAAATTTAAGTCAAGAGAGGCACTCAATAGAAGTCCTCATATTTGTGCGTTACAATATAGCACGCAGAGGTTATAATAAATGCCATCATTTATTTTAAGTTATAAAACGTTATGACAATTTTCTTTTAATACGTTGAGCCCAGCCTAGTAATTTTGTAGTCCTGTTGCCTAGTTCTGCTGTAAATACCTTTTAACCACAAACTATTAATTCTGCATAGTTCTATTACTGAGTTTGAGAGGTTATCATCCTTCTGGTAACTTTATTGAATTCTGTTTGTTATTTGCAGGAATTTCAGCTGCTACTGCACGTGAAAATTCAAACAATACCTTTCTTTCTTTTTAAGCAACATTGTTATCTGAGTAAAGGAAAACGTTTTCATATATCAATAGAAGGTGAAATCCTGTCTTCCCCCATTGTTAAATCATTGCAGCCGTTAAGGTACACCTGTCTGGCATTTTATGACATAGCAACAGTTTAGAGGTGATAGCAGTTTGTCTGTATATGTATAAAGGTGCTTGGAACTGTATGTTATTGAAGATTACCAAAAAGGGAAAAAAAATGTCCAGTTTCTGTTAAATACAGTCTTCTCAGCATGAGTATGGGCATCTGACACAATCTTTAAAGGGACACTCCGGACCCCTAAAGCACTTTAGCTCTCTGAAATGCTTTATATGTGAAGAGTGTGTCTTTTTTATCTTTGTAAACAAAAAGAGCATATTTTGATAAAAATGTAAATTTAAATTGACATTGTTACACCATTTGGCTGTCAATCAGATCCTGGTTTGGTTAGCTTAGTGGAGATAAACTCAAGAGGCAAGAATTGCCCAGAGCACCTGCCTTGCAAAGACTTCTCATTGAGTTGCATTGGGAAGTCTGTGATTGGACGGCTACAGAAAGTCTGGGCGGGGATGTTTTTAGTTATATCCTCAGTGGCAAAAAAAAAAATAGTGATTTTTCTTTATTTTGTTGTGTTTGGGCAGTGGAGTGTCCCTTTAATTATACGTTAATATCATTAAGTCATAATCCAGCATCTTATTCCTCAAATATATGCTTTTGCCCAACATAGCTCCTTTATTTGGAAATAGGCAAGTCTCACCCCAACCAGGTGTGTATTCTGTTTTGTCCAAAGGTCAGCATGCATACATTTTTTTTTTTTTTTAAATACCACGGAAACCTTGGCTTCCTTTTTCTTCATAACTTTTGCTGCCATCATCATCACTTTCTCTCGTACCCTCAGTCCACTTCTCTCCTATCACCCTGTCTTTCATTGGCATGTGGGCACAAGTGCTTATAGTGCCTGTGATATGACACACCAGACAAGCTGTCCTCACACGAAGAACATAGGCCTCAATACTATATTTTTGGATAAACCTTTTGAAAAAATTTTTTGGGGGGAGATATTGATTTTTTTTTTATGTATGTGATATATTTTATATTTGCATAATTTGTAAAAATCTTTAAAAAAAAGTTTATCCAAGCATATATTAAATCAATTGGAAAGCATATTAAAAATATTAAATCAAGGCCACGGTTTTCAAAGTTTGTTCTGCAGTTGTGTATGCTCAGTTTCTGAGTATTTGGAACACCTCTAAAACATTTTGTAAACATGAAGCTGATTGCGTGAGATTAAGAATCTAACAATACGCTATGAACAAGCAGTCATGATGAGCAACATGCATGCTGGGAAACGTCTTCTCGGTACAAGGTATGGGATACCGAGCGACACATGTATCATTCGTAATACCTTGATACATATGGAATGTCTTTATGTTGCACTAACTCGTACAGTAATGTGCAACCTTGACATTGCAGAGGTCTCAGCGGGCTGAGCCTCATGGTAGGTGCAGTTCAGAAGCCTCTAACGTGTCAAGCCAAGCCATCTCTAGATCAGTAATAAATTTGATTCAACACGTGGAGTTTTACGTGGGATAATGAGACAGTGCTTGGCAGGTACAATTTAATTATTACTTATGAACGCTGCTATTTCTCTTTTTATCTTCTTCAAAAATAAACATTGAATCATATCCTTTGCTTTGTCTCCTGCTGGTAGAATGTTGGACTTTAGCCCAGATCTTGTAACCAACATGACTTTCCTCCATACAACCTGTAGCAATCCCTGCAGTTCCAACTTGGCAAAGTGGTGGGTTAAAGAATAATTGAAGGTCACTCTCTTAACAATAGGGGTTGCGGAGGACACAGTCTAGTCCCGAGTCCCAAAGACTAGAACTTTTCGTTAACCTCTGCTTGTACTTGATAGTGTGTTAGTGGTTTGAATGAGCTCCCTGCACCTCACAACACTCTTAACGTCACCCTATGAATGAAGGGATACAGTGTCACATCTGATCACTCTGTATCTCTAGAATAGTATTGCACCATCTGTGCTTGCGCCCTGGAGGCCCAAGCAGATAAGACTCATGATCTGCTCCAATGGGGGATCCAAAGGGGCACAATGGGGTACCAGGCAATCTGGGATTGCTGACCTCTCAGGAACAGAGCACTGTTGCAAGGTTTGGGTGCTGATGACATCTTGACAATCACAGTTATATTTGAATTATTTATTGACTGAAATTATTATTAGAATTTTAGAAATACAAGAAGCAGAGAACACAGTGCAAACATACAGAGAATGGAGGAAGGAAGCAAACAGACCGTGGGAAACAACTAGTGAACAGAATAATTGTCATGTCATGTGGCACAGCTCACTTCTGCATTCGTTTCATACATGAACATGATGTTTGGCATTTTGGTTATGGGACATTGTCCACATCCGTCTCCACCTCTATGTTGTTACAAAAAGATGGCGGCAGGGGTGGGTTGCACGGAAAATAAAAATTGCTTGCATGGGTCTTGCTTTCTGAGTTCCATTGGGGACGCCAGCAGATTAGGAAGCCATATTTTTTAAGATGTGACTGTCACTTCTCTGGAAAAACTAAAAGCTTATGGGGAATTAAAGACTATCAATAGCACAACCATAGCTAGCCATTAATTGTGTTTAAAGGGACACTCTATACCAGGGGTTGACAAATGGTAGATTTCCAGACGTTTTAGTATTGCAACATTCTAAAGACTTGCAAAGCATCATGGCAGCTGTGGTTCTACACCACGTGGAGATCTACATTTTTCCCAGCCTTGCTGTAATCACTATAACCACTACAGCCCACTGTTGCAGTTATGGTGCCAGGAGCCCCCTTGCTCTTTTCCCAATGCAGATGGTTTGATACTTACTTGTGTGCCATGGTGACCTGGTTTCCCCAATCTTCTCGATATCGCTAAAGCACAAGTACTAATTCATGAATATCAGTTTTGCGTAACTTTTTCGCAAGATTGATTCTTCAAACCTATCCCACGGAATGCAAGAATCATCAGCAGTGAAACACTGTAAGTTATCCATTGAGATCAGCCCCTGTTAAGCCACAAAAGGGGAATTCCTGGCCATTCAATCTATTTTTATTCATAAGTATGGATAAGCAGTCTGCGGACATGATAATGTGTTTAACAGCTGCTCCCCCTCCAAAGGGAAAATACCTAATTGTATTAATAGTGACATAATTATCCACATGTTGCTTTCTTAAGCAATTTTATGCAGGGTAGAGGAATGCAAGATGGGATTTAAAATTCATTCTAGTCAATGCTTTTGCTTTTAGCTCCAAATTGATCTGCTGTAAATATCAAGCTATGGAAATGAACATTGCAATCTCCAAGATGCATTATGGAATAGGGTGCTTTGCTAGGGTGACGGTGCAAAGAGTTTCCCATCGTTATTTTATTATTTACATTTTTTTAAATGGCAGGGATCTGAAATCTTGCATATTATAATTTTTTGTGTATGTTGTAATAAAGAAATAATGGCGCGTAATTCTGTCATTGGTTCAGCACTAGTTGCCAAACCAGCTGGATTTTTATACATAATTTATTCTCATTGTATCATTGAATGTGATTAAAATGGGACCAAAAGAAGCCCTGGCCAGTGTACCTCTGTGGGCATTATCACATCAACATATTACCAGGGGTTGGGGCTTATTCCCTGACAAAGGAAATATACAGAGAATTTATAAAAATATATATATTAACTTAAAATTTAAAGGGTTACTCTAACCATCATAACGACTGAAGCCTGCTGTACTTGCAACTTGCAAGGCTCCCTGTTGGTCTGGTGATGCACCATCGCAATTCATTGGCTTAGAGTGTCACCTAACCCCTGTCTGCCAATGGCTGACAAATTGCACAGAATTGACATTAGTCAGGCCGATGACACCCCAATGACGTTACCTCAGTTGAAGTTACACCTCCATTAGCAGTGCGTTTAAACTCATAGCGAAACGCTGCACATACAGAATTCAAACACTATGACCACTTCAAATCACTGACTTGGTCATATTGCTTGAAGTGACCTTTCATAAATAGAAAACAAGATACTTTTTAAAATTCCTGCAGCTGCTGCACTTGCCCAGGAAATTGCAGCAAAAGACAACCCCCTTCCAGACCAGAAAGACACGACACCAGTCATTCTTATTCTGGTCTGTGGGGGATAATCTTATCCCATAAACTTCTATTTAGAAGCAGTTTATAGGGTATTTCACTTATTTCCTCTCCCCCCGCCAGGAATTCACTACATTCTATCTGATGGAACTGTTCAAATCCTGAATCCAGTTGTCTATCAGTTTGTGTACCGTCCTGTTCACAAAACTGAAATGCAGAAGGTCCCTTGCAGCCTCGACTGTGGGGAGGACTTCCTTTCCATGGGCTTACATAGTATACACATGCTGTATTTATAACTTGGTCAGATTTTTGACAGCCAAAGAGGATATGAAACTTACTCCTCATTTCTGCAGTGATTTTTTTCAAATTGCTGGTGACAATAGGACTTTTCTCCACCATAACCTATGAAATGAGCTTTCAATGATCTACCGATCCCTATTAATGTAGCGGAATATATAATTTAGAATAAAACTAAAAACATACTAATTTTTTCCAGACATATTTCATGCTAAAGGATCACTATAGGGTCAGCAACAAAAACATGTATTCCTGACCCTATAGTGTTAAAACCACCATCTAGCCCCCCTGGCCCCTCATGCCTCCCTAAATATAGCAAAATATTACTTGAATTCAAGCCTGAAGCTGTAGCTCTGCATGCTGTTTGTCTCAGAATAGCAAGCAGTCTGCTGACATCATCAGAAGTGGTAGCCTGATCCAATCACAATGCTTTTCCATAGGCTTGGCTGAGACTGACAGAGGCAGATCAGGGGCAGAGACAGCATGATTCAAACACAGCCCTGGCCAATCAGCATCTCCTCATAGAGATGAATTGAATCAATGAATCTCAGTGCGGAAAGTTCAGTGTCTGCATGCAGAGGGAGGAGACACTGAATGTTTGGATGCATTTTAGGCAGCCATGACCCAGGAAGGATCTCTAACAGCCATCTGAGGAGTGGCCAGTGCAGTTATCACTAGGCTGTAATGTAAACTCTGCTTTTTCTCTGAAAAGACAGTGTTTACCGCATTAAGCCTGAAGGTGATGATTCTAGTCACCAGAACAAATTCAATAAGCTGTGGTTGTTCTGGTGACTATAGTGCCCCTTTAACTGTTTTTCTGTACGATTATATAATAATTTACCGATTGCCACCGGTGATAAAGCTGCCCTTTGCATTTCTGTGCATTCCCTAATAAAATACATCCTGTGTTAAAATGAATAGCTTACTAAAAAATAACCTGTTACTTCCGCCCAGTTAACATGTACCTGGCAAACATTTACAGAGGTTACATTGGATATTACAATCAGAATATGCTGAAATATCTGCTAGAAACTGGTCCACATCTGCGGAAGCCACACATTTTAGTACAGTCTGGGCTTTCCTGTACCTTTAATACCCATGGCAGTAAGAAGCTCTGGATGATATGTTTTGGTATTCAGCCTTCGTTCTTGGGTACATGGGCATGGGAGAGAGGAAAGGAGCACCTGTTCGCAATTCTGACTTCTTGACCTTTTCTAATAATTACATCACTGGGGTGGCAACGTGCCCCCCCCAACATTTTATATGAAACTACATGCATTGGGTGCACTGTGCCTTTAAATGACACACTTCCCGAAGTGCGCAGAGTTAATGTATAAGTATTATGTGAAAGTGTATACACACAAAAGGATGGAGATTGCTCTCCAACTTGGAATAAAAAAAAAGGGTAATAAGATAGATATAGTATTGCTAGTGGTTAATATTATATCTGTTATATTGCCCGTTCTTTATATGTGCCAGTGTGGAGTTTATTCCAAGTTATTGTAAGTGCAATTCCCATCATTTTGTGTTTATACACGTTCACATAATGCTTATAAACTAACACTTTTGGGAGTGTGTCATTTAAAGGCACAGCGCACCTTATGCGAGTAGCTTTGTATTGTGAGTGTGTGGCTGCTGCAATTTTTTAAAAGATATTTAAAAATTTTAAAAAATCTGTTAGGCGCCATTTATTCACTTACTGTGCAGTTTACCAACATTCAATATGAACAAAGCAGGACACTTTCATTTAAGGGTGTGTGTGGCCAGGTTTTGGGGCTGTTCTGGACCATTTTAAGTTTTTTTTCCCTAAACTATTGCAATTTAGAACAAACTGAGACTATCAGTCTCAACAGACTAATTGACAAAAATGTTTACAGTAGATTAGATACATTTTTATTGGAACTGTTGTACTTTAACAGCTAACCACAAATCCAGGTCTCCTTAGAATGGGCTCATGAATAGAGAAGATAGATTTGGCACAAAAAAGGGACTGTCACTCCTAAAGTGGGACATTTGGGAGCTACAGTGCAGAGATGCAGTGATAGAATGCACCTTCTGTCTAGCTGTTATTTATCGATAACAAAGCATCTTTAAGAACAGCGAGAGGTCTAGGCAGAATGTATGTAGAGACTTTTGTTAAACAGAGCATACGTGTTGATGAAAATTTAGTTAACTAATTTGTGTGATGATTCCCATTACTGAATCCCCAGAAAATCTCTCCCCCTATTATTCCAAGAGGGAGCCGTTTTCTCACCTGTAAGTAGGTTTTCGTATCTTACCCATAGCTTACCCGGGTAAAGCAGTCTAACCAGATGACATCGGATATACTTGCACATTGGTTCATTGAAATACGGTCTATTTACATCATCCAGCACATTCCACAACATTTAGCTTTGATGCCTTGAAGCCAAGTACTGACAGAGACTCTGGCGGCTGGAATCCCACCAGCCCCCAGCTGAATATTTCTGTGAGTGACATTAAATTAAAGTCGGAAGGAAATTGGCCAGACTAGATATGAGCCTTCATAAAGTGAGAGCGGGTAATTCTGTAGAGAACGTAATACAAAATAACAGAGACCTTCCTAAATAAGCCTGTTCTGCAGAATATCATATGAAATATATGAAGGCCTGCTTGAAGAAAGGAGACTATTTTAGGTAAAAACTATCATTACCTTTCAATCTGTTTTACCATTTCAATTTCATACACTCTGTATTTCCAGTAGTTTATGGAGTTTGCTGAAATATCTTTTTTAAAAAAGTATTTCCTTTGTTGGGTTAATAAAATGAATTATATAGTTAAATAAAAAAAATTTAAAAAATGGACCGCCCCATCCTAAGACTTCATACAGAACTTTTGCGCATGCACACTTTGTCAAATGGTTCGAAATTTCTCAAGTTCTTTTATATTTAATATCAAAGGGGATTTTTTTTTTCATGTATTTTTTTAATTTTATTCCCCTTCAATGTATTACATGAGCATTCTGGCCATCATAACAACTTAATTTAAACAAAGTTGTTATTGTGCCAATAGGTCCGTGGTGCCGGCCTTTATTTACATTTTACATCCTGATTTATCGGTGGAGTCTTATTCACAGATCGATTTGTTTGGGCAAAGATTAAAAGAAATTTGATTTGTTCGTGCCAAATCAAAAGAATTTGTTTGCAAGTCTAATGCTAATTGTGTAATGAGTTTGCGCTGACTTACATGCAAACATGTGTGTGACGGATCACCTGACACCCCGACTGGGCACCTCTGCCAACAGATGCTTCCTAGATGACGCTGAGGACCGTAAGCACCACACCGAACACCACAAGCACCACAGACTCCACAACCGCCATAGCCTAGCTGGGATCTTGCCTTCTTTCTCCCACCCTGGACCAACCTTGGATATCCAGGACCATGTGGGAAAGACCTCTCCTACTTCAGAGAGCGTAGCAGGAAGAGCTCTTAGAAGAGCTAGTGACTAGAACCCAGGGGAGTATAAGGCAATAGGAATCCCCAGTGTGAATATAGCAGTTCCCCTTTAATCACGAGACCAAGCTACGTGCTGAGGGTTAAGCAGGAACTCAATTTTAATGGAGCCACACTGGCCTTTTATACAAGTTTCCCAACAAGGGTGACACCCACGTGGGCACAGGGACACAAGTTAACAAACCAATAAAAACAGTAATTAAATGTACGACACTCCCATAACAAGCATACAATCCCTCCCCTCTGCCTGTGAGATACTTGAGTCAGATACTGTATTAACCCAATTATCTCCAGGCAGAAAAACACACATTTTTACAAAGTCTCATAAGTACCCCAAAACACAACATATCCCCATAAATGTTACTTTTATGATAGTCCTGATCTGGGTGAACAACATATCCAAAAATCACCCAGATCAGATGAGGGGTTCAAAAATTTTATGGAAGTCATAGTTTTGCCCAGGCGCAGGCATGGTCCCATGCCCAAAACAGTTCCATAGAATCGCGGCTAAGTGCCGCTGGAGGACCGACCGGGAACTACAAGGTTTTCATGCCGAAAATAGTTCCAGGGCATTCGCGGCTAAGTCCCCTTGAAGTCTATTCGCGGTTGTGGTCCATGCGACCAGGATGGCCACCACCACGTGTTCGAATGTTGAATGGCGGTCACTTCGACTGTTCGGGAGTTTGAAGTGCTACAGGGGCCATAGTCACAGGGTAAGAGGCTGGCAAGTATGCCCCTCCAAGAACCAGTGGCGAAGTTGCTTTCGTCACAATGCGCATAGGTCTTTAGCTAAATTTCGGAAGAACTCGATAGAAAACCACCATTATTTTTTATGGAAAATAAAAGTGTGCCTATAAGTTAATACTTCTTTTCAATATGTTTCCTGGCTTGTTCTTGCCTTTTGGGGGCAGGTGTATTTAGAGGAACACTTTACAAAAGTTCTGATTTCAACAGAAATCGTCACTATTATAATTTTGGGCAGAAACACCTCCCTTGCTGTCAATCACACAGCCAACGAGGCTTTCTTTCACTTCCAAAGTGTGCATGCGCTCGTGGCTCTAGCACAGAGGGTTCTTAGTCAGAAGCCTCGGAATGATCAATACACACTGAAAGTCTAGGCTGGGGTAAGAGGCGAGGGCTTTCAAAAACTGTGGAGAAGAACAGGTCTGCAGCTATCGCCAGCTGTTTTTTTCCCCATATAACCCCCAAAGAAAACATGGATAAAAAAAATACACACATGTTTTATTTGAGGGTTTTATCTACTAAATAGTTCTGTGAAGTGTTCCTATACCCCCTCTTTGGTTACAAGAACTTCTTAACTGTCCTAATATGAGGTGCAGTTTAAATTCATGAAAGTGGCTCAGTGTGTGTTTTTGGGATGTCTGTCTCTCACGCATGCTGTCAAGGCTTAACGAGCATGCATTAGCTCTCCTTTAATTGCATGCTTTTAGACAGATAAGTGGTGTTTATGGTCAAGTAGCCTTAAAGACCTTACCGGACAAGGACAAACCAGGAGAAACACTTACTTACATGCGTGTGTTACAAAATTATACACACTATAATAACATAATATTTTTTAATTTTTTTTTTTTTTTAAAGACATTTTCCTTTAATTTGGTTAGTTCATGGTTTGGCTTTTAGTTAACTTTTTTTTTTTGTTGGCAGGGTTGGTATTGGTATGTATCAATAGTTTTTTATATAATAAAGTGGGCATTGACTGACCTATCTATAATATAGCCTGTCTCCTAATATCAGTATCTTTCCCACACTCCTCGTAAGTAGAGTGATATGAGCCAAATACAGGCTTTTTGACAGATATTTTACAACAATCCGTATGAAACACTTATTTGCCCCCTAAGGGTATTGCTTAGTATGATTAATTTAACTTTTTCCGTCAATTGCTAGACGTGACTCCTTCAGGCAGAAACTAATGTTGGTGAGAAGGTTTTGGGGCTAAAAACAAGGAAATAACTATTTTGAGATTTCGTTTCACTGTGATTTGAAAACGAGCGACTAAACCCACAAATCTGCAGAACCAATTGAATGCCAAAAACTCTGCACATGACAGCTGCCCTGAAAAGGTTAATTGTGGCCTACATGCTAACCCGAGAACAGGTTTCCTTGAATTTTTAGGGAATTGCTGTGTCACTGTGAGATGAGCTCAGTGACATAAGCTTGTTTTAAGAGAAAGTGTATCAAGACCGTTTAAAGAAACAAAGGAAGGATGTTGCATTGTGATCAGAAAGTCTCATGTGTTAAGTTCCCCTTTACTCCATAAATCAACAGAATTTATTTCACACCCCCTAGGGACGTTATCATAAAACGTCCAAAGTACCATTAATACCAGCCTGGCAATCAAGGCAATTTTTAGAGAAGACAAGAAAAAAAAAGTGAATGAGTTACTGAAACACACCGTAAATAAATTTTGCCTTGGCACGTCACAGGTTAAATGGGAGAAGTCAGTCTCTTTGTTAAAAAAGGGAATAGAGATTTTTATGGTTTAGGCGTGATGACTTTTAAACCAGTTTACATAACTTATAATTGCACTGTAGCTCCCTCAAAGTTGTCTACATGTGCACATCCATTTGAAAATCAAGTTTTAACCTCTTACATGGCTTTTTTTTTTTTTTGCTGACATCACATCCTGGTCCATCAGGCTTCATACCTGCGTGTCATGCTAAATTGGCATTTTATGGTCTCGGAGCGTTTTTAAGGTTTACTGTTCCTTTAAATAGTAAACATGGTAAAAGGCGTGCGGGGGCGTAGAGATTTGTCTGTGAAGGCTAAGATTACATGAGTTCATTCCAGGCGCAATGCAAGAAAGGCTCCTCCTCCTGAAAAGAGGAATGCACAAGTGTTTACACAGCGAATGTAATCTAACGCTGCACCACACCTAAGTCCTGCAAAATGCCAAAAACAGAAATACAAGAAGACGTTGCTTTAAAATGTACCTGCACTGTCACCTGCATTCCTACTGGGTTAATCACTAAAGGGAGAATTCAAAGTAAATTGTAATTTTAAAGTCATAATAGTTTAAATGGAATGACATTTCTCTAAAACCAGCAATTCTTTAAATTTGTCAACTCTGGCCTTAAAATTTAAATTCACTTTGAATTCTTTAGTAAATAACCCTGCAAGTAATCGAGGGTCTAGTCCCGGGATAGGCAACCTGCGGCACTCCAGATGCTGTGGACTACATCCCCCATAATGCTCTTACACCCAAAATGCTGGCAAAGCATCATGGGAGGTGTAGTCCAAAACATCTGGAGTGCAGAAGGTTTTATTTTATTTTGTTACTTAGCACCTTTCTTAATATGTTTAGATTATTTCTTTCATTTTTTTTTTTTTTAACATTCTTTATTTTTGGTAGCGCTATCTGTTACAGACAGATATATAGGGACAGTCTACAAGAGTATGCCCGACAATGCACTGATGTGAGGTCGTTGGTAACTGTCATAAAACAGCACAAATTTTTCATTTTTTTAATATTTAACAAGAGACAAAACAATCAATCTCGCTAGAGAAAGTTGCAGGTAATGTGGCCTCTGGGGTGAGAGAATGCCAAAAAGTATCAAAAAACCACCACGGGGTACAGTTCAGTATCAATAGAAAACAAAATCTGTAAACAAGGTGTTTAACAAATGAAGTAAAAAAGATGATGTTTAGATTATTTCACGTGGCAGTGGTAAATGAACTATTGACCACTGCAGTCTTATAAAAGAACACTACAACGCTACAAATAAATACATTGAAGCCAGAATTTGCCACCACAGCCGCTTGAGTGACGGAACGAGGCTCTTTATTAATTTGTACTGAGCCGTCTCTCTGATGTGTGAGCTCTAGTTTTTTATTAATATTTCATGTACAAGGTCACAGCAGCTAGGTTGTCTCTGAGCAGGCTTGGCCTCAGTTTGTTGCTTGTTGTGTTCTGTGATGTCGTGTCTATGATGTCATTGTCTATGATGTCATTGTCTATTGTCTCTCTCATGCAATAAAGATCAATTTCTTTTTTTTTTATGGCTCAGTAGAAATCTCCAGCCATGTATTGTTTATCTGCCTACTGTGATAATTTATCTGCTAATTTACTAAGGTAAAGGAAGTGACATCTGCGATGACTGCCACCTGGGACAGTCATATAGAAGAAACATATTCTGGCATTTGGTACAGACGAGAAAGTCCTGGTTTTTATTAGCGCTGTAGTTTTCTCAGTAAGTGAGTAGGAACATTGAAGAAGTGTTAATTATTAGCTTTTCCAACAGAAGTACCTAGTTTTCTTAAGATAGGAGCCTTATCTATCTTCAAAGTTGTCAGTGAATGGGACTTCTTAAGTGCCGCCTTCCTTATAGCATAGAAAGTAAATTCAAATTACAAGGCCTAGATTACAGTCTTCCCTATAGAAAAACTCCAATTAAAAATAAATAAAAGGTAAAATATATTCACTTTAATTTTGACTTGTGTACGGGCAGACACTGTTTATAGAGATTTGGGCTACATGGTGCATGCGCCACAATTGCCACGATTTGTTGACAATAGCACTTACTCCGCTTTGAACTATAGTACAAAGCATGTGAGGCAGAAAATCTTCCCAGATGAATGGTTTACAGACAAGAGGTGTTAGTAAGAGGATTTCTAGAAGTGCCAGTTCCTCTTCAAATCAGTAATTTTCTAATATAACACTGTGTGGGCAGTCAGTTAACCCTCTATTAGAAACATGGCAGGTTCTAGTGATTGTGCTGTGTTCCAAAGCTTTGCAACAAGAAGTACATTGGACACAGATCAACCGTAAAGACCCTGGGGAGATAGCACAGCTAAGCGGACAAGGGCACATGTAGGAGTGTGGGGATAGATGCATGGGAGTGACTTGGGTAATGTGTGTGGGAGAGGTTAGGTTCAATATAAGTTAGCGTGGGGGAGGTCTTACCTCAGTGCCACTTGGGATTCGGGCCAGCAAACAGCTTCCCGCCCACCCACCCCTTGTAGGATTAGTTAGTCACAGCGAGGCGGGGGTATGTCCTTGCCAATTAAGTTTGAGGGGTTATGTTTAAGGATGGACTAAGTTTTTATGTTTTGCAGGTCTCAACCTCCCCTGCTTCAAACGGTTAACATTAGGTTGCCTGAGGTGTCGTGCCCATCGAGCGTGGATAAGGTCGGCTGATGGCGGGCATTGGAAAGAGATGATTTATGACGAGGGGGGGAGGTGAGAGGAAGTGGTGGTTAGGAACCACTGTATGTTTATTGGCAAGGACGGTTGGGTCACTGCATAACACTGTGTTGAGTTATATGTTTATATGTTAATTTATGATTATTTATTTCGTTACAGAAAGAAGAGATTTAATAAAAAGTTATGGATGTGTTATGCAGTAATTTATTTATGTTATAATAAATGCTGTGGCCTGTTCATCCATACTAAGTTGTCTGTCGTTATTGGGGGGTTTAATGGGGCTAGATTTGTTCTAGGCTGCATCGCGATTCCCCACTACGTCCATACATGATGTCTTCCCACAGGGAGTATCAATACTCATATATTCCTTGGGTCTTTCATACAAGCAGAGTGATGCCATGCTCTCCTGGAATTCTTCCTACAATGTTGCAAGTGCTCGGGAGCTTTGCATTGTATGCCAGGCTGTGCCATGATAGCCTGGTACATGATGTGTAGTGTAATAAAAGAGGAGAATAAAAGCTAGCGTGTGAAAAAGGCATTATTTGGGGGGAAAATACATGTCCTTCAGCCATTTTATTATTAGCCGCTGGGTTGTGAAACAATCTGACGTCACAGCTCCTCTTCATGAAGGAACTGTAATCTTGCCTTCAAATAACTTAAAATTAATAATATTCTGTGGGTAACTTTTAATGCAACATATATACAGTTTGTAAAAATGCTGCAGAAAAAAAGCAATATGTAACCACGATAAGTCCTTTTAGAAGATAAGATCATTCAGTCAAAAAGATTGACCTGTGTGACTTTTAACACAAGCCCGAGGACATGCTTTGTGAGGTCAATTAAGTACATACTCGTCGACAGTCCTGAATCTGATGGAACAGTCCTGATTTTTTGGGGATCTTGTTCCTCCAACGTTGTACTTTTTCTGGGGACCCCAGAGGAATGCTCAGCTCTAGAGCATGATTAAAGGAATATTTCAGCCTTGGACTTGTATTTGCCAGTGTTTCCATGTATACAATTAAACATCTATTTTAGCACAATTTGGGAGGATTATGCATATGGTATTTCTGTTTTTTTTATCTTTCTTTTCAACCCAAAGAAACCCTCTTTCTGTAGATAAAGCACTGCTTTTGGCACAGATATAGACTCAATCACGTTATCGTTTTGGCTGAGGTTCTTCGTGCTTTGATCAGAGATCACGGCTAAAGATGCTTCAAACGTGAGCCGTTATTTTAATTATTATTTGAATGTATTGTTTAGTCTAATAGCTATATAAGATAGATAAAATAAATGGTTAAAATAAATGGTTAAACCTGTCTGGAATGTCCCTTTAAAGCTAATATAGCAAAGAAATAAAAATGATTATTTTTTTGAAGAATTACAGATTCTTTTTTATTTTATTTTCATTTTGGGGGGCCTTGATTTAAATGCTCAAATCAGTTCGCTATCACCACAAATCTGTGTTTAGTGTTTAATAATCACCCTAATATTTTGCTGTGACTGCAGCTGGCCTTTTTGTAATGTCCATTTTCAAATTTCTGTTTAATAAGATTTCGCTGATAAAGCAACTTTCACTTCCCCCCGAGTTTTCTTAAAATTCTAGTAAAGGATTGAGTAACAGGCCTTAAAGGGTCTTTTTTTTTAATTCTTAGAAAACCTCCTAAGGACTTATTTTCAGTTTTACAGATGAACGGTCATTTATCTTTTAATTATAATTATTTTATTTTTTTTTGTTTCTTTTTGTCCAGTGAACACTATTAATATGTGTAGCTTGTCAAACAGCTTGAAGGAAATTCATGGTGTTGGAAATGCAAACATGTATTCCCAGCGCTATTGTGTTCTAGTCCCTAGTTAAATTTCAGCCCTCTTCCAACTTAAATCTAAAAAAAAAGGAAAAATAGTTTTATTAAGTCCGCACTCGTGCAGCCAATAGATCCTCCTCTTGCGAGTTCATCTGTTTGCTGACCGTTCTTATCCTATCACATGCTTCTCATAGGGAAGCACAGAATTCAATTTTTCTCTATCAATACCATTTGATGATGTTAACGTCCTTGATAACGAAGTCAAATAATCTAACTCAGAGGGGATGCACCTCTAGTGGCTGTCGGGAATTCAGGTGTATTTTACATTGCAGAGTTAAAATTAGAGGGCTACGGCACCCAGACCACCTTAATGGATGCCTTTTTTTTTTTTTTTTAAAGGAACATTCTGGGCGAAATCTCGCCTTTTACACTGCATTTCATAACTAAATCATGTCGGAATGAGGGGAAAAGTGTGGGGGGGGAGAACTTGCTGGGGAAATGTAAACACAATTCTACATCAAAGCTCATTATGTTTATTACCCTATGTAGCTGAGCTGCAATGTTAAATCCCAATATCTCCGCTGGTACAGAAAGTGATCCAAGTAAAGCGCTGGAAATGAAGGCAATATCCCAAATCCCCCAGTAACCGGACGAAACACAGTTCTGGGAGTCAACTGACGATTTTATTCACAGCTCCAGCATTTATGTGATTCCCCATGCAAGGAGTTTCCTTAGTCACATTACAGAGGTTATACAGTAGAGCACTACATGGGAAACTGAATATACAGGACATTTCTCCCACCATGCACTGCTGTATGAGAGGGATACTCCCACTAGAATACTTTTTTTACACAAAAATGCATAACTTTAATATTATACATATGATTATACCGAATGACCGTTCGGTAGATAGCTGGGGTCTGAGCGCACACTTTGTGAAAGTACCACTCAGATCCCAGCATAAATAACCGAACGCTGCATGAAACACAAGTTATATTACATTCACCTTAAAAGTACCGAATACATATGGAAGAATAAAGTACCGAAGGACTGGTGCTCCCGAATGGCCTGGAAGTCCAGTGGTGTTCACGCCGTCGAGTAGCCGATTTTAGTTCCAGGCGCTCGACGACCAAACACCGCTGGGATAACAAAGGATCGCCGCGTGGTCGGTAGCCGAACGACGGCCACCCAGGTAAGGATTTATCCGCCAATTGCTACAATTTTGCAATCGGTGAATGGGAGCCACACGACCCTCTGTGTGTGGGCTCCCATTCAGTACTTTATTCGTTTCACGAACAGTGTATAAAGTCACTGTTCGTGAAACTACCATATGAATGCTAGCAGGTTTCGGCTGTTAGCATATGACTGCTCTCTATTACAGAAATACACGAATACACCCATACACAGAATTAACACAGCTTTTTACAGACAACCTTCAGATGTTGAGCAGTATGACCTAAAGTGCCTAGGTTTGCCACACCCTATTTTAGTCTTTATTGGGATAGTACAGGGATAGGCAACTTTCGGCACTCCAGATGTTGTGGTCTACATTCCCCATAATGCTCTTACACCCATAACGCTGGCAAAGCATCATGGAAAGCGTAGTCCAAAACATCTGAAGTGCCGAAGGTTGCCTTTGCCTGGCATAGTAGATGCACATGTTTTAACTAGCATAAAAAGTTTAGAGAATCGTGGTATTAGCATGCAAGGAAATGAATGTAATTATTATAGCTCATTCATTAATAGCAAAAGGCATTTATTTCTAAAATAGAGAAAAAAAATCTTTAAAATAAATATATATATATATATAAATTGAGTGAGTCTGTTTTCTCTATAATCTGTTCCTTCTACTGAGATGTTGTTTGACTAAATGTCCCCTAATGCGTTGCCGGCATTATCGCTGTAAGAACATGGGAGATGTAGTCCATCCGGAGTGCCAAAGTTGCCCACCCTTGTCCTACTCTATAGATTCCTGCAATCAAGAAGCAGCTGGCACTAGTGAGCCAATCATTGAGCTGCTTTTCTTTCCTATGTTAGCTCAGAGTCACCAGTCTGTGTCTGAAAATCCTTTACAGAGGTTCTTAGAGTCCTTGTCATTATGCACTTTACTTCTAACACATTGATGGAAGGCATCCTGCAGACTTTTCCTGTTTATATGTATATAGACATTTTAATGATTTGTTTTGTGTTCTTAAATTAGAGATGTTTTGGAAATGACATTTTTGAATTTACAGAAATTGATGCAGCTTATTTTTACCATGTCTATAAAAAGATGATAGTTGGCACAACATGACATGACAAAATATTGAAATATAGCTGGAAGGCTTGATAAACACATGCTGCATAAAAGTAGATGATAGGATAATATAGTGCTTCCAGGATTGGTGAGTGATCTTGGCCACTTCCTGGTCTCTGCAGACATCACTGCAAAATTTGCAAAAAAATTTCAGCAAGTGAGGGACTTTTAAAAGTATATCTTAGTGTTTTTTCGTATTTTATTTATTTTTTTGTTCATCGTCTCCAGAATAAAAAAAGAGGGGTTGTCTCCAGCATAGTGAGTCCCTTTAAATCTTTGATTGCAAAAAGAAACAACAATATGGTAAACGCAAATCACGTAGGTCTATAGTTTAAAGGTCACATAAGTATAGTAGATAGGTCACCTACTGAATCACGTCATTGGTCATGTTATTAAACCATGATCAGCACTTTCTGGTCTATTATTTAGTAAATAACACCCACTGGGGTAATTGGTGGGGGGAGGGGGAGAAGCACTCACTGAATACTAAATTTTAGTGAATTAAAAAAACTGAATTGTTTCAACGAGTTGTGGAATATCTCCACACCATCTAATTTTCTATTCATTTTTCAATTTGTAACAATTACCTGTTTTGTGAATACGCCACTCTGTGTTTTGGTTAGAGTATTTGATGGGAGGTGGGTGGGCTTGCAAACATTCTTGCCAACCTTTTGAGTAACAAGTGTTAACTATTTATTCATTTGGCACACACATGGCGTTCACAGGGTTTTAAGGGAGGGTATAAAGCAAAATAAATTGACAAATAAGAACTGGCACAATGTGCTGGGATTTCGTAGAATTACATAATGAGTTCATGATACCCAGGACATACCCAGGACATACTTGAAAACGAGATGTATCTTTCCTGGTAAAATATTTTATAAATAAATAAATAATGATTTCCTCCAAGTGGTTACATAGTATTCAATGCTAGAATATTTGAAATATCCCATATAAATGAATGATTGTAAATTCTACTAATCGTGAATTTAATTAATTACCAAAATCATCAGTATAGCTATATTAACCATACATGATCTGCCTTTAATGACATCTTTTTGTAACAGTCATGATGTCGCTTTGTTTAATGGGTTACGTTTGGGTACGTGGCTAATGAAATGTATGCAATTTATGTGAAATATTCAGTGTTTTTGGTGTGTCACTGCTGAATATACTGATGCTTTATTAGGATAAAAGAAAAATATGAAATTGCTGCATACTCTAAAGCAGAGTTGCCCACATGGCAGATCCCCGGATGTAGAACTACAACTTCCATGATGCTTTGCATGCCTTTAGAATGACAAAGCATCAAGTTGTCGTTTTAAAATATCTGGGGATCCACCTTTTGGGGACCCCTGCTCTAAAGAAATTTCTCCCATAATAATTATCTAATACAGCCATTTCTAAAATATTCTACAATTAGTTGTTCGGATATTTACAGAGATTCAAAACTTACACCATCTTCCATTTTTAATATATATATTTTTTAACCCCTTAAGGACCAAACTTCTGGAATAAAAGGGAATCATGACATGTCACACATGTCATGTGTCCTTAAGGGGTTAAACTATTTGGCAAGAGATTCTACCTGTAATTGTAGAATTCTGAGATATTATCATAGGCTCTATGGCAGATATATATATATATATTTTGTTAAAGTATTTTTGTTAACCGAAGGCTTTAAACATAATTACAGCTGGATGATAGGGTGCTATTTCCAAATTCCATTTAATCTTAACATATGGACAGATGAGGCTCCTATCGTATAAATTCCATAGATGATCAGGTGATGCACATAACACTACAAGCCGGGAAGTAGGACATCCACAAAAAGACTAAATGGCCAAATGTTCACTTACTGGTTGAAAATAATATTTATAATTGCCATCTGTGTGCGCAGTAAGGAAAAAAAAAACTACAGAAAGCAAAGCCAATCTGTACAAATATGGCTTTTGGAAGTGAGTCCTACACATAAATTACCAATCTGTCATTAGACTATGTCAGCCACTTCCAGCTTCCTGTATGGACTTGTAGCTTATGGTAACAGGATTCACGTGCAAGCAGGGGAACGTTTAGGGCAGAGCTTTGGGTGTCTGTAAAAGGCATGTTCTTTCAACAATTAAAAGTAGGTTAACCTGTATTGCTATTGAACATGCAGCACAGGGTGTCTCGTGTTCCAAACGGCTGTAACATTTTATCCATCCAATCTTTTATTTATTTATTTTTATTACATATTTACGTGCATGCATAAGCAATTGTAGAAGCATAGAATGGAACGTTGTCAGCTGGTGCTGCTACAATTACCTGTCATTATATGTAATGTATATATGAGAATCAGGACACTGTACACAGCAAGCTCAATGACCAAAAATGCCACTCTTAGAAAAATAATGAATGGCGACTTAATTCACATAATTAATTGATATAACTGTTAGCTTGCCACTGCAGCATTGTAAACCAACTATGGTGGGTCTGACCTCACAGCGTGAATATATTATTATTACTGGCATTTTCTGATTGTCTATCTGTCTATCAATCTAATCTCTCTCTCATGTATTCGTGTCCACTTCTGCATTGTTTATGTGTGTATACGTACACAATAATATATATAATTATTGCATGTAAATTTGTATATAAGTGTGTGTGTGCTTATATAAAACATACTTTTCCATAAAGCTCATTTAATGCTACATGCTAGGATTTACTTCAATTTAGCGTAGTGTGCCTTTATAATTCATGTTTATTTAAGCACTGTCACGTATAGAGGAAGTATCGCTCTAATGAAAATCTTCTGATATTTGGGCAAATATTATATTAAAATATATATGCCGACCAATGTTTTGATAAGTATGCATATTAGATTGCAAGCTCTGTGACAAGCTGCAGACTCAAAAGGAGAATAACATTGCAATTCAATCGCTTGCTTACACTATTGTCTTCTTCTTATTATTATTAAAACAAAAAGAAACGTAACTAAGGCAAAGGTGTCCCATGAATTGAAGCGTGGGAACTAGTGTGAGTGCTTCAGTATGCTGTGAAGGGTTCGCACAGTGCCCTGGCAGACTGTTAAAAGAGCTGTATTATAATGTCCAGTTGTGTAAAAAAACAAAAAACAAAAAAAAAAAACATCTGTACACAGGATGTACTTGGCTGTGTATCCTGTCTGGTGTCCTTAGATAATTTCATATTGCTATTCTTTCTTTCTGAGTTTTCATGCCGGCTTCTCCAAACTTAAATTATTATTATTTCTAAAGCGCAAACAAATTCCGTAGCGCTGTACAATAGGTGGACTGACAGCCATGTATTTGCAACAAGACGACTTGGACGCACAGGAACAGAGATTGTGAATGACAGCAGAGTGCAAGCTCTTAGGCTACACACAGAGTTAAACGACACTTACCCAGAATTTGGAGCCCAGCCTTCCAGATCCACAGAATGTATCCATGTTCAGCGCTCTGGGGGTAATGTATTAAAAGCTCTCTGTGAAGAGACAGGCAAGCCTCAGTTGTAACAGGCTTTCAGTGTTCCAAGCCTTCCTGCCTCCGACTGCAGCTCTGATGAAAGACTTCTTGCAGCAAATTACATTGAATTCTGTAGGCTGTAGTGGGTGTGTTTACGTTTTTTTTTTTTTTGGTCATGACTTTTGCAAACCCTTTTCCTAAGAGGCAGGACTCCCTAGAGTTGTATGCGTGTGTGTGTGTGTGTGTGTGTAAGTGTGTATGTGTGTGTGTGTGTGTTTATTTTTATTTTTTTAAAGGAGTCGTATATCTCACGACTACGTCATTTTTTTTTTCACCATTTCCTGGTTTGTATTAAAGACACCAACCTCTTGCTGAGATCTCAACAGCCCGGCGTCCTGCACGGACTGTACACTATGTATCGGCGAAAGCAAAGCTTGTTTTAAAGGTGTATCTATATCTTGTTTTGCAGAATCTAAGGTTTCTTTCCATAGTACATGGTGCTGTTAACAAATAAAAAAATAAATAAAAGTGGCGTAAGCAGAGCACGGATCATCCGTGGAGCAGATGGTCGGTGGAACGTGAATTTTACAATGTTCAGCAGATGGATTGCTTGATTCATCAGTGCTTAGAAAGTAATTATTCAAACACAGCTGCGTTTTTCTCCTGCCCGGATCTGTCACCGTAGGTAGATAGGGAAAAAAAAGAATACATCTTATTTCAGGTTAATGGCCCTTTAGGGAGAAGCAGTTTTTAATATATAATGTGGAGCCTTTTCCACTGCATTCACTCAATAGAATCACAAAAGGCTAAACTGAAGACAAAAAAGAAAAGTATCTGAGCACACACAGGCTCTCTCCCGAATTGCAGGCTCTATTGAAGTTGAACAGCCAACGTTTCTACTCAAACAGGAGGCTTTCTCAGGTTTCAGTAAGTGCTAACAAACTAATGCCTTGCGAGAGCAACGGGCTTTTGAAAAGTTACTTTACTTTTATTTTGAATTTGCAGTTATGATAAATATATATATATAAAAAATCTAAATTATATATTTTTTTTATTTTGATAGGCAAATAGTTATTTCAGGAAAATAGTTATTTGACCTTTAAAACACCATTTCTCCAACTAATATTCAGGCAAACTGGAAAAGTAGCACTTTCTCTCCAATAGCCAATTAGGCAACCCCGAGAGTGGCATTTGCATGCCAAATACCTTGCAACTCTTCAAAGAAAAGTGAAAAGTGATGGTGAATGGGGGCCACTTTACTGGGATACGTGGGTGTGTATTGGTGAGCAGGGGCCACTTTTCTCACTTATTAGCCAGCAGGGGCCACTTTCTTGGGGCATTTATTGGCAAACAAGGTCCACCTTCTTGAGGTTCCTGTTTTCTTATTTGTGAGCAGGAGACATTTTGTTTGAGGGGTTCCTAGACTGTTACCAGCAAGCAAGGAGCCACTTTCCCAGGATGCCTGGGTTATTGTTGAGCAGAGGCCACTTTCAGGGCTTGCCTGAGTGTCTGTTGGTCAGAAGGGACACTTGTCCAGGTTGTCTGGGCTCCTATTTCTTAGGTAAAAGGCTTTGAAATATGAAAGAAAAAAACAGACTTGTAAGAATCATATCATTTTTAAAAAATTTTTTAAGTGATGCAAATTTTTCATGGTGCATTAAAGGACCACTATAGGCACCCAGACCACTTCAGCTTAATGAAGTGGTCTGGGTGCCTGGTCCAGCTAGGTTTAACCCTTTTTTCTATAAACATAGTAGTTTCAGAGAAACTGCTATGTTTATATTAGGGTTAATCCAGCCTCTAGTGGCTGTCTCATTGACAGCCGCTAGAGGCGCTTGCGTGCTTCTCACTGTGAAAATCACAGTGAGAAGATGCCAGCATCCATAGGAAAGCATTGTGAATGCTTTCCTATGAGACTGGCTGAATGCGAGCGCAGCTCCTGCGGCGCATGCGCATTCAGCCGAGGAGGAGGAGAGGTGGTGGAGAGGAGGAGGAGAGTCCCCTGCTCAGCACTGGAGAAAGAGGTAAGTTTACCCCCTAGAGCCCAGCGGGAGGGGGACCCTGAGGGTGGGGGCATCCTCAGGGCACTATACTCGTTTTCCTGGCACTATAGTGCCCTGAGGATGCCCCCACCCTCAGGGACCCCCTCCCGCCCGGCTCTGGGTAGAGGAAAGGGGTTAAAACTTACCTTTTTCCAGCGCTGGGCGGGGAGCTCTCCTCCTCCGTTCTTCCCATTCGGCTGAATGCGCACGCGCGGCAAGAGCTGCATTTACAATGCTTTCCTATGGACGCTTGCGTGCTCTCACTGTGATTTTCACAGTGAGAAGCACGCAAGCGCCTCTAGCGGCTGTCAATGAGACAGCCACTAGAGGATTTGGAGGAAGGATTAACCCATTTGTAAACATAGCAGTTTCTCTGAAACTGCTATGTTTATAAAAAATGGGTTAATCCTAGAGGGACCTGGCACCCAGACCACTTCATTAAACTGAAGTGGTCTGGGTGCCTAGAGTGGTCCTTTAATAACGAAAGGGAAATCATGGTGTTACTGCTGGTTTCCATGGTGAGTGCTTGACTTTCAGAACCATTTTTTTTTTAAACGACTCTTTGATAAATCTCCCCCAATATTTCTCTGTAGAAGCATTGCTGATTAGCATCAACTTTCCTATTATTAGTGATATAAGGGTTTCTTAGAGGTCAACAGAGAATAGGCTGTAATTAAAGACAAAGAACACAAATTAAAATAATTAGGACATCTGGCAGAGTAGTATAGCCTAATATTAAAAATATATATATATATTAAAAAAAATAAAAAAAAATAACTGCTACGATGGCAAACACTGACATGGTTACATGTTACTGCACTGCTTCGAAACAGTGTTGCATATAAAAAATACTGCATTCGCCTTAGTGATACAAGCGACTTATTTTGCAATATCATAGTGGCCTACTAACTGATTGTCAGACCTTCCACGGAAATATTTAAAGGAACACTATAGTGTCAGGAATTATTGTACTTACTATTTCTTCACCACCACGCTGGTCCCACTGTGGCTGGCCCCACCTCCATGGCTGAGATGATCACTCTCGGTAAAACACTGCGCCAATCAGCATCTCTACGGAGAGCGTTCAGCGTCTCCACGCTCTAAATGTAGGTGCTGCACACTGTGCAGTGCAGCACTGACACAAGAAGCACCTCTAGTGGCTGTCTTAGTGACTGCCACTATAAGTGTTACTAGGCAGCAATGATTAATGAGACAGCTAAGACTGCAGGGACAGGCTATAAACACTAGAACACCTACATTAAGCTGTAGTGGTTCTAGTGACTATAGTGTCCCTTTACCTTCCCAAACTTTATCTGTTTTTGTTAGTTCTAGAAGAATATAGTATCAAATTATTTGCTAAATACAATGACTAATTCTGCTTGGAAAAATGAAAACTCTGGCGTTTTGTTAGTAAGAATGATGTAAAATGTGCAGTAATAATACATGCACACTTTTACATTTCATGCTGTCTAGACTGCAACAATTCAGTCTCTACAGGGATTCCAAAAAAAGGAACCATAGTGTCTGTAAAAGGTTTGAAATGATGTGGCCAGGTCAATAACCAATCAAACACTCTCACCACAAGACACCTATTCTCCTTCTCTGCATTGGCTGGGTGTCAGACGGAAAGTACATTATCAGTTTGACTTGCTGGCTTTCAAAATTTAACAGCTGCTTGAATGAGTACTTGGTCTCCTACAATCTGACTGACTTTAATAATCACGTTCAGTGCACAGTTAGGATCATAGTTGTTGTCATGCATATTCAGGGGTATTGAATTAAAGAAAAACTATTTATCCTGACACACTGGTTAATTTTAGGTTGTGGAACCTACCTGGAGCCCTGACCATTGACAGGCTTATTCACTTAACTCTGAATTTTTCCGCAAATTAAATCAAAATGAAAAAAACAAGACAAAAAAGTTGATCTGGTAAAATTCTTTAACTCCGCTATAGTGACCACCATTTGGCTCAGTTTTACCATTTAATTCTAATTTGTGAAAATTCAGAGTTTAGCAAATAACCGTGAGTGTCTCGCTCTCTACAATCCTCCCATGTGTGTGTTGTTCGGCAGCTCGGTTTAATGATTGCTTGATGTGCACCAGCTGTGTGTAAAATGTGCAAGGTGTGTGATTGCTGGCTGTGTTTAGTGTGTGATGTTTGCCAGCTATGTTTGCTGGCTGTGTGTAATGTGTTTGATTTTTGTGATGTTTAGCAGGGGGTGACTATGTTTCCTGGTGGTCCATTGGGTGTTAAAGCCCCTGGTGGTTAAATGGGGGAACATGTGGTCTGCACCTCTGATGGGTGCAGACCACAGTAATTGTTCCCTACCTGTCCGAGCAGTCAGTGACCATGAGGAATTGATTACTGTGGTCTGCACCTTCTGAAGATACTAGCGATATGCACCCTGTCCCCTTGTAGCAGTTCTTGAGGTGGTATCACACTGGTCACCATGGTGGCCAAGATATGTAGGCCCTCGTAGGAGCACAGCAAATGAGCCTGTCCAGCCTTCATTTTCCCCACATTACAATAACGTCTGCAATGTCTGTGGGTACCGTATTATACTTGGGTTGTTACTATTAGGGCCTTCTGGTGAGGCATCTTGGAACTCCAAACCAAGTCGGAGCACACTCTAGTACCTAGGCCAACTACCCAAGAAGGCTTGTAGTGGAAATGTATCCCTTGGAGTATGTGGTAGAACACGAGGAAACACAAAAGAAAAGGCATTTAAAGGAACAAGAAAAAGAATTCTAACCATTCATTAGGTTGTTGTCATGGGACATATACCAGTGGTCTGGTCTGTTTTCTCCATGAGTAGTAGAGGTCAGTGCAGTATCATCTATTCCCTGCACTCAGTAAATATTCACAGTACAGGGTATAAGCTTTTGTTTAGCCAAAATAATTGCTCTACTTCTGAAATTCACCTGGGGATTTGTAGGGTTGCCCTAAGCGATGGAGTCACCATGTTTGAATTTAATGCTTCCCTTCGGTAAAGTGTGTTTGGTGCCATCTGGTGGCAAAGCAAGTGTCTGGGTTTATCTATATTCTACATAAACATGTGCAGTGTCCTCTACCTTCACATGCTAGCTTGCTAAACCACGACAGCCCTTTTCTGAAGCTGTTGCAGTGCATTGAATGCCAGAGTCTCTATAACATTTGATGCTTAATCTCTTAGCCATGGTGCTCCAGTTGTATGGATGTATCTCCTCATGCAATA